GTACCCTCGAAATTTTAGCTTAAAAAATCAAGCTAAAAATTACGATGATTTCATCTTTAAGAATTAAGTCTCTATGTCTGCCCGTTCAAAAGTTATTAAAGGTCAAAGTAGTTGGTGTATTTGTAAGGGACTTTTACACCAACTATTTTAAAAATAATTATTTTATTTGTAACTCGACCATTTGTCGCAACCGTTAAGGGTAACTAGGCACTAAAAGTCAAGCAATCGTGATAATATGCATTCGAGTTAGAAATGAAAAAGTCCACCGAAAAATAATTTCTCACTCACCCAACAACGGGTGACAACGCCAAAAAATGCGTGCCTGTCCCCAACTCGAAAATTTTTAATAATTTTTAAAAGATGGCCCATCCTTGGACAACCTCATTACATAATCCTAATACATTCACTCCACGGAAACGAGCTAAAAAGTTTAGGAATCTTGGGTACGGACATTACATGAAACTGAACATTCAACATTGGATGGATGTACATAAGCACCAGCAAGCAACCCAAAACCATCACATCAGTTCTTGCCTGAATCATTTCCAATTTTCAGGTCTCCCTTTCCATATCGCGACATTTGATATCTTGGTTTATTTTGAACTGTGATGAGTAGTGTTGATGCGTATCCAATATTTTAAGTTCACAGGGTTAAGGATTTTTTATGAAAAATGGGACTTTTGATGAATTGTTTCTGTTACTTTACAATGTTTTTTCATTATTTTCACTTGGTCAAGTGGTGCACTGATAGTGTGAATGCATGATCATCTTTTCATAGCTTGGTCCGACTTGACGTATGCACGTATGTAGATAAAGATTAGTGCACAAAAGTTGAAATACATAAATAGTATAACTGAATACGCAAAAAAATCTTTTCAATCACGACAATGTATTTTGTGCACCAAAAAGGCAAGAACTCGAGATGGTTGTTTGGTGCTGCTGCATGATGCGACGATATAATCCTTTGATGTAACCCATCTGTTGCAGTTACTTCTTCACAACTCATCTTTCTTCTCATCCACCCACCGACGACATTTGGAAAAAAATAAAATCATTTCTCAAGGAATACGAACTGACAATCTAATGTAAGGTTACTCGCATCTCATTCTCATCCCGTACGCACATTGCATCCAAGGCTTCTTTTTATGGACGTTGGAATCTATAGGGTTAAAATAGTTCACTAACTGTGTGTGTGTGTACATATGTGGGTAGAATTGATGAATCGCATAGAAAGTTTATGGGTGCCGAGATTTTATTTTAGGGTCGAAACCTTTAAACCTTTGCAGGAACAGGAGGTTAGAGCTGAAACCCTTGCTGTAAATTACCTTTATTGGAGTGGATTATTCTCCATTTGAGGCTTCATGTTTACCAACTTGCAATGATGTACGAGGGAAAACAAATCCTAAAAATTCTTCTCCGTAATACAAAAGAAGCCCTGACTGCCCATTAGTTTAAGAAGATGCGGTTAACATTTACCATGTTACTAATACCCGCTTTGCACAGTTGTTCGGATTTACAATCCTGGTTTAGCTTTCCCAACTAAAGATATTTCAAATCTTAGGGAGATGAGGATTAAATGCCTGACTGCACGTTTACGACAGCACTCACTCCGTCACATTTCCAAATAGGATCATCAATCCCAGAGTTTAGCTTAAGAATTTGCCCAAGAATCTTAATTCATCCGATTTTGGAAATTCCAAGCAAATTCGTTTCTCATGTTGTGGATGCTTATTCCAAAAATCCCAACCCAAATGAGTTACGCATATTCGTCAAAATGTGTATGTATATAATGGATACGGAATCAATCCGAAATGCCAATATGTCTGGCGCCCAGTTGTGTATATATAAGGCAATGAAATTATTATTACAATAATTAAGACTGTATGTGAACTTCATAAGCTGAAAATTGTGTTGAAAATGGAAAAGTAAACCTCCTACGACTAACAGACGTGACGTGTGTGCGTGTATGCACTGCATACCTCATGGGACATTTACGTTCTTGATTTGAATTGCAGAGTGTAATCCAATCGTAGCTCCTCCGCATCTTGACGAATTGTGAATGAACGTGAGCTAAAGTGTGAACGCATTCAATTACAAACTTTTTTATCCGTTGCAGGGTGCTGAGTTAAATATATGTGTAATCTCGTCATCATATTTGAGAAGAAGAGTGCAAAAAATTGTCCACGTCCAACGTAATAAAAGTAAAACTACAAAAAAAGATTCTTGCATGTACTCCCATTCATGAAAGTGAGGAAGAACAACGAAATGATTAATCAAACTTTGTGATGCATCACTACCACTCATTATTACGAGCACGCTGCCGCAGTCGTCACCATGAGGAGCGAAAAGAAAGAAAGAATGATAAAGAGCGGATCGTGGCTCAGGATCATAATGCTTCCGGTGCGGAACACAAATAGAAGAAGCCTTATAACTCGTGGATACCGTTGCGTACCAGGATAATGAATATCACAGAGACAGATAATTTCCACATTGTTTAGCTTCACACGACCATCCCTCGTTTAGTGCATTGTGCTGTGCTGAGATTTTTGAGCAGTTACAGACCGTTTATACCATCCTTAAGGAGACTTTACATTATTTTTCTCATATATGTAGCGCATATCATATGCAGCTAAATACAAATATAGTTTTTGCTGTCCTCCATTTCCTGTGTGACTGACGTACCCTTTGTCTTTGAGAACCCGACGCTTCCGAAGTAAATTGTGGAGCATATACGCAACTGGTCTGTTTGGTGCTTTAAGCGGTGGGGCTGGTCCCCAAAAATTAACCATTTCATATTATCAGATTATTAAACGTACTTGTGCTCACAAAGTTGGTAACATGTTTGAAAAATGCTAATTGTTTTAACTTGCAGTATTTTGTTTCAATGGAAGGACAAAGGTCAGCATTTACTATTTCACTTCCTCTTCCAATGTCGTCGTATTTCATTCTGGAGAGGATTTTTTGAAAAACGACCTGCCAAACAGTTCTCTGTTTCATGAATGAATACGAGTGTGGAAGGATACACATGAGACGAAGGAACATTTGGAGCCCTGTGTGTCCAACATCTCAATGACGATATGTTTGGAATGACCCATGAAAAAGGAAGTCGCCACCACGTCTGGTAATCTAAGTGAACCTAGAAGAAATCTTCCATCCACTAAATGACCAGTCATCCCCCGTTTGTGTTTCATAATGGTCATTTGTCAGTTCTTTGGATTCCTTAGGGTACTTGAACCAACGTGATGGAGTTAAGTAGAGCCCTTCCTCGCTTTAAAGGGCCACTTGACTTGACTTGCTTGGGTGGTATTTTGTTTACTTTCTTTTTCTTTCCTTCCTCTCAGCCAGTCCACACTGCGGACACCTGAGATGGACAAGAAGAGGGTGGATTTTCTTTCTCAACAACCTCATTGTTTGCAGTAGTGTGAGGTAAAAAGTGGGATCTACTTGTTCACACCAATCACATTTTTGTTAACAGCGTGACCTGGTGAATTCATTCTTATTTCACTCAATTGTGTACTAGCGTAGCATAAATCCACATATTTGAACGTGTAGATAGAGCTTTCACTCCAGACACTCTGGTGCCATAATACAATATCAGCGTATCATTATGGAAATGCATATTATGCAGGTATTAAGGCAAGAAAATCTACCATACACAACATTATCTATTGTGCATCCTGACTCACATTAATAAGACGACTCCTCTACACACGCTCCAATTATTATTGAATGTGTACATAAGTCTTAGACATCGATGAATGAGTACTTGTGATAATTTGGTTGGTGATGATGAGACTATCGATACTTTATGTGCATATATATGTAGGTGAAGACTATATGTACATAAATATGTACATATGTACAACCATTGTATGTGTTTCTTCGTTTATGTAGCTTGAAATAATGAACAACAAATCGAGACACATTTATGGTTAAAAAGAGTTGAAAAAGGGTCAATTCGAAGTGTCCATACCGGATTTCAACACGGATTTATAAGTGCGTTCTTTTAAACCGCGGACTCACGTTGAGAAATATGACAATGTCAAAGCTTGACAGAGAGACTGCATGGCTCCGTCGTCGTCGTCGTCATCACTGCTTTGCCCAACCAGGAAAGGATGAATAGGGTTCATTGAATAGGAACTACTTGAAAATATGAAATATCACTTGGGCATTATCAACCGGAACAACAACGGTCATTGAATACTCATCCATTCACCTCCTCGTCTTCCCACTCACACCAAAATGAGCTTGCACATCGCATCTTGTGGCGTGTCAAAATCTTCAGCTCGCTCAATTCAACAATGAATTTCAAGAATTGCTCAGGCTTCCAACCTAAACCAACGGACCATTTGAATCCTACACGTATCTCCACTTCACCAAAAAAGATGGATAGGAATGAATCTGCGCTTTCCATTTTCTGCTTATGTCTGCTATCCTATTGCGTGGAATGAACCAGCTTTTTATGATGATGGATTATCATTGATGGTACACAATCAGCTATAATAATGACTAACAATTTCGGCAACGATTTTATTTCCTCCCTCGGAGGACTAATAGTTTTAATGTTGCTAAAGTTTTGCAAATAAATGACTTTGCAGTTTGATTTGAAATAAACTCAACTTGACAGAAAACTTGGATTATCCTAAGCTTGGGTAGTGCCAACCATGCATAATTACGATTTCAAAATCACCTGGCTACAAATTGGCATTATCTAAGCATCCATCGACATGAAACATATATTTACATCCTACTAATTAAATAGATATTGCATAACAAAACATAGTAATGTAATGTATACCTTATTTCAGAAATGCTAGAACCTCGGAACATATAAAAGTATGTGGCGTGAAAATAAAGGAGTTTCTCTCCTCCTCCGAGATGGATTTGGTGCTCATGAGATGCCCTCTCTCTCACAGAAGAAAATACGGCGAAAAGACCATTATGTTGGCGTCGTGGGAGATGGAGCGTGTTTCATGAAAATACTTCTAGCTGATCAAGTATCGATTTTTTTTAATTTGTAACATTTATTTTGAAATGCTGTATACTTGTTAAATACAAATGGTTAATTTTAGTCAGTTTTAATAGTTGATTTTAACTGAGATGTTTGAATATCGTAGTCAATGATGATGTCTGGATATGCTTTTTTAATTAGTAGATTTTCCTCAGTCGTGGTTTCATTTTGATCCTGAGTGTGATTGGAAGCATTTGTGCTGTCCCATAATTGGAGAATCATTTCAGAGCCTTTCTCGGCAATCATGATGGTAGGCCAATTTGTGTTACCAACAGGAATTTGAGGCATGATCGACGCATCTATAACTCGTAACCTTTTAGTTCCAAAAACTCTCAGTTGATTATCAACAACGCCATCGTTTTCGTTCTGAGCCATGGCGCAAGTCCCACCAAGATGATGGAGTGAAACTGTATATTGGCGAACATAACACTCCCAATACGCATCACTTCGAAATTCTTCTTCCTGACAGCCCGGAAATCTTTCTTCAGTAAAATGTGTCCCAATTTTCTGGAATGCTGTAGAATTTTCCACCAAATTAATTGCAGTCTTTATCCCCTCCACCATAACGCGGATGTCGTGCTCGTTGTCCAAATAGCTTGGATCAATGGCTGGAGGAATTTTAGGGTTGGAACTGCGTAGCATGATTTTTCCTCTGGATTGAGGTCTTCCGTTTGACACCAGTTGCATAAACGACTCTTTACCTTTGGCATGCTCATAATATGTTTTGATAACATCGTCTCTAAAATTGAAGGCTCTTGCCAATTGAGTGTCGCAAAAAGAACATATGGAGGCTCCGAACAAGGTCAAGTGTGTGTCAGGCCAATTAGATTCTCCAGCAGATTTTGCTAAAGAGGATGCATAAAATCCCTGCGCGTTGGCCCCACTAGTTGTGAATGGACCTTTCCCGTGTACCAAAAAATTATAAAAGTCAAGCAATTTAAAGTCTCGGTCAATATCCAGTGAGTAAGTGCGATTGATGAAGAATGGGCCTAAATAAACACTGGTGTGGTCTTGCAGATTTTTTCCGACTGGAAGATCTTTGCGAGTGTCAATCTGTAGAATATTATATAAATTAGAATTTAGGAAACTAACAAATTCAGAATAACTTTTTGATTTATTTTTACTTTAACAGCGTTCAAGTTATCTTTTGGACCAATTCCTGATTGCATGAGAATTTTTGGCGAGTTTATTGCTCCAGCGGATAAAATAATTTCCTTATTGGCAAATGCCATGAGATTCTTTCCATATCTTGTGTAATGCACTCCATATGCCTCGTTTCCTTCCCCCTCCTTGAAAATTACCTAAAATTCATAGATATCTCATTATGCGACAGATATTTAAAATTCTTAATCAATTAGTCAATAGATTAAGCAGGTTGAAATATGTGAACTTCATAACGTCATGCTATAATATATTACAAATGCATAATGCATACTTTTGTGACATGAGAGTATTTCCTAATAGTCAGTCTTTTCCTGTATTTTATCGGCTTGAAGAATGCGTCGGATGAACTGACACGTTGGCCAAAATGTAACGGGTAGTACACATAGTCGAAACCTATTGTTTTTCAGTTAGCCAATTCTTTTAATAAATATATTTTAGTTTCCAAGAAAAAGTAATGACAACCTTCAGTATAACGCCCATTCAGATCTGTTCTGTTATAGCCTTGTGCTTCTGCAGCTTGGAGATAAAATTTGCCTAACCTTCCAGTATAGTCTGGAAGTTGGACATTTATTTCCCCATGTTTGCCATGAACGTCGTCTGTAATTTATTGATAAAATTCCAGCGTCAATTTCGGGAACATTTGCAACGCAATTCGTTTACATACTACTTACCTGTGCCTCCTGCGCTGTACTCTCCAATAAAGTTTTCGCTTCGTTTAAAATAGGGCAACAAGGATTCATAAGACCAATCTGAATCCCCAAGTATTTTTGCCCAATTATCGTAATCTGCTGGATTTCCCCTGTTATGCATCAAAAAATTTATACCGCTGGTCCCACCCAAACCCAATCCAGCGCTGAGTAAACATTCCTTCATTAGCAAACATATGCAAATTAAATAGCTTTGTTCGATAATTCATAAAAGATTAAATTAGAAACTGTAATGTCATGAACCTGGTGATTTTGTGCAAAAAATCCATTTTGTTGTGGCACAGTATAATACATCCAATCATTTTGGGGATAATTCACCAAAAATGTTGCAAATGCGGGTATGGACTGAAATGGGTGTGGTTCTCCTCCAGCTTCAAGTAATAAAACCGAGTAATTAGCACTCAGTCGATTTGCCACTAATGCCCCGGCAGTTCCGGCTCCCACTAGAACGTATCAAAATCATTCTTTAAGCGAGACAATAGCATGATTTTATGGGAATAAAGTTTTCTAACGTACCCACAATGAAGTCAAAGACGTCTCCTTTGTTGTCCTGAATCAATCTGTCTGTAGCTTGGTCCAAATTTTTCCACGCAACGAGATACAAGCTAAGTGATCCAACAATTCCAAACAAAACATTTTGAAATAATCCCATGTGATTCATCATTCCGTTTTCTGCCGCAAACTTTATCAACGCCATGATAATGATTACTTTGATTCGAGCAGTGTGTTCTAAGCGAAATTCAAATTAAAACTAAGAATTATTTGAATATTTGTTGGCTAGATGTGTATTCAAAGATAGTAAAACAATATCTGACACCTCGTCCATTCGTAATACCATCCCATCCTTTGAAGTTGCAGGCAAGCATTCACCCGTTTGTGCGAATATTAAAATTAACAACGACATTAGCTACGAGAGGTTGAGTGAGGTGCGTTAGGTCATGAACACCTACCTACAAGCGTTATTGCAAATAAAATGCTACGTGTTTACCGGTTTCTTCCTGTGTAATTTGCAAAACGGATCATTCATCATGCGGGTATGTGGGCTCGATTCTTTTACCCAACAAAAAAAGCACAAGTGTGAATAATAATGAGGATGGTAAACCCGGAGGGTATAAAGTTTAAAACACGATTGTTGTTTTCAAAAGTACGGCATTAATTCTTATATAACGGAGTATCTCGTCTTGTGTGGATTTTTCTCTTCACGATTTTATGCACATATGTATTTATTGCATATTTCATACATAATATTCAGACAATAACGTAGTTTGTAATGCCGAACAAGTGAGGAAATTATACAAAGACAGTTATTGATTTAAACGGTTTGTTGTCAGTTTTCATGAATGCATTCATAATAATTGTATTTATCGTCTAATTTAATAACGTTATATGTCTTGCTTAATAAACTAGTGGCAATGACAATTATAATAATGTGCCCATTCCAGGTTAGTTGTAAATGCTTGACAAAAAGTTAAACTAAATGTATTAACTGAATAGTTTTGCTTTGTTTACATGGTTTGTCAATCGGGATCTTATGTGTCTATATGTACAGCATTCTTGGTAAAAAAAGACATACATCAAACTGCATACTCCATATTTACCCCATATCATGCAAAGGTAATTTTGTGTCCGCGTTCCACCCGGATGAAACTATGCGTTAGAACTTAGATTTCCAAAGTGTTGCGGTGGCACTTTGCCAAAATTCGGGTTAAAATTATGCCAGCACAAATCTATTCCCGATTCGTAATTTGTATTACTCAGCTATGCTGGCTTATCAACAGGATGAAAACTCGTCATCACATTCCCATCAGTTTTGCCAACACTACTGGCTGCCACACTGCCACACACCATTTTGCTTATGCACTTACTTATAGGATTAGTATTATGAACTATATATACACACGTCTAGCTCTTGGTTGGTGTTAAAATTAGTAGATTTTGGATTACATGCATGTACATATGCACTTTAAAAAATATCAATTCAGCTGCGGTGAGACTTGGTGGCCTGTACTCATTTAGTCTAGAGTCGTCGAGTCGGATTGTAACATACAATCTGATGTGACCTTTATAATTCATTCATTCATAAGAGTACGAGACGTACAAGAAGTCTTATTTCTCCTCCGATGGAAAGTAGGTTGCCGATTAATAAAGTGTCAGACTTATTGGATTGAGGAAGGTTACATATCAAGTGCGTCAGGTTCCAAAACATTAATACCACTCAGAAAAGTATAATTCGTGGTGCAAAGGCGACACGTACGGTAGTTCCACTTTGTCTCTTTTTCTGTGGTGTACACATCTTTGGAGCGTTGAGCTTGGGTGCTTTCCAAAATGGAGAACGGTTACGGTGATGTTGTCGGCCCTGAAATTGACTACAATGAAATTTCTCCCCTAAAGAAAACAGGGAAAACAAACATATATAAAAAATTTCTTGAAGTCGACGAACTTCACCTTGACCAGTGGCGAAAACCTAATGTTGATTTTGAGACTATGGCCGTATCTGCAACTGGTGAGTAACATGGATTAAATGGCAATGATCAATATTTAGCCTAACAAAACAGGTAGACACCGCAGCCCAAATAAAATTTCTAAATTCAATCTTATTAATAAATGGGTGTTGCAATAGTTTATGCAGTGTCGATATTCTCAATAATATGTAAATGTATACGTCTATTTAATTTCCAGTTGACCCAGGGACATTTTCCAGAAATTCACTCGTGATGCCCATCGTCACTTCTTCAGTCTTTATTTGTCATGGGTCTCCAACAGAACCGATGAATACTGTGAGTACCATAATCCACAACAATGTCTATGATATCCTAATTTACAAAAAAAACGTATTTTCATACAGCTTTTTTACTCCTCAACTAATGCCTTTTTACGGGTGTGCTAACTAATTCTAAATTTATTGTGATACAGCCTCACATTTTCATGATGGATGGTTTAGGGATTTCACTATGGAAGATGCGGAAATCCTACACGAGACCACTTTGAATCCTGCATGGCTCAACTGGATGGGGCAGCTCATGGTAATTCGCATTGATTCCAGACAATATTTAGTACTCACAGCTATTTGGTAACACAAATATTTATTGATGCAATAATAGCACTAGCTTTCTCATCCGGTGTTGCGGGAATTGCTGCTGTCGTGCAGACGTTGAAGCAAGGAGATCATATAGTTTACATTCAATGTTCTAATGGAGACTCTGATTGGTTAGAGATCTTTTAATAAAGCTGCTGCTTAATAATAATTTTTAATATGTATTACGTATTTTAGGCTGTTTCGTAACAAGTGGAAGGATTTTGGAATTGAGGTGGACTTCATCTACAGCAATGACAGCAATGCAATTTTAGACGCCGTTCGACCCAACACAAAGGTTTGCAAATTCATGACGAATCACTTGAAAATCGAGATGGTTTATTTTATTTTGAGCATGCTTTTAAAATGTTGATGATGTGATTGTATTGCAATTCTGCTCTCTTTATTAACGAAACAGAAGCTATTTAGTACAAGTAGAAAAATATTAGAAAATATTTAGAATCTTGTCAACGAGAGATTAAATGGCGTGATACTACTTGGCAAGTTCTACGAGCAACAAGATTCGGTTACACAACTATGTGCATGTGAGTAAGAAGACACCCACACACGGTTTTTGTTTGTGCAAAAAAAAAGTATAATCTACCTAGTCTAACCATAAGAAGTGATAGTAGAGCGTAGTATTTGACCTGGTCAACATAAAATTAAAATGTATGTTGCAGTTTGTACATGCATTCAGTGGCTATCATTGTTGTTAACCTCATTTGCCTGACTTCACTAGGTCAAAAGCTAGAAGAGCTTTACCATACGCGCGCGACAATAAGTTTTCACTTTTTACGCCAGACAAAAAATTCACAATGTTAGATATAGGGTAGAAATTCAAGGACAACTACGATCTGGTTGCCCAACCCATTAAATTAACCCTAGGGACTGTGACTATTTATGACATAAAAGTTCCGGTGGTCCAAGGTCAAGGAGGACTACAGTGATGTCCGAAGCTTTGAACGCCAGAATAGCACAAAATCTCTGTCTGACGCCGAAGACTTTGGCCATACAAATGACCCTTCAACTTTAGAAATGAGATGAGCACTGAAAAATGATCTTAAGATGGAGGCCTTTTATGGTAGAAAGCGTCACACGCTACAGATTTCCTAGACCCAAGCTAAGGTCAATAAATCGACTTCCCTCTCCCAGCGGTACGGTACAAAAACAAACAAAATTTTTCATTTATCGGTGGGAATTTCTTTAAGATGGTACCATATTTCCACAAAAAAAGAAGCAGAATTTATGCTAAATATTCTTAGGGTTAGTTGTTTACGAAAAGGAGGTCGAATGTTATCTTATCGGGCTGCATTCATGGTTTTGGCGGGAATCGGCGGAATCGGACAAAAACCGCCCAATTTCCTCGATTAAGGAGAGGAGATAGTTCAAAAAAATATTTGATTAACGTCATAATGAAGATGGAACACCCCCTCGACCAGTCCATATTGGGTGGAAAGCCACCGACCTTTGTGCAGGGCCCCACAGCAAAAATGCAGCGAAATTCGTGAAAACCTGGCTGACGAAATCTATTTCTGACTTCATTTCCGACTTAAGTTTGTCCTTGGTATTTTCGAACCGAAATTGATTTCACCGCCAACTCATGATTAAAATTGAGGAAAAGGTCTGTTCTGAGCCCCATCGAAGTGTCAGGGTCACAAAAAAATTTCTGACCCGGGAATGATACACTTTTTCAATAAATTTCGTGCGTATTTTTGATGGAGGCTTCTCCTCTGGTAACCAATTTTTCATGGTCACAGGAGGAATATATTTTCAAGTCTGATACATGTTTTCTATGTGAAATTTAACTGGCTTTTCAATGGAATAAAAAGAAATTTGAAATTCCTTAAAACTAACCTAATATAGTCATCTACTCTACTATCACTTTTTAAGTTTAGACTAGGTATGTGTGTCTGTACGAGAAAAAGAGCACGGAAGCTGTAGATCCCGCATAATATTTATTATTATGCATCCCGTGCTTATCATCATAATTTTGTACCTGAATTAAAAGATTTTGTATGTTTGTATATATATTGCATGCACTGTTCTAAAATTAATTTGACCGTGAACCATTTCACAAGTGCACAAATATGCGTTCTTTTCCTCATTCTTTCTGTGATACAAACTTTCTTATACTTTCTTTGGACTTGGGAGCGTATGTATGATTACATAATTCTTGTTAACGCAAGTGAATTCATTTATAGCCCATGATTTTTATTTATCCAGATGGTATTTTATACTTAATGACATAATTTGCAGATGGTTTGGCTTGAGACTCCAATTAACCCGACGTTGAACGTGGTTGACATTGAAAAGATTTCGGGAGCTGTTCATAGCGTCGCAAATCATGTCCTAGTCGTGGTGGACAATACATTTCTTACCCCTGTTCTGCAAAGACCATTGGATCTTGGAGCTGGTATGACATGAGCTGACAACAATACTTCCATGACGTCCGTCATAAAGGGCACAAATATAATCTCAAATTATATGATTTTCAGACGTTGTAGTTTATTCATGCACCAAGTATCTTTGCGGTCATGCAGATGTGATAATGGGTGTGGTCACAACCAGCAAAAGTGACCTCTACAAAAAATTACAAGAGAATCAAATTTGTCTAGGAGCAATTCCATCTCCCTGGGATTGCTATCTAATGGTAAATTAATATTTTATACCGAATGGTGACGGCTGTAAAATTAAGCCACAATGTGCAAATATACATATGTACATATATGTAGATCAGAAGCTTGAAAACGTTACCCATTAGGATGAGGCAGCATTTTGTGAGTACGTAAGTTTTTATAATCGTTTAAAGTTGATTAATCTGATCGATCACAGGGCTGTCATATCTATTGATAATCTAACCTAAACTCTACGCATATCTATGTTCATGGAATGTTGTAGGTTTAGACTGATATAAATATGTACAAACATTAAATGTACCAGATCAATTACTCATTCAGTATATTATGTCTGTCATTACCATAATATTTATTGACATATAAATCCAAGGGTTTCAAATTAAATGTATGAAAGTAATATATACTAATTTTCAACCATTGCCATTAATTTTGTATATCCTCTTAACAGACGGACAGAAAATTGCAAATTTCCTGGAATTACATCCTTGTGTTGAGTTTGTGTCTCATCCAGGTATTCGATTAAGGATTATCGGTTATAAGGTTTTAAAGAGATTGTAAATGTAATTGTATATTGATCTCAAGGACTCAACTCCCACCCCCAACATGCACTAGCTATCAAGCAACAGTTTGGACATTCTGGGATGGTCACATTTCTGATTAGAGGGGACATACGTGAAGCTGCTACGTTTATAAATTCATTGAAAACTTTCAAAAAAGCACCCTCTCTTGGAACAGATGTCTCAATTGCTAGCATCCCGTGAGTTATTTTTCTCTCATAAAATTAAGTACGAGCTATATTGACGTCTTTATATTGCAGCTCTAAAGCAAGTCATTCATGGCTCCCGGAAGAAGAGAGGCAAAAATTGAAAATAACAGATAATATGATACGACTGTCTGTGGGGTTAGAAAATTCAGACCATTTAATACAAGATTTAGACCAAGCCTTACGCCAAGCTGTGCCCATTTGGATTTAATTGTTGGAGCTTAACAAGTGACGAGAAAATATTTTTGCTCATAGATGCTCATTAATAATTTACGAATTATGCTTGTTCTCGAATTATAAGTACCTGAGAATTAAAGGATGACAATTTATTTTCCTAGTTGAACGAGATCATTTTCCACTTTTATTATTTTTGGACAACTAAACATTTTTAGATGTATTGTAATTTCATATGCTGTTTAACCCCACATTTCGCAATTATTTTTTACAGATAAGCATAATGGGTATTCATCAGTATTTTCGATAAGTATGAATGTTAAGTTATTTTGAACACTCGTGTTGTAGTTTTCGTTTACATAAGAGTTGGAATTAAAACTAGTTCTACTACAACTGTCGTCAAAATCTAAATCAGAATAATCAGTACTATTACTATCTGTACAAAGTAAGGTTTGACCAGCATGATGAACTTGCATTATCGGAGTATTCATATTTTCTCCTTCGTTGGAAATATCTGATGAGCAATTTGCAGGTTCACATTTGAAGATTTGTTTTGGATGAAGACGTCCCCGAATGGTGGCAAAGCGATGATTGTTCACTGGCAAGACAGATACTAACGTTGGTTTTAACACTTTCTCTTGTAACAGAGTAAAAATGTAGCGAATTTGATGTTGAGTTGTTGCATATGCTTGGATTTTCTTATTGCAATGGGGACAAGGTCGGTTATATATGGAGTACAAATTAAATAGCAGCTCCTCTACCTGAATTTCGATATACACATTTTTGTAGGTTTTATAGTTTGATTTGGAAATGAAAGTATATTCTTTATATTACGATCTTTTGATTGCTCTCAATCTGGGGCGCTACTGGGTGACTTTTTCTGTTGCAGGAATATAACAAACTTGTAGAACTACTAGAAATTAGCTGCACTTTATTCTGCTTCGGCTAATAATATAGTGAATGTACGTATTAAGTAAAAGTCCACATAGGTAATGTGTATAACAAAACCAGGCTCACCTTGGAAAAACATGCACCCATGTTGAAAAGCACGGAACAAGGGTAGAATTTCACGTTTCAGATTTTTGCAGTTTCTGTTAGGTTCTCAAAGATCTCAAAGATGAGGCCTGATAAGTAACAAGATTATTTGACATCTTATCAGTCTCTAGATACTTAAGGTCAAGCAATCGTGAATAAGTAAAGTTTGGCTGGCATCAGATTTAATTGAATACCTGGACAACCACAATTGCATGACTTTTGGCAGCTAGGAACACTGGAATTGTAATATATGTAGCTACTACTAGTAGTAGTGAACTCGAGCAAGCAATTTTGCAAGTGAATTTAAGTGAATTACAAGTGAAGCAAAATTGCTAGGCATCCTGGATGGAGAATATGGGGAGGGGAGGGGGCAAGGCAAAGCTGCTTAAACAAATACCTTCGTACCCATGAACCCCTCTCCATAAGATACCTTGCTTTCTTTTCTTTCCCAAACCAAATTTTTATTTTAAAATCTCTTGAAACTTCTTTTACAAAATTTTCAAAGTATTCCAACTGGTCCTAATATTGCGTGTATTAACTCTCGAAGGCTCGATAATAAAGTGAAACGTTCGTTTTCCACTAAACCTCGTTGGTGTCGAATTATTCAATCTTGAAAGTTCGTCATTGGTGAGAAATGTATGAAAACCTATAATGCAACTTTATATAGCCCGAATTTAACGTACATACTTCTTCATGAAATCGAGTTCATTTCATCGAGTATGAAATTTTCATACTCGATTATCAACTTCTGTGTTTGTCTAAATAATCCAAATTTTATTACATTATAACAACGCCGAAGATACTTTAAACAATTTACCGAGCGCTCATTATGCAAGTATTAATTAAGTTTACGTGATTTTTAGTCATTAATTTAAAAATTTATTAAAGAGAATTTCAAGATTCAACATGCTTAGATAGGACGACGATGTTGTACGACTTAAAAATAAAGTAGCTTGAGTTGTAGTTTCCATTAAACATTACTGCCTGTGAAGAATACGAAACAAATGTTGAGGTTTGTGGGAGCAGTGACTTTTATTGATGCGCAACCAGGTACCCAAAAAATCTAGCATTCAGACAGGTCACCAATCATTATTACATTTCAAGTAAAGATGGAAAACAAGTTTGTATATTGATTTTGGAGGGAGCAGGAGAGAACAGGGCCGACGAACGGACAGAGTATTTTTGAAGCAAGGTTTTGGGAATATCTCAGAGTCTCGTGGCATATCACTTTGACAGTTATGGTGCAATTAGGAAGCTATTACTGCTAAGATTCCAATCCAACATGAACTTCAACACTTTTGTGTTTTTTCTCTTTTCGCATCTCGTTAGCTCTCAATTCATAAAATAAGAAGGCGAGAAAGGAATTTTCTCTCGAAAATAGTGAACCCATTCATACATAAATACATACATGCGCTGACTTTTAAGATAGCTTATCGTTTAATAGTAGTGTCCATACATATGCATACACCTACACACACAGGACACATACCTATGGACCAATGTTGGATACTATGTACCAAAGTCTCCGTTTAATACACTTCTCACAATCCTCCTCCCGTATTATTTTGTTTACATTAAGAGACTTGTATGAAGGGTTGTGGCTAATGTTAGTGAAGGCTTGCTTCTGCACCTCCGTTGATTCACCACCTCCAAAATTGTACAATTTTATTATTCCCTTCTCTTCGTGATCGCAAATTAACGATGCACACATCTCTTAAGTCAGTCAACACTCTTGAACCCGGTTGCATTGGACAGAACCACCCTCATATTTCATCCGATTTCAAATTTTACAGACTACTTGACAGCCACGTAACAAGATGAGTCTGTGTTCGCAGAGCTGGGTCCCTGGATCTGATCATCTTCAGCTTATCTGAATCTGAATAACTCATTCTCCTCATCATTTCAAACATTTCACTTCTCACCGATCCTCCTCCTCTGAGAAACTCTTGTGCTACCCTGTGGGTGGACTCCTCTGTCGACCCTTTCTCGACACCACCACCAAAACCTATAGCTCTACATGCATACACACGATATATGAAATAACCTATGCTGTCAGCTTTCCAAAAAATTTTATTATCAAAAAATAAAAATAACCAGCTGCGTCCAGCCACATGCATAGACTTTCCAGAATTAGCGAATGAATCCATAACTTTACATAAAATCAAGAGTCGGGGATAATGTGAGATGAGATATTTAATATGATGCGATGAAGCAGTATGTGTGTGCATACGGGGATGATTCATGACGCATCATAGAAAATCTGAGATGAGGCGACTCATCATCAAGTAGATAACTCAACATCTTCGTCAGATCGTTCATGTAATGAAATCCCTAAAAGTCTGAGCTGTTGTGAACCTCAAAAGCCTCATCCATCCATATAATTTCCACACTTTTGTTTCCGGCACAAATTGAGATCATCAGATCAGTCACACAGCCACCAACTCCAATGAGATAGACCTCTGGCACATAAATGAATATGGTGGATGAGAGCAAGAAAGGGCCCAGCTGTACCCAAATGTTGCCATATTATCAAAGTTGAGATTTTTGAGGTATGCATAAACCAGAATCAATCCCTGGCTGGACGATATAGATTTCATGCTGCTGTAAAAATTATGCATCGTATGGAAATAATAAACCCAGAAACAATATCATGCAGGGCTGCGTAAGAAGTATGAAGGATCATCCCAATTTTTCTTATACGAAATTTTCTCGTGCTATATAAATATATATGTCACGCTTATTTTTTAATATTTTAATTACTTCTTATCAATGCTCTACTGTTTTGGTGTTAAATTTTGCAAAATTTGCTTCAGGACTTCGTAGAAATACGTATAGGTACATATTATATTCAGTAAACTATTGACAAAATATCAACTTGCACTAAAGCTATGGATCGGAGATGTGTTAACTATATTGCTATGGGTTGATTGCCTCAGGGGATTGAATAGACGTTGTGGTAGTATTTTACAAAGTATTTTGTACAGTAGTTATTGGTAGTATTTTACTTTTACATGTGTTCTCTTTGAGAGGAGGGAGTTGGAGGCAGATTGAGGAGAGAAAAGTCAGGTTAAAGAGCCAGAAGCGGACCCTCCGCTATTTGATTATTTGTTTTATGAAACACATTCCGGATCTGATATCACCAACTATCGGCCGTAAAACCAATTTTTCTCAAGTTCTATGAGCTTGGCTTGGTTGAATTTAACTTCACTTGCCCCGTTGATCCATCACCTCTGGGAAACTTTATGAAAGCCGACCCGATTAGTGTGTAAAAGCAAAGGCAATTCTCGTACAAAAACATTCAACATGAAAGCTGCTCCTCAAAATACTTTTTGTTTCTTCCCGAAAGGATTTCAGAATTGTTCGACGACTTTATTATCTTGAAACATGTACGTATTTGTATTGAAAAATTGAGATCACCACGACGTTTGCATTTGCGTAGGAGACTGCGTGAGACGGACTCGTGCATTAATATTCGGAATCTTGCACATTTTTCACAACTTATTATTGCACATATATAGATATGCATGTACCTATGTAGCTATCATTCATTCCTGGTCAAAAATATTCAGAAATGCCAATGGGTTCTAATATGTGTAATTGGACACCTACATAGTGTGATGTCTGATGTGATGTCTTTGTCGGCATGATTGAATGTCCCAAAGTAATATGGGACCACCATGGAGGAGAAATGGTCAGAGAAGAAATACTATCAGATTTCTAACGCTCGATAAACAAGTACATTACGTTATCGGTGGACATAATTCTGCAAAGACAAACCGACTGTAGGTCAGCACCCAACAAAATTTACCAATAATTTCAGACACACAAGATGAATTTATATTCTTTCCATTGAATGTTGATGTTTAATTTTTGTTTTAATGTCTGGATGAATGCATAAATTAAAATTATCGTAGATACAGTGCCTTAATTAATATCAGTATTTCAATACACACAACGCAATTAATTATTGTTTACCTACTTGAATCTTGTACGCAAACGCAGCAAATATTAAATATTATACCGATACATAAGCTGAAATCCAAAATTTAAATCAAGCAAATACAAAGATATACACAGCACCCTTCGCGATCCAACTCTAATTTGATCACAATTCTACAATACTTATGAGACGTAAAAAATCATGTACATATAGATTGGGTATCCTGACACGATTTAGCTAAACGGTTGAGAAAGGATACTCTCATCTCATCATTTTCAAGTTGGACACCAGCTATAAATGCTGCATTTACTTACTCATATTATAGGCATTTACATCTCACCCTCGGCAAAAGGCAGAACAGAGAGCGTTTAACTGCAGTTTTTCACTGTTTTCAAAGAGATAATCCAGCAAAGCAAACGCATGTCGTCTCAGACTTGGTCTTTTACAACAACCGAACCACTGTCTGTCGGAGCCATCCTACATACTTTCCTAATCTATCTCACTTGCTTTGCGCCATAAGGTTCAACCAGTAATCAAGATAGAAAACTGGCTGCTGCTCCTAACTAAAACTAAATACACGTCTCAACTATTACGATCCAGTCGTCTGATCCCATTAAGTTTTGGTAGGCGTTTATAAGCAGTGAAATATTTTATAGAGTGTGCAATTTACCTGATTCATTATACAAGAAAAATTTATTTTACAGACGCACATGTATCCAAACGTTTGAATCTCGTTTATCATTAATTATGAAGCAACCTTTCATATAAAGTTCTCGATTAAGATAGACTCGTGTTGCAACTAAAAAAATAATCCGGTGAAAGTACTACACAAGTTTTTTTTATTCCAATGATCCAAACATACGAACCCATAATAATATCCACCAACGACTTTGGAATGATGCCCACGGGATTCGCAGCACATTCTGCGATGACCTCGCGACATTCTGGACAAGGGTTCTGTGATAACGATGCAGAAGAGGATGGAAACTCATCTACTGGTGAAAGTTCTTCAAATATCACAATGGGAAAGATAAATAACAACAACAAGTCTTCCAACCACAATAAGAAGGTGAAAGCAGCAAGCAGCTTGCCTCAAACCCCAGCAGCATCACAATCAAGTGCCTCCAGTCCATCAGGCATCCTCATCCCTCCAGGTGTTGGCGTTGGTGGGAGACGGCAGGAAAAACCACCCTATTCGTACATTGCGTTGATAGTTATGGCCATCAAAAGTTCACCAACAAAGCGACTAACTCTTAGTGAAATTTATCAATTTCTTCAACACCGATTCTCATTCTTCCGGGGTCAATATCAGGGATGGAAAAATAGCGTGCGTTGAATCACAAATAAACACATTTCATAAACAAACATAAACGCATAAAGGAAACTTAATAATAATTTCATAATTTCGAAATTTTAGGTTCGTCATAATTTATCACTCAGTAAGTAAATATATACATCCATAAAATACATAATTATTATTAATGTCATACTTGTTTGGTGAGGCGTTAGCAGCATCTTCACAAGAGTTTCTATTGAGCGTCCATTGTTTTCTAATGTTTGCTACACTCAAGTTTATGACAGTTTATGCAATTATGCATGAGCATTTGTCATTGCGTTTTAACGAGATATCAGTCCTAAGGTCGGGGGATGTGAAGCCCTCTTGTCATACATTTCGTTTTCAATTGGTTTGCCAAAGTAAACCTGACTTGGTGAATGAGCCCTTTGATGAAAATATTTTAAAATATATATTACAATATTTTCCGTTACCTTTCCGGGCGAGGGGAATAGTAACATTCATAATATTTAATTTAATTTATATTTTATTCGTGATCAAGAATGAAGATCTCTGCTTGTGTGCGCGTGTGTACACACACATGATGGTGTCTGATGGTGGGTCAATAATTGAATAGAATCAAGGGGTTAAATGCGAGTTTAACATTTGCATTTTTTATCACGTTATCAATTATGATAAGACCTCAGCCGCACCCACAATGTTGTGAGCGTCTTTCTCAAGGCAGGGGAACTTGTGCTCTCTACTTATGCCACCCCTGATCCCTTCAACAATTTATTGTTTTTATTAATAAAGATATGTAACTCATTGTTTGATTTTTAGATGAATGCTTTATAAAGCTGCCCAAAGGTCTCGGACGCCCAGGTAAAGGTCACTACTGGACTTTGGACCCCTCTTCGGAACACATGTTTGAAGAAGGGAGTTTTCGGAGGAGGCCAAGAGGGTTTCGTCGAAAATGTCAAACGCTGAAACCCTTCAATTACTTTTCAAATCCGCACATGCCGAACTACATGACATCGGACGGATCACCTGGAGGAGCAGTCACCCTATTCAATCACCAATCTCACCACAACCAATACGACTCCATGGGGAGTGTTCCTTTTTCTTGTGGAAACTCGACCACAGTCTCCGTTGGTGGCGTGGCTCCATGTGAACTCCCTCCTGCCACCATCTCACCTTCGTCGTCGTCGGCCATTGGAGTTGGGGTTGGCGTTATTCAGAACAACCCCTTTGCCTTCAATAATAGCAACAGTAACAATCAACAGCATCATCAGCATCACCATCAGGGCCTTATGGGACAGCAACACAACAACAATAGTGGAGGTGGAGGCAATGATAACAATAATCCTAGCTCAATTTCTCACATTTCCCAGTTCGTGTCTCCATTTGAGACTAGTCCTGTATATACAAGCCAATACAGCCCACCCCAATATCACCACCACCATGAGCATCATTACACGGGAAGTCATGTTAGTGGTTCCATAAACAATCCACACTACTCCCCCCTGGATTTTGATGAGGTGGGAGGTCCACAAGGAAATGGGGGTAACAGCACTCCAGCAAGTGGTGATGGTGAAAGTCCTCAGCATCAGCTCTCACTGAACAATACCAGCTACGGCGGATTGGGAAGCAATAATATCAGTGGGGAAGGAAGCAATTATGACTGTTCCTCAATAACAAGTAACAATAATACTGCTTCTTCTTCCCCTTCATCTTCTTCTGCTGCTGCTGTTGCGGGGAATAACAATGGGAGCCCTTCCAGTCAACCAATTCCAGTCTCATCCTCCACCATAATCTGTCCCAATATTAGTACAGGCACTGGAGGTCATGTTTGGGGTTTGGCATATGGTGTTGGGGGTGGTTCAACCGTACCACATTATTACAACAGGATTTCAGATCGCGTAATCGGGAGTGAAAGTCCCATTCAGGGCCCGAATGAGAATAACTGCGGTGAAATGGTGGGCTCCTCCGTCCACCTTCGTGGACTGCATGCATCGAATTTTGTTGGACACCTTTCCGAGTCCCAAATGACGATTGCTGCTGGAGTACATCTCAGAGCCCATTTATCCTCACCAAATTCATATTGGTAAGTCTGCATACATTATTTACTGCTGCATAGTGTTGCATCCCTCAAGGAATCAGTTCACATATAAATTCAGGGATCGTTTCAGTTATCTGTGAAATGGGATAGATACCAAAAAGTTGTTTTGTCTTCAGTTTACAATTTTAAGGAAGGGAAGGGCCTTACTTCCGACTTTGGTGGAAGCATCCAATAAATGGTTTGGCTTAACTGAACAACATTAACAAAAAGACGTTGCACATATGTATGCAATGGTTAGTTAGCTAAAAACGCAAAGTCGACAATCTTAACCTTTTAAATAATATTCTAACTTTTACGTTACACGAAAATCGTATGAGTAATGCAAGTAATATTCATACGTATGTATGCATAGCAAGTAAGTATTTAGTAGTTCTCTCTCTACCGCAACTTGAGAGTTTTATAACGCATCGTATTCTAATAAGTGTGTACATATAGATTCCAGGAGTGGTATGAATGCATGTTCAAGTCAAGAAAGGTCTCTCAAAACATCATAACTTTTAATTTCGTGTTGGTTGTCTGGTATTTTGAATGCTCTAAGAGTTGAGACTCCAGGGCATGACTTTAATGGCCTGCTGTCTATCTTGAAGATCTCGTGGAAATTTTAAAAGGCAAAGAATAAAGGACTTTAAGCCGACGGTTTTTGAGAGCACCAAGTTTACATATTTAGGAAAATAATATTAGACTCGTACAGCAGATTCACTATCAATATGTATTTAGTAAGCTAAGTGTCTGCTAGTCTTTGAAAAAATGTTAAAAAATTACACTACAAAAAATTTCACGAATTTATTATTTCGGAAATATGAAATTATATAATAATTTCAGTAAGTATTTATGTACATGAGGCATAAAAATGTGGTTTGAAAGCAGGTAACGGAAACTGTATTTTGATAGATAGGAGTCCTAAATTACTTTTCGATCTGATTGACTCAGAGCCTCACATAATTTCAATCGCCATCACGGACATAAAAATCCAGACAAATTTTAACTTTATTGTTTGAGGCAATAAAAAACTGTGCTAGAATAAAACTTCCATGTATTAACTATCATCATATAGATCATATAGTTCGTGTGATCTAAATGTCCAGCAGTAATGTTTTCTACGACCACACGCAATTAGTCATGCATCGTGTAGTCTCACATAATTAATGTATTCGTAAGTAATTATTGATAAAAACAAGGCATTGGGCAGACAGCAATTAAGTTTCACTATCAACGAACTCATTAACAACACAGACTGTCAGTTCGTATGTAACTGTGTATTTATAATCCACCAAAATACAACAGTCAGCAATATCTTACCAACGCGTACGTATGCAGTAAGTGATATGAATATTTGTTGGATTGTGATCATGGGAATGTGAGAAAGCTAAGAAAGCTAAGGAAATACGAAGGGTTGATGGTTGATCTGTCTGTGGGATGATGATTTAAAGGGGTGAAATTCGTGTTAAAATCCTTCAGATTTATGAGCCAACTGCATCAACTGCCAACTGCATCGCGAGCAAAAGGAACAAAATCTTTGTTTTCATTGTAAGATTCTGAGAACTGTCGTTTCATTTTGATCGCATCATACCAAACTCTTTCCTTAAAATAATAATATCATCATGCTCCACATTGTGAAGTGCACAATTTTAAGAGTTGCATCATACACATGGACATTTGGAAATATTTGAATATGTGCAAGTACAAACTACTAAACCAACCAAGCAATAATCGTGCCTGGGCTATCCTAGATGAGAATGTCAAATATTATTTACTGAAATCTCGATACAATATTACTTTGTTTCAGAAAACAAGCCAAGTCTCACAGTGCCTCCATCTCATCTCGCCTCCATCCCTGAGACATTTGTAGAGAAATACTACGCCAAAAACCTGATGCTGACTTTTAGATCCAACCATCAGGACACAACCGATGAAATGGAAAATGGAACCTGCTTCTCTATTATAATCATAACTAGGAAATACCAATTAGTAATTTAGCAAGAATTAAAATACCTCTAAAATAATTAGAATTAATAATATTTTATCCAGTTGTACGTACCCTTTACTAGTCAGTACAAGACATACAATAGCTTTTTAATTAATTTTATTTAGATTATGTTTTACGGTGGTATTTTTCTCACAACCCTATAATCAATAATTTATCAATGCAATTAATTTTTATTATGAATATAAGTTTCTACAGCCTTCTTGATATTTGTTTCGTCATACGTATAGTATTGTTAAGTATTACATATTGTTAAGATTCTTAATTTAAGAACCTCCTCTCACATACGTAATTTTGTGTTGATCAGCACAGTCAACAGTTAATAAAAAAAAATGTAAACTTGCATCGATTGACTTTGTTTTTCTCGGTCGTCTCTCGTCTCAAAATCCCTCTTTTTCTGTAGCAGCAGCGCAGCGCACTCCGCCCCGATCGTGCCGTGGGTTTTGAACTCGACATGCTGCCATGTGCATCCAGTGATATGTTTCATTCAGCACACACAAATATTTTGGAACCTGAGAATTGCTAGTATTTTTCTAGGCTGGTTCGATAGTTTTTGATAATTATTTGATGCAATAATAGTAATAATAATTTGACCAAGTTAGTGATAAATCTTTCAACACCGTTATATCAAAAGGGAATAAGAATAAAAATATCGTGCGATGGGAAGAAAAACAAATTGGGCCGAGAAACCAAAAACAGGACCTGGGCGTAAAGCACGAAAGCAGCCACCCCCTGCTTTTGAGAGGGATGGGAAGAAAGGTAGTGCTAACTAAGGTGTAACGTTTCAATAATTTGCTTTCGGTATTAAGGTTTTCATACTTTACTTTTTGTCTTTCCCCAGGTGGTGAACTTAGAGAGAAGAGAGAGCGTAAACGTTTAAGCAATACAGTTAGACCTGCAGAAAATGAGAGGGGAGGTGTGCGAAGGCCCCCACAGAAGCGTTTCCAGTCCAGTACCCAAAATGAGGACAGAGGAGGTGCGACAACAAGGCCACTTAGGAAACGGTTTCCGGACAAGAATGTAGGAGAGGAAGATGTGGCGAAAAAACCCAGAAAAGTGGGGGCAGCTCCTAAGGAGGAGGAGGAGGACGAGGATGAGTCGTTTGGCAACAACGATGAACCGATGACATTGGAGAGCAGACTACGGAAATTGTCCGACATGAAGCCCACTGGAAAAGGTGATGGTACAAGTGGTTCTCCTACTAGGAATAATCGGAAGGAAAAGCCAGCCCGTTTTAAGAAACAAACCGTTTACAAGTCTGATTCAGAAGAAGACGAGGAGAAAGAGGAAGAGTCAACTGCCAAGTTAGACTCGACCTTTGCCATGAGTGACGATGATGATGACGAAGAAGAAGATTTGCTGCCCTTTGAAAAAGAATCAGTTGAAACCGAAAAAGAGACTGCAATGGATATGTATGTAGTATATTGCGATTTTAAACAAAAAATTAACATGAATTACCTTCGATTATTGCAATTTTGATGATTTTCAGGGAAATGTCAGAGGCTGAGCTTAAATCTCAAATGGAAGATTCTGAAAAGTTCCAGTTTCCAGATGCTGACGAGATTGAAGGTGCTGATATGCAGCAAGTCAATGATCGCATTCGTGACGTCATCAGTACACTTTTAAATTTTAAGGATAAAAGAGAAGAAGGAAGGTAAACATGCATACAAACTGACACTTTAAGGCCGATGAAATAAGAAATTGACATTTTTGAATTTAAATGTGCATTATTTCTTTGTATTGTAGAACACGATCAGAATATACGGACCTGCTGCTTCATGACTTGTGCAAATATTACGGATATAATGAATATCTTATGGAAAGATTTATGGCAGTTTTCACTCTAGGGGAGCTGGTAGATTTGTTGGGTTAGTGAAAATATTTTGTTTTATATTAGCATTACGTTAAACTGGTATAGACTAAGCTATTTCTGCTATTTAAACTTCTACTAGAACATAGAAGGGAATATAATACTCTACTTATTAACTCTCTTTCCGTTCAATTTATTAGATGCAAATGAAAATCCAAGACCGTTGACTATTCGAACAAATACTCTAAAAACACGAAGGCGTGAAGTTGCACAAGCATTAATTTCTAGAGGTGTTAACTTGGATCCTGTTGGAAAGTGGTCAAAGGTCGGTCTCGTAATTTACTCCTCTCAAGTACCCATTGGAGCTACTCCAGAATATTTAGCTGGCCACTACATGATTCAAGGAGCTGCTTCATTCCTTCCGGGTAATTATATGTTCAAAAAAATATATATACACTTCTTAGTGTGATTACCTATTATCAATTTTTTCCTACTTTTCATAGTCATGGCGTTGGCACCTCAAGAAAATGAAAGGGTGCTCGACATGTGTGCTGCACCAGGAGGAAAATCGACTCATTTGGGTATGTACATATTCAAAATTTTGACGCAGATTTATTGCATGTTAAAACTTATTCAAAAATTGTCATATTGGTATTTCAGCTGCTCTGATGAAAAACACAGGAGTTTTGTTTGCCAATGAGTTTAACAAGGATAGAGCAAAGTCGCTAATTGGAAATTTTCATCGGATGGGAGTAAAAAATTCAGTCATATGCTCCTATGATGGCAGAAAATTTCACGAAGTTATGAAAGGATTCGATAGAGTTTTATTGGATGCCCCTTGTTCAGGAACTGGAGTTGTATCCAAAGACCCGGCTGTCAAAGCACAAAAAGACGCAAAAGACATTCAACGAAATTCTACAAAACAAAAGGATTTAATTTTAACTGCTATTGACTGTCTTGATGCAGGATCAAAGACTGGTGGTTACCTTGTTTATTCTACTTGTTCCGTTTTGGTAAATACTCGAATCATGATAAAAATCAATGCGTAAAATAACGATGTGTAAAATATGATTATTTTCTATTTACTTTAGCCTGATGAAAATGAAGCTGTTGTAAACTACGCGTTGAGTAAAAGAAATGTCAAGTTGGTTCCAACAGGCCTTGACTTTGGCACTCCTGGCTTTGCGAACTTCCAAGGAAAGAGGTAATTTATGTATTGCTGGTTTAATAATTGCAATACAAAATTAAACTTGGGATGTTATACTAAAAAATTTATTTTACTTATTCATAGGTTTCACCCCACATTGAACCTCACAAGAAGATTTTATCCTCATTCTCACAACATGGATGGGTTTTTCGTTGCAAAGTTAAAGAAGTTTAGCAATTCCATTCCTGTTAATGTCCAAGAAGTAGATGAAGAAGAAGAATCAGAGAAAGCTGGTCAAGCTGAAGAAATTGCAGAAAAATTGACCAAGAAGAGAAATAGAAAACAAAATAAAGCTTAGTTATTATTGTTTCCTAATATACAAGCTCCGTTTATCCGCGACATACTATTATTGTTTCTATCAATAAACTATAAATCCGGCTCGTTTTAAAAATCTCTTTAAAAATCATTCCATTTAATAATTATTCCTGAGACAGTTGCATGGATGATTGATGCATATGCATATTTATGTACGTCATCAGTGATATCGATAAAAGTCAATATAGAGATATGAGATTAAAGTGAAGTAATTGCAATGATACATAACTATACGTAACACAGGTGTAACGAGCAACAAGTAGTCGAGTTGCTACATAGACAGTACTGTTGTTCTCGATGATTCCGTTGATTTAAAATTGCAACGACGTCACAAAATTCATCCGTGGAGGAAGTGTGAACAGTAGTGAACAAGAAGTAGTGCATATATACATTTAGCAGTGCACAACTCAAAGTCAGATCTCCACCGTTTGTTGGAACAAGTCGTATTTTCTTTGCCATCCCATCTGAAATCCGATCGCACAGAATTCGACGAAACCGTTGTGATACATGGTTTTATGTGTTTAGATTACAACGAGTAATAAAACTCTTTCTTCTCGTACATCTGCCACGGGAGTGAGATGACTATTGCATGACTAAGGAGAACATTTCAGTTTTGTGTGTTAGATATCATGTTTGAATTTACCTAACTGTGCGAACATGTTGAGAAAATTATCCGAAAGAGTTATCCCTATCCCTATAAATCTTTTGCACTTTCAATCCTTCAATTTGATAAGGTCTTCAAATTCAGTGGAAACTATTTTCTTAAAATTCCAGACCATTTTTCTCTCATATACCCCTAAAATAATTTGTTGATTTAAAATGGAACGGCTAAGTGTGGACAATTTGTCCTTGGGGATGGGCATCTTGGCCCGGAAATCTCTGACCACGAGTGGTTCAAGAAAAGCGAGTCAAATTTCTCTACTAAATGACTCCTTTGCGGAACATTACCATCAAATTGACGATAGAAACTGGTCATGGACGCATCTCAGAGTAATTGATCATTTACACTTATTAATATTTTATTTACATGCGAGTTTTACGGTGATTCATCAATTCATCAGCATACATATTTACGATACTAACCAATAAATTCCATTTCAGGAAAGCTTTCGGCGTGACAAACTTGGTGCTTTATATGACCACTACCAGCGTCGCCTTCAAAATTCATATTTTAATGTATTCCTCTTAGTTCAAGCTGTCCTTAGCTTAGCTTATTTTGGATTTTTAATATACGTTAGCCTAGTGTATGCAACTCGCGACATTGAGTTTGAAGGATGTAATTCCACAATCACCAGCATCAGTTGCACAGCAAAAGTAATACTTGTATATATATGAATATGAGTTATATAATTTGACCTTACATGGCATGGCTTCTGCAGTACCACCCTATGAACAATCAAGAGTGTAACGAATCCATGTTCTATATTCTCTTACAGGACAATTTAGAACTTGCTGTTCCTGAAATGGTCGTTCATGTCATAATCTCAGTTCTTTGCATTGCCATATTCATGGCAGTATTCAATGAAACATTATTTCGGTCAAATCCACATTTACAAATTGTGATTTCAATAATCATCTGTCTGGTGATGTTAGTTGGTGATCTGGGGCTATCAGTAAGTGGACCAGTTAATTATGCAACAGCAGATTAAGTATTATCACCATTCTCTAATAAATAGGTTCCTCACTTTAATTTTTCTCAGGTGTATTACTTCCAAAATTACAGACTGATTAGAACAACCTTTGCGTTCCAAACAATTATTATCATATATTTTTTTCTACCCGTGCCACAAAAACGACAGGCAATTCTACTGGGAGCTGTAAGTTCCACAGCACATTTGATAATTTCTGCAGTGTTTTACACCAGCGATGATCGAGATCACGAAGTATTCCCACTGGTTTTCGCCGAAGCCATTTATTATTTTTGTGGAAATGCGGTTGGAGTATACTCACGACTCTTATCAGAGATTGCGATTCGACGAGCATTTATGGATCGGAGAGGCTACATTAAGAGTACAATTAAGAAGACGTATGAAAAAGATCAGGAGGTACATTTAGATTTACCGTTTATGTATGCAGATTTTAGAATAACACAATTTCAGTAGGGGCAAAAAGTCTCATTTTGCCTCCTTCTCCTCTTCCTTCAGGATCAACTCTTGCTCAGCATCCTACCAGAGCACATTTCTTCCAAAGTGCAACAAGAATTGCGTAATGCTATTCAACAAATTGCAGAGTCTCAATCTCAATCTTCCCATCATCGCAATAGCACCGGAAGTTCTCACAATCAGCACATACACCACAAAAAACCATTCAGGTATTCAGCTCCATTTTGTTTAAAGGACTACTGATCTGAACTGGTGATTCATGAACTTGTAGTGATTTATTTGTCGAGAGACATGATAACGTCACCATTATTTTCTCCGATATCGTCAACTTTACGCCATTGACTGTGAAAATGCCAGCCGACGAATTGGTCGAGACATTAAACGAACTTTTCGGACGGTTCGATGAGGCAGCCACCGTATGCTAAATAAATATATTTACAATTTTTAGTGAAATAATTCAATCAACATAGAATTATTGCTATGCATAGAGGAATGGGTGTGTCAGAATTAAATTGTTGGGCGACTGCTATTACTGGTTTGAACCTTACACTATATAATTTCTGAAACAAGTTATATTTAAATTTTATTTCGTATATTTTGCTAAATATGTAAAGTGTGTCTGGACTTAATGAACCGACGCCAGATCATGCAAAAAATTGTGTCAACTTGGGCTTTGAAATGATTGAAATTATTCATCAAGTAGGCATGCAATACAGGTAAAGTTATCCAAAAATTATTACTAAATAAAAATTTTTAAGTCAAAATTCTTGTGATTAATGTTTAACTGTTACGAACGTTTAGAAACAAATTAAAGGTGGATTTGGCGATGCGAATAGGCGTGCATTCAGGAAATATTATGAGGTGAGCTCTACAAATAAAGCAAGCGATAAGATGAAAAATTGTTTGAATTATTTGTAAGGTTGGGATTGGACTTTGGTAGAATAAATATTTTTAAAATATAAATATGAATATAACTTTTAGTAGAATTTTAAAGAAAACTGGAAAAGTATTTACGTATGCTCTTTTTTATTCTTGCAGCGGACTCTTGGGTAAGTTACAATTTAATAATCTGTGACCAAATATTTATGTAAATGGACATACAATTCATAAAACTGGTTTTATGTTTCCATTAAAAATAAAATTTAATCTGGACCATGTCAATTATTTTTTCCCTAATTGATACTCTGTAAATACAACCTTTTGATCAATATCAATTATTTCTGCCATTGGCAGAGATATTTTGTTTATTAAATTCTTTCAGCAGATATAATGTGTGTTAGAGGTGTAAATACTAAATTAATGAATAATAATTGCATGCAATGAAAATATTATCGACGAGTCCCCACCCCGCGCCCCATAATCAATAGTGAGCTGTTATCAGATAACTTTATATATTTTTCTTGCAGGGATTTACAAATGGCAGTTTGATATTTGGTCAAGAGACGTTACAATTGCGCAGGTATTTCAAAAATTTAGATTTATAGTGACGTAAATGTATTTTGACCATCCCTTCAATTGCATAGCATATGGAACAATCTGGAAAACCAGGGTGACTTATATATTTAACAATATGTACGCACTTATAACTGTATCATCACTAACAATAGTATCAATTTTGCTACTAAAATTATAGACGAGTCCACATAACAAAACAGACAAAAGCATTCCTCGGAGATGATCTCCCATATATATGCAAACCAGCTTATGGGAAGATGAGGGACAAATACTTGAGTGACAATGACATTGAGACGTACTTGATATCACCTCCCCGTAAACTCGAAAACAATTCTGTATGAGAAACCAGTAATTGATGTAGATTTGAATCAGATCAGCATGCATTTGAGATAAAAATAACAAAATTGATACGTGTACAGGATGCAGACCCTGATGATTTTGAGGAGGACGAAGTGGAAAATGTGGTTGAAGAACTGACAAGTCCAAATAGCACCAAGACAAAATTTAAAGTTAAAGGCTTGGGTCCTTCTGCCCGCAGAGGAAGTCAAGCTTTGGGAAAATCCGTTGATCTAATTCGAGTATGGCGAATGAATGAAAGTTGTAGTATTGTTCTCTCATTCTTTTATTCATGGTATTCATGTGCTGATGAAATTGGTTTTTAGCGAAAATCAATCAGAGCTAACCAAGATAGAAGAAATAACTTGTCTGGCAACGACGTGATGCGATATTTGACCATGTTGGACAAAGTGAACCAACAAATGGAGAAAGCCATTGATGAAATGCCCCTTCGAAAATCAGAGTGAGTATAAAAATACATAGGCACCTATACCTATTTAGAATTGGCCAAGCTTTAGTGAAGTCGTATTGAATTGCAGTTTTTGTACATAGACAATGGTGTCCCGGAGAAAGTCGCCATAAGAATAGCATCACGAACCAAGTCAATCCTTACACAATGAGTTTTAATGAAATGGACTCTGAAATTCACTTCCAATCTCAACCGGATCCGCTCTTCAAGTTCTACATTGCCTGCTCCTTGTTTGTCCTCTTGTGTATTGGAATTGTACAGTCAGTCACGGTTCCTCCGTAATCCGACTTTATTTATATAAAAAACTCACAACGCCATGTTCGGAAACGGAATCAAACTTTTTTCGTCCTTCTTTAGAGAACATCTTAGCCTGTGGCTTTCATTTGGTGGAGGTTTGAGCTGCCTCATGATTCTCATCCCTTTTGTTTGGGTGAGTTTTCATCTAGCAAAAAAAAATGCTTTCTTTTGGGGGATGCAAAATACATAAATGACTGTAGAATTGCTAGTAATTAACGCAATCAGTTGATGCATAATGCACGCGATGCTTATCGTGGATTTTAATTTCTCTGTTTTTAGGTGGGATATATTTGGAGTAGAATTAAAGATCCACATCGGGAACTGGATTACGTGCCTGAACCCGAAAACAAGCTCATTCGATTTTTCTTTAACACTTCCACACGAGTCTCTAGTAGTTGGATATGGAGAACTATTTTGTACCTTTCAATTTCTCTTTTGATTTCCGCTTTTGCCATTATCGATGTGGTAAGTGAACACAAGTCCCTAAGGATTGTATATTGTAACTTGTGTTCGTATTATGATGTTTCAGTTGGAATGTACGGCTGAGAAATGCGAATCGCCGTGGGTATGTATATTTATCATCAGTGATGATATTTACCAGTTTCTAAATGCATTGTAATTTTATTGATTCTTTAGTATTTCACATTCAGTTGCTCTTTGGCAGTATTGATAATATTCGCCTTCTTCAGGATCCATTATTTCTTGAAACTCCTCGTCAGTGTACTAAGTATGACGGGATACTTCACCATATTTAGTATTCGCCATGAAGTCTTTGCTGTATGTACACTTTATAAAAGTTTATTTCAATATTTGTTTTATACCAAAGTTATTCAAATTCATCATAGTTTTGTATACCCGTGGTCTCTTTAGCAAAACAATGGTGTAAGCCCTGCCTTGTTCGCAGTAGATCTTGAAATGTATTCTCATATCATTTACTTAATTTGGATTCTTTTACTTCTACATGTTATGGATCGCCAGGTATGTAATAGTACAAATAGGCATCGTTTTCACATGCTTTGTACATAGTGTTATATGGCGCAGATGGAGTACATTAATCGTTTGGATTTTGTGTGGAAGAGAAAATTAACAGAGGAACACAAAGAAGGTAGTTGGGCACATTTAATATTTAAATAAGTTAAGAAGTCATTCATATTTAATGCCAGTGGTGAAAGTTGAATCATTTGTTGCTTTCAACTTTTTCCAGCATCCATGACACACGCAGTTAATACAATACTCATTCACAATATTCTCCCCACTCAAATTGGTATGCCAAATGAATTGGTTGATTGGTTGACCTTTGTCCAATTTAATGTTGAGATTAAAATTCGGTAGCAAAAATATATTTGGACCCCAACCGAGCTGGAGAAGGTTATAGTAGAACCTACAACAACGTGTCCATCAGTAAGTAACGCTTAAAGACTTGAAGCTGAATTTAGCCGTATGTAATTATGCCGTATGATTATGAGTATAATATTATAACTGATAAGTCAGGCTATTGCCAACATTCTCCAGATTATTCCAGCATTTACTTTAATTTTAGTGTTTGCTAGCATCCCAGACTTTATGGATTTTTACTCCGAAAATGATCTCAACAAGCATGGGCTTGTGTGTCTCAACGTGCTGAATCAAATTATTACTGAATTTGATCAGGTTTGTATTTATGTACATGTCAATTTAAACTCCACTAACTGTAATTAATCAATTATAATTTTTAGGCACTTTTTAATCATGTGGATGTAGAGAAAATCAAAGTAATCGGATCGTAAGTTTATGTGTCAATAGGATATCGATGTAGTATGTAGTATGCGTCATGAGACGAATAAAGGTTGGGAACCTAGGATTAATAATTCCTTGGTTGCAGATGTTATATGTGTGCGTGTGGTCTCGAAGTTCATGATACTGGACGACTTTCGACCACTTCATTTGTGGGGGGTGATGACGAAGAGTAAGAATTTAATTTAAAAAGCATCGTTCAGGTCAAGCTCATTGAAACTAGGTCGTCACACATTTATCAACTAAGACATCCTGAGTAGTAACTCATATTGTGTAATTGTACAAACGTGTAGATGTGTTCCAACCTGGCGAGATTATGGACGGCACACAAACGGGATTGAAAATATTGAAAAAAGAAAAAAGACACTGTATACATTGGTCAACTTCGCGTCAGACATGATGGTGAGACTTCTCATTCTATCGTTCATTTGGTGTTGCATTCATTCTTGATTTTGTATTTTAATTATCACTACTTATTTCGTCCTTAGGTAAAACTTCAAATGATCAACAGGGAAGCATTTCAAGACTTTCAACTTCGAGTTGGTTAGTTAGTCGTCACACTTTTAAGATAGACTTTTTGCAAATTATTTAAAATGATTTGATCCTTCAGGGGTGGCAACAGGATTAGTGGTGGCCGGTGTAGTCGGTGTGCAAAAACCATTGTTTGACATCTGGTCGGATACGTGTAATTTAGCGTCTCGCCTCGACTCTCATGGTCAAACGGGGAAAGTTCATGTATAGCTTTTAAATTATAAAGCACTTCTTTAGATTCCTACATATATGGAAATCAATGATTTACTTTTGAAGGTTACCGAGTATGGTGCAGATCTTCTTGCACAGAGTGGAATAAAATGCGAATTTCGTGGTGAGTTAATAAGTTTGGGAATATAAATATGTCTCCATGCAGTCGGTGAATGATGCCCAATATTTTTTCTTGGACTTAATAGGTGTTACGAATATCAAAGGAAAAGGAAATATGAGAACGTATTTTGTCTGCATGGACGAACACTATAAAATTCAATATATCGATAATCCTGACGTTACGACTTCTGCTGCACTGGATTACAGAAATAAAGTTGATTGTACTCATTTATGAAAGTTTAATGTATATTCGTCTGTTTACTTTGTTATAAACATTAAAATTCATTGAAACACATTGTCCGAAATAGTATATTACTCATCTTCTGATTCTTCGGATGCGGTTTCGAGCCACTCAATAAATTTTTGCACCTAGATTTGTACGCAAAATTTTATATCACAAATGTTATACAAATTTTTTCAAATTGTTACTTATACATTTATGTATATATTAAATATGTATACCTTGTTGCGTATTTCTGCGCCTGCTTCATACAGGGATTCTTTTTTGTACCATTTGAATATTACGTCTTGGCTGAGTATATCTTCGTCATAATAGTAATGGAGTAATTGCATAGTCATGGGACGGAAGTAAGGACAGTCATTGGCATATTCCTATTCCAATTGATACACAATTTATTATATTGCTGCAAGTTACTTGTTATCTTGATTATAGTACAATTATGTGTTTATTGTTACCTCAATTGTTTTTAGCAAGCTCTCTTGACCGGCTAAATTTTTTACGTAAAGTTTGAGAAGTTCTGTATATTTTACAACGATAACTTTGGTTTTGTTCCATTGAATAACCAAAGAACTTTCAAGAAAGTCTGAATACAATCTAGGAGCAAGGCCTAATATCCCTTTAATGACTGCCACGGTAGCATGATCAAAATACATAAAGTTGGCAGTTCGGGATCCTTGAATTTCTACAAATAGATTATCCAGAGCGACATTGTCAGTGAATCCACGATGCAAGCTCTCCATTACTTCTTCCGAAAATCCTGTATACAATAAAGTACAAAATGCATAAGGATACCTAAGGTTTCGGATAAGTATTTATATATTGTCAATGTAGATTCTATTGTTTGTTAAATACTTGTAAAATCTGCTTCTTGGTGTCCACCATACATCATGTTGTCCTTTCCATTTGCAGCATAATCATCATCATCCTCATCAGATTCGTCGTCCTCGGTTGGGTTGTTTTGAATTTGAAATGTGCGATCACCGACAATTAAACTATTTGGAGGCATATTCCGATCAAGTGTGATACAAGCCCCGTCTAATATGACGCATCTGTCTATTTTGCACCCATCCTAATTAGAAGATATACATGTAATCAAATAATAATTTAAAACAAAAGTTGATGAGACGTAGTAAATACAACATACTTCAATAGTAACTCCATCCCCAATTTGTGCGTTTGTAATTACTGAATTTTGGCCTACAAAACATCGTCTTCCTATGGAGCTATTCTGGATGGTAACACATTTACCCACGGTAGTTTCACATCCAACAACGGCTACAGGTCCAATAATGGCATCTCTGGTGTTGTAAAGGGTAAAAAATCATAATAAATATCAGTGACTTGAGAATCTCAAGTTGAGATTATTTAAGAATCTATCATTTAAGTGACATGTTACATGTTACGTACCTGGATGCTATAACATTAGCCACTTTATAAACAAAATTAGCTCCCATATGATAAACGGGATCCCCTGGGTTGGAACCAAATGGCATATCGGGAACAAGTGGATAACTCCATCGTTCGAGCACGTCAAGACTACAAATGCGAATAAAACGACATTAGGTGCCAGATAAGTAAATACATTAGCGACTTGAAATGAGCTATCGCCTTGAGTTATGTATTTAAAACAACGGTTCTTACCTTACACCCATAAAAGAATCAAAATCCACAATACGATTTGCATAACCAGTCTTCATTTGTCGAAGATATATTGTATTTCCCATCACTTCTTCGTTCATGAGAATATTCTTTATAAAATCTTGAATACTGACAAAATCAAAATTGTCTGTGAATAATGGCAGTACGCTGGAAGAACAAACAGCGATCCCAGTATCGACAGTATTTAGAATAACCTCCATTTCTCGTTTCAGATTTTCCTTTTAGAATATAAACATTATTCTTCATTACATTTTATATTAGGAGATTAAGAAATTTTTTCACATAATGACCATACTATACTTACAGTTGGTATTTTCATTCCTTTGTCTTGAATTTTATTCGAATAAGCCAGCACCTTCCCTGTATTGTGATCAAGGAGAATGGACTGATTATCCCTCACTGATCGAGATCTGTGACCTACAGGCATTTTCCTATGGATCAGCGTCATTACAGCTCCTTTATCCAACTTCATAATTTTTCTATGATCTTCAAGCAGCGGTTTAAGTGCAATGTTTGTCAAAACTCCAGCAGCCATCAGAATAAAATCATTTCTTATCATTCCCTTTGCATCTAAATCTCTCAGGGCGTCCCCCAACGAGTCACAATCTTCGGAGGAAATTACACTAATTTTCACGTTCAGATCACTCCATTTCGAATTCCTTCAAAGTAACAAATTCTTGTATTTTGGAACATTATTTTAGCAAATTCAGACTTGGTGTACCTTATGTGATCCTTGATAGCTGTGCCTCCTTTCACACCGCTTGAGCAATAAATAAAAATGTCTTGGACCCCCGACACCGTCAGCGCTTCCAACGAATAGTCCAACAGCTTCCTATTTCCCAGTGGAATCAGGCACTGCAAAATTAGAATTGTTTCTCAATATATAAGAATTACAACAGAACTGCTTGACAAAGATTAAAAACAAACCTCTTGTGACAAATTGGGGTCAATTTCTGGTTCTTCTTGAGTAATATCCTTTTCGCCTTTTTGTTTATCGTCACCATATTCACTGTCGTCGTCATCATCATCGTCGTCATCACCAAAAATATTTCTGTTCGGATATCGCTTCTCTGCCCATTGCGGTCCAAAAATTGAGTAACCGAAATTATCCGCAAGAAGCACGGCTTGAAATATGTCCTCCTTTTCCTCTCGAAGTATATGAACTTTTGGAGCCATCTTCCTTCCTCACGGGATTAATTAAATAACTGAAATTTTGAATTATTTAAAAAAATCCGAATTTGGAAAAGTGAAAGGTTCAAAGCGAAACTAGTCTCAAAATTGTGTTCAGTTCAGCTGAATTTCGTCATTTCGTTGTGTGACCATATTGACAACCTCTACATTGAATTATTTTTAGGCCGGTTTGAAGTCCCACTCGGCTTAAAGTGAGATTTTCCTCTACATGCATTATCGAGAGGAAAGTGAGATTTTGTCTCATCCTAAATACGTTATATTTCTGGAAAAATGCAATCCTATATTCTTCTTCGAAACACTAATCATAAATTTTCAGTCAAATAAGATATAAAAATTAATAGATAAACATATTACCGGAAATAATCTGTCCTTAATTATTAAGTTGTAAATTACAAGATGTATGCATCATGTGCAGCAATTTCCTCTTGCAAAATGACAAAGAAAAGGGTCATGTATATCTGTATATCTTACACAAGACGGGACATTTTGAGCAGATGGGAAGCAGGAGTGAACCTTTGTTCTTGATGAAAAGGCTTTAGCATAATCATTTGAATCAATAATGGTGATTTCAGTATTTCCAGTGCACGAGCCAGCTAGCTCCAAGCCCTATATAAGTACTTACACGGGTACATAGTTACATATGTGCGCTTATAGTCCACAGCCATCCCACGAATTCAACCCAAAGTGTATTCTTCTTATCATCATTCAGGAGAAGCTGAAAGAAATCGTGGGTAGCAGCCTGTTGCGTGTGTTCTTTCGGTTCACGGTTTTGCCCTAACATGATGCTGGAGAAATGGATGCTGGATGCACTACTGGAATAGCAATGTACATATATCGTCATATCGTCCAACCAGTATTACAAAGGGAATCATTTTTACACGTCTATCCAGCCCATCATTTCCAAGCGTGGGATAAGTCCTGAAGACTGAAATTCAGAACTACTGTGTGTGATATGTATGTGCTTTCTGTGGAATGAATTGACTGGAGGAAAGATCGTCTTTTGCTGGAGAGAGACGAGAGAGCGAGGCAGGAAATTGGTGCAGAAGTACTTTGGCGATCGGGCAGTTCACAGTCTGTCAGTTGTACTTCTAGTTTTGTACGTAGATAGATCTGGAAGAAAGACAGGCAACAAATCTCACCATATCGCCACCACTCTTGGGTTTGGAGTGGTGAAAGCCAGCCAGCTTTTACGGGTTTTTAATGCTGGAGAAAGCGTAGGTGTTTGATTTGAGAAAGTAGAAGGAGAGGCAGGCAACGTAGACGTAGAGTAGCAAATAAATAGCAGTGGTGGGTTTTATGTCCCACTTTACCGTGGATTTGAATAAGCTTTCGTTCTGTCTTTGTACATATCAAGTGCAAGTCCAGTTTTCTTAAGAATTGCAGAAACGTGAGTTTGTGCCTGTATTCTGGATAAAAAGTATCCATTGGTGGTGACTCGGGTGTGGGGATTTCCTATATAAAATTCAGTGCGAGGTCTGAAACTATAAACAACAGATTCGGGTGTAGTGTTTACTTCCATTTATCGATGAAATGCAGCATGAACAAATATTATTTCAAAATCCAGACAACAAATTCAACGACGCCGTTTACAATTAAACATTGAGCTTACGTTTCACAATTAAACATTGAGCTTACGTTTCACAATTGTCCACATAAAGTTTCTATTGACGTTGAGATACTTGACTGTATTTGGTAAGTCGACAGTCTTATATTCATGCAACAATTTTGATTGAGATTGCACATTGTAAATAGCATAAATTTTATCACCACATTTCTTATTCGATACACGAGAAGCTTGGTGGATTGCATCTGCATACTTATTATGTACTATGTGCACTGAGAATTCTGGACTTGAGGTGATATGATAATGCACAATATTTAACTACACACCCATGCATGGATTTTATTGACATTCTGAAAATTGAGATTACCGTTCCTATCTATAAAAATAAGTACACACCGTCTAATTTGTCCATCCACGTATTTATTTGATCCTACTTTACTTATCTTAAACGTTATTAAAATTTTATTATCAGACCGACAATAAACCCAAATATTAACCAAGCATACAAGGTATGCTGAAGCCGCATTATTTAAGCCAACAATAAAATGTTGTAACCGCAGCATGTTGCTTATTTGCTTCCGGCAACCTGATGAAATTTGAAACGTGATTGCATGAAATTGGCTACTGCGGGTATGCACTTACATACATGTAAGTAGTAGGAAAATATTTAGCAGAAACCGAATTCGGGTCATGCAGCCTGGTCTAGTGTCTCCTTCGAGTTACGAGTTGCACCTGCACGTTGCATCATTTCATTCAACAACTGCACAACGAAGCATGCCGATACGAACCATGCCGGTTTGAACGCAGTATTCCCAAGATACAACATCCGCTCTTCATCAGAACTAAAAGTTATATTCTGTGAAAGCATTTACTTCGAGACCACTTAAAATTGTCACATTTAGAGTGAAAATTGAGCTTTGTTCTAGTGTTTGCAAAATCTTAAAACAGAAATGTGACACCCAAATTAATTGTAGCTCAGTACTCAGCGTATTTACCTATTGGTTCATACTTGGTCATAACAACGTGGAAAAAAATAACACCTACTCAAATTGCAAATGTGCTGCAAATAATCGAGTACCTGCAAAGTTTTCAACCAACAACACAATACCCAAGATAGAATCAGTACATTTTATTTGCTACAACATACGTGAATTGCAAAACTAAACGCGAAGATGGTTTTAAAGGTAGGTTAAATCCACCATTAACTCTCACTTTATATACATGCATACATATATTTCTTAAAACGCCTTGAGGTCGTGTCGAATAAATTTCACAGATCTCACGATCTAACAAAGTAGTATTGTGGTAATTTGGCTGAGAGGGTATGTCACGTTTTTTATTCTGGAGTATGTAATCTTACATTTTTATGTGGACAAAAACCGGTCACTCACACTATATTCAACCATTGCATAATCTCCCTTGTCTAATCGTATCTGTAGGCATAAATATCGATATTATATTTATAGAAAAGTTGCTCGTGGTACGTATGTATCAGCCAGATAGCATTTTGTGCATGTACCAGTGAGTATCACTTTCGATATGCGATATGCTAATGCTATTTAGTATTAGACTGGTTTATGTCATCTTGCTTGTCTTGTCATTTTTCTTGACATTTTATCTATTGAGCGCAACAAATCATCACTTATTTATTAAGGGGTGAAAGCCCTTTATAAGATCGTTATGTCCGTCTGTCCGTCCGTCCGTCTGTCTGTCCGTAGCTCCGATAACTTTTGAACGAAAAGACATAGACACTTGAAATTTTGAACGTAAACTCCTAACGTCAATGGACAGGACGAGTTCGAAGATGGTCACTGTGACATCGTCACCTGTGACGATGACGTCGTCACGGTGACGAAAAGTGACGAAAAAGTGTCACGTGTCAGTTTTGACATGTGACACATCATTTTTAACTATTTTTCAATGAGGAATTCGAAAATTCATGTCATTTTGTGTTTGGACGTCACCTGTGACGATGACATCGTCACGGTGACGAAAAGTGACGAAAAAGTGTCACTTGTCAGTTTTGACGTGTGACACGTCATTTTTAACTATTTTTCAATGTCAAATTCAATGGTGACCTCCATTTTGACCTCAGAGGTCATGTAAAGGTCATAGGACATATCTATTTCAATTTCAACTGAAATTTAACCCCGAATTCAATGGTGACCTCCATTTTGACCTCAGAGGTCATATAAAGGTCACATAAGGGTTATCAACTGTTAAATTTGACACAAATAAGACACAAAAGTCGAAAACACGTCAGAAGTGTCAATCTTAACAAATTTTCGAACAATTTGATATTCACATTGACGTATGACACTCCTTTCACCCCTTGGTTACATGCGTTGTAACGGTTTATTTATATTTGTTTTGTTTTCCTACACTTTCCAATTTTACAAGACTTCAGTTTTCTTAAAAATGCAATCAACTTACATACTTAATTATTATTATAAAATGCTAGAATCAAATTATAATCTTTATTACTAAACATTTATTTGGCTGCATGGACAAAATTTCTTTTGACCTTGCGGGCTTCCTGTTGCATTGCATATTATGTAAGTTGTAAGTGGGAACGGAGTTCTCTCCAGCAGATGTTCATTCCAGTTGAATCATCATGAAAATGTGTAATTAAAGAAGCTTTTTTGTACCCTCGTATTTGCGGTTGGCTAATTATTGCTATTCTTCCAATATAAATATGCTTATGTAATACCAACCTGAGATATACCGACTAAATGATCCCGAGCTTATATATATGTAACTACTCCACCGAATATATGTACATAGTCACTGGTGTAGTAGCAATATTGCATATTGTCTCAATTTTCCCTTGGCCAACTTTATTGCCCTTTTGTTTAGTATTTAGTTGAATAAAATGCGCTTTTGTGGTTGTTATAAGGCAAGATAAGAAAAGTATGAAACTTGAACCGTTTGTGGTAATTCGATTATCACTCTTCTTTAACTCGAGCAAATTAAAAGATGAAATACAGTATTTATTGTGTCTGTATCTCTCTCTGCTGTCTCTATGCTGAATGAAACCAGCTCAATTTTTTCGTCCAGACTCAATTGAATTTTGTCCTTCATATGTATGCACTATCCTCACAGCAGACAGTGTGATAACTGTTGGGGTGGCTCAAATGGATGCTTGAAGCTAGTGGTAAATTGAGTTAGTTAGTGAGTTATCTTGTCCTGACAAAAATTTGATGTGTGTGCGCATTTCGTTCTTGTTGATGTGAAAACAGGACATAATTCTATTTCGTTTGATGGGCAGGAAAAGATGAAGCAACGGAAGGGGTACGATGTGACGAGTGTCGACAAGAATGGGGGGGACACCAAAAGCTTGGAGATGGACGATCTTGGTCCTGGGAGGAAAATTCAGATGCGAGACGACGACAAAGTGGAACTAAAACGAAACGTAACCTTGGTCAACGGCGTGGCCATCATTGTTGGATCAATTATTGGGAGTGGCATCTTCTTGACGCCCACGGTATGTCCCTTCCGCAAAATGCACCCTTTCACGATGTGTGAAGAGAATACATACTTGGCATTCTTTTGCACCACTCGCACAACGCACAAAAAGGAATGAAAATCGTCGAGATGAAATGGAATTGAAAATGTCATGGGCAGATAAATGTGGATTAGATTAGGTGGAATGGGGTGGAAGTTGGAATTTCCTAGTCTTCCTCACGTTCAATGTGCTCATCTCTCACATAGGAAATGCACAGATAGTAAAAGTCATGATCTTGATGAAAGGATGAGAATGCGTACTTTATTTATTCAGGATTTGAAATTGAATTGGTCCTATCATGGCTCAAAGTATACTTTAAAAAAATCAGGCATTTTCATGAACTACATTGATATGTCGTAAATATATAAAATTTCAGTTTTAATACATTTGCATATGCATGCACTTCAAAAATTGTTCGGTATAGGCTATTCCGTACAACATTTTACACTTTTACTTTAATAATCTTTACATCCACACATATTTATTTATATATTTTCTTATGGAGTCGTCTTAATTATTGTACCCCGACTTATAACTCATCCTCAGTGAGGAGAAGGGAGTTGATGTTTAGAACTCTTGGAGGAAGAAAAGTTTGAAGGAGAAAAGAGGAAATCAAACGATGAGATAAAAGCACAAGACAGAAAGGCGAGCCTGGAGAAAATTCTGGAACGGAAGCGAGAGGAGACGAGTAAATCTAGAGAAAGTATTCTGGGCCATTTATTCGTGGTCATCGTGTACACACGTAGGAAGAAAAGTTGAGAATTTGAGATCCTAGAGGAATGAAAGATGCTCTGGATGGATGCATCTAGATAAACTGAAAACGACTCTACTTATGCTGCATTAGGGCGAGGGCATTCTAGTCTTTAAAAGTTCTAATTTTCTTCCAAATACATAGTTCCCAATTGATAAAGGGTATTGCTCGGGCCGGAAAATATTTATTTTTGTAAATCCAATCATTAAATTTCAGGGAGTGTATGTTTATGCGCAAGATGCATATGGCGCAATTGCCGTTTGGACTCTGTGTGGAGTATTTTCACTTATCGGAGCCTTGTGCTTTGCGGAACTAGGTTTGATAATTTTATAAAACAATTAGACTGCAAGTTAATTAAATCCATGTAATGTGTTTGTGTACCATGTTACAGGGACATGTATTACAAGATCCGGTGGCGACTATGCATATATTCTTGGTGAGTTCCAACATATGTATCTACATATGTACCTACATACCTGTTGAATGAATATGAAATATAAGTATGTTTTCTTGCCTAATAATGTTATCCTTAATCCTTACCAATATATTGATCAATGCTTATAATTTCAGAGGCATTTGGAAGCATTCCTGCTTTTTTATGTTTATGGGTACGTAATATCAATTTCGAACTAACCGAGTAACCCATTACCACATCATTAACTGGTTTATTAATGCTCAATTTCCTTCAGGTCACAGTTCTGGTTATTCGCCCTACAACAGCCACGGTGGTTGCACTAACATTTGCCGAGTAAGGTGTTTGTTGTCCACCATAATTCCTGAAATTGACAAAACTTTTGAATTTACAGATACGCCATCAAACCATTTTTCCCAAATTGCGATCCTCCACCTTACTCCAGAGAACTCTTGGCAGCAGGATGTCTTTGTAAGAGTTCTTTATTATTAAGAATATAATAGTTGATAGTGAAATTCGAAATCAATCAATAAGAAATTGCTTTCAATTGTGACCAGGCTTGTTGACAGCGGTAAATTGCTTAAGTGTGAAGGTGACAATGAAGATACAGGACGTGAGTGACATTACATCAAACATGTATGATCTACATTCTTCAAATAATAATAATATACTATATAATCCCATAGATATTCACCCTAGCAAAGTTACTGGCTCTTGGTTTAATCATTCTGGGTAAGTTTATACACATTAGTTGCAGGGTTGGCCAAGATATTTTGTTGCAAAGATACAAGATACAAGATACAAAATATTTTGAACGAAACCCAAGATACAAGATACTAAATACAAATAATTAGAGTTACACAAGATACAAGATACAAGATAAATTTTATCTGCTGTGATCCCAGATACAAGATACAAGATATTTATTTGAAATAATTTTTTCAAGATACAAGATAAATTATTCGGAGCTTGCAAAAAAAACATGAAATAACGAAGCACCACTTGATTTTTTGTATTGTAGCCGAGTAACTTAATAATGATAGTATACGACAATACGACTCATAACTGGCATTGTAATTTATAATGCAAGTCCTGTTTACAATTTATAAACAAAGATGAGGATTTCATCTGTGGTGACCCATACTGATTTTTTAAAATTATTCTATGGAACTGAAATTATTATTACTAGTATATTCAGTTGAAATTTGGAATAATTGCTCTAATGGTGGTACAAATTAGGAATATAATGCAAATTACAAAATTTGCCAACGTGCAAGGGTTTATTTACTGTGGATAAATAAATATTCCGACGTTATACAACAGAACTTTGCGTCCGGCTCGGCAAAGCTGTACACTGAGTTTTTTAAATCTTCATAATTCCAAGTTTTAATACTACCAAATATGCAAGTTTCCCGGTTTTTCACTAAAAAAAGTATCTTGTATCTTGACTAGTATTTCAAATAAGATATGATTGAAATAAATTCTCCAGATACAAGATACAAGATACCAAATACTTTTGCGAAACGTTCAGATACAAGATAAAAGATAAGATAAACTCCGTTACACAAGATACAAGATACAAGATATATCTTGTATCTTTTATCTGATATCTTGTATCTTGTTAAATTATCTTGGCCAACCCTGATTAGTTGTTGTAACAGTGCTACAGTAGCACCCGAACCGTAGCATACATATGTCATACGTACATACCATCTCTAAAACCGAAATGTAAGACAGAACTCATAATCTCCTTTAAAAGTTGTCGCCAGTATCTCAAAGTACTTACTGTATTATCAGCGACAATGGGGCGTTGATTTTGAGATCGTTGTTTCATGTGTAGTTATGTACTCGTATCTTATATGTCATTTTCAACTGTAGGTTATATCAAACTTTCTCAGGCTCGGCCCACAAAGTTAGATTTCCATCCATTGACTTGATCGTTGAAATGTACACTGATATTTTTTAACGTTTTCAAACTCCAACTTTATTGCAGCTGGGGTAATTCATCTCATCAGAGGATTTACTAGTAAGAACATCATTTCATAACTGCATAGGAATTGTTAATAAATATTTCTGCATGCAGTGGACAGCATAAATCTCAGCAACAATGTCTTCTCAACACCCTTCGACTTTAAAGGAAAGGAATACAACTACGTAAGCTAAATAAATTTTGAGAGAATCAGATCCTGTCAATTATCATTTTAGTCCAATCACATTGGGGTATTTTTTTGTTTTAGATGGACCTCTCTTTGTCAGTGTATAATGGTTTATTTGCATATGCGGGATGGAATTATCTTAACATGGTCACGCAAGAGCTTCAGGACCCCTACAAGTACGTTTTTTAAATACAATTTTGTGACAATTTAATGCATGCGAGCGATGCCCTGTTGAATATTAAGGCATCCTTTAGAAATCTCCCTCGAGCCATCTGGATTGGATTACCTCTAGTGACAGGAATATACGTTTTGGCCAACATTGCATATTTCATTGTCCTGACCCCACAAGAGATGATCCAGTCCCCAGCGGTCGCTGTGGTATGTGTCACTTATCACATCAGTGATTTTATTTCTAATTTAACATTATTTTTTGTTAATCCACCAAGTCATTTGGAGAGCACACCTTCCGAAAGATACATGTCGAGTGGATCATTCCAATTTTTGTGGCAATGTGCGTATTCCTTTTTAAGCTTTCTTGATATACAAATTACCACATTCAATGTATAAAATGAAATTAGGTCCACTTTTGGAGGAGTCAATGGAACCCTTTTCACATCTGCGAGATTGTTCTTTGCAGGAGCAGACGATGGACAGGTATGTAGATTTGCAATTTTCATTTTTATGTGTAATAATAAGAAGTTCCCCACGGTGTTTTTTGTTTTCCCATATTTAGATCCCCCAAATTTTCAGTTGCATACATCCAAAATACTTTACTCCGATTCCTGCTCTTCTCTTTCAGGTAATAATGCTGACATATTACTCTAAATATATATTTCGCTTGAAAATTATTATTTGTGTTTCTATTTTTCTATGTAGTGTGTCATCGCCGTGTTACTTTTGGCAGTGGGATCAATTTACGCGTTGATAAACTACGTTAGCTTTGTCCGTAAGTAAGATCTACAAATTTATGCACTTTGACAATTGTATCATGCTTTATACTACTTGATAAAGTCTGGGTGTCAACTGGCGTCGCTGTCGCAGCATTGCTTGTCCTCCGAAGAAGCAAACCCAACATCCCGAGACCAATCAAGGTGTCTCTCATACTTCCGTACGTGTACATCATCTGCACCATGTTTATCATTGCCTGCTCCGTCGTGGCTGATCCCACGAGCACAAGTACGTGATTCTCTCAGAAATAAAGTTTCTATAACCTGTTGTTACGCTTGAATTCTTAACCGTGCCAAGAACTAATTGAGCCAATTTTTTGCAGTGTACGGAACGTTGATTACGTTGACTGGAATCCCGGCGTACTTCCTTTTGCAATGGGGAAGTAAAGTGACCCCAACCGGTGCAAAACAATTCACGGTTTTTCTTCAAAAATTTATGAATGTAGTTCCACAGGAAAAAGAAGAAACACTTCTGTAAGGCGTGGTGAGTAAATATTAAAAATTGGAATCTCACCATAAAAAACTGACCAAAGTAGTTTAATTCAATTAGTAAAACATATAAAATATAGTCTGCAATGATGCTAATATTTGTTAAATTGGCTACATAAATTAAAATGTAAAATTGTTCAATGATGTTCTACACAACCATACATATAATCTGACTTAGATTATCCAAGCCTGCATAAACATGTTTATGACGTAGCTTTAACATAACGATTATAGACTTGTTAGTTTTTTATTATTTATTTTTGTTAATAACTATTATTCTGGAAATGACTGGTGAACGCGGGGCCAAAAATGTAACAATAAAATAAACTCTGACATAGTACGAGTAGATTTTGATGAATTTATTCGACTAGATATGTATTATAAACCGTTCAAGTGAAAATATAAATAAATATGTAGAATGCAATGCAGAGAATTTTATACTGAATATGTTCCAACTAAATCAGGGGGCCATTTCTCAATTTTGATCACTCCCATTCTCTCTGAACCTTTAGGTAGTCATCTTCTGATATAAATGGAACGTCAATCAATCTGAATTTAAAATTCAAAAAATTATATTTTAAATTACATTTCACAAAGAATATTTTGTATAATCACAGAGCTGCTGCTTACTTTAACATTGTATCCCCACAGTATACGCACTCCGACGCAACTATTTCATCAATGTCCGATTTTATTTGGTCCCTTTTGCTAATTACTGCTGATCCCGTTGACAATATGTCATGATTTGTATTAACTTCACTCAATTTTTTCTACAAAACAATCAATTATAAAAAATATCAGAAAACAAGAGATTCAAATGGTACATTTTTAGCCCAAGCAAGCCAAGACTTTGGAAGCTTATGTCGGTTTGCATGTGTCACGATAGCAGTCGAACGGCTTGCCCGATAAACTTGCAACTTGGGATACACTTCATAAATTCGAAATTGGGAATCAAGTTAAAAAATCCGTGTGATAAACGATGAGTAAACATTTAGGCGAACATTTAGGTGATGGGGGTTAACAGCACCAATTTGTATAAATTTCAGAGGGCCTCAAAAATGGCAACCCTCACTGATTTTATAATTAAATTAGAGGCGAGAAAAATTGCTTGCTCGGGCTAAATAAAGTCTACACTGTAGTTTTTAAATCGCTTACTTGGTGTTCTTGAAGCAATTTTTTACGAGGTTCTGTTAGTGTTGGGTAAATTTCAGACAATAGACAATCTGCATGAAACTTGTGTCCGCACGGAAACACATAAAAATTCCGAACCAGGAGTGGATTTTCGCAAACTGTACATTGATCAGTAGCTCGGATGACGGCACACCTACAAATTACATATTCATTAAGGATGATTGTCCCAGGATATGAACGGTGCAATGATATTTACTGATTACCTATTACGAACAGCATGAATTTCCTCGGTTATAATTTCCGCAGATTTTGTTGCTTCATCCATTTCGTACTTTAAATTCAAAATATGTTGATTGTATTCTTGCAGGGATGAGCAAATTGCATCCTTGAAATGGTCGATTGTAACAAATTCAGGAAAGAATGGCAAAATATCTTCGATTTTGAGAAGATCGCACTGTTGTAGAAACTCCATTGCTTGCTGGATGTCATTTCTCTCTTTCACAACGTGTTTGGCTACCATAAGCCATAGTTTTTTTCTCATGTTAAGATCGTCTTCTGGAACATTTGCAACTTTCTTTGCCAACTCTAAATCAACCTGGATTGCCATTGTAACAGCTTCTTCATACAGACCCATTAAAGTGTACAAGTGAATCGACGGGAGCTTCATATCTTTCTCTAGACACATCATCAATGCATATTTCGGATCATAACGAATTGTATGAATATTCATTCCTTGTTGTTCTAAATATTCCATTAGCTTCTCGGCTGGGTAATAATGAATGTACAAAGACACCATATAGTCATGCACGGTTGGTTCTTGGATTCGAAGGTTATTCACGCAATGTTCAAGATATCGGGTGACTTGCGTTGCCTATATATTATAATAATGCATCAATAAATGATGTCAAATTGTCTAGTAGGTCTCATATATGTACAAATGTGCATATAAATATTATATACTATTAAATAGTACTAATATAAAAGCATGTATTCTTACAATTCCTGGCTCAAGTTTTGAAGAAAATTTTGGCAACAACTTCAGAGGACTCAACATTCTACCAGCAGTAATTATAGCATCAATGGTAGATTTTGGGTCTTTGTCCAAAAGAACAGGAATAAATCGGCTATACAAGGACGAGTCCTTTTGCTTTAGTAGCGTACTGAGAGCTGAAATACCATCAATTTTTATGTTTTAGTTTGAAAATATTTTTAACGTGCATTAAATATTACAAGTTTGCAAACCTGTTTGATATTGACCGTTGTTAATATTGCTTTCTATGACTTCATCATAGTCTTTCATCACAAATGTAAAATGCACTAAATTTTCTCTGTCCCCGTGACTTGCCATGAGATCATACACAGCTTTTTTGTTTTTAGAAACACAGTCCTACATGGTAATAGATAATCGCATGATCAATTGTACTTTGAGTTGTTGTTATGTATAAGTTCTAGCAGGTACATTACTTTGACAAGAGGTTGTTTCATAAATTGTAGGAATTCCTCATCCAAATTTTTATATTCTGCTGTCGCATGTTTTCCAAAGTCTCGAAGGGAACCTAGGTCGCTCAGAAAGATCTCGATTAACCATAAAACCAGGGCAGTTGTTTTTGCTAGATCATTTGACTTCATAGTCCCCATTTTCTATAAATGCATGTAAAAATAAATGTAGCAAGTTGATGGAATAAAATGTATCAAAGACACTCGTACTTTTAAACACTAGCAAAAATATGAATCTTACCTTCATTAGAAACGTCTTTAATGGATGAGACGATTTCTCCACTTGAACAAATTTTAATGCAATTTCCTCAAACGATGCCTTTGTCATTGCATAGTATACGGCGCTTAGTTCGTAGTCTCCATTTGCAAAACAATGGTCTGCTTGTTTCATGCAGATAATTTCCATTTTTTCAGCATCGTTTTTGCCAAGCGCTTCCGCCCTCCTAAAATCTCCCTTCTCCAGGAATATTCTCCAAATATTTCGACTTTCGTCAAATACGCTGTACCTAAAAACACGGTTCTCGGTAAAGCACCAAATTGAACCTTTTATAGGATCCCGAACAATGTTGAGCAGGCGACCGTTCGTCTGTAAAATTGAGGAATGAAATTTAAACTGACAAAATCAACATATATACTATTAATAAGTCTTTAAATAAATACTCACATCCGAATACATATCCTCGAATATGACTTCGTCGTTAAGAATGCAAACTGCATTGACATGAGTTTTATACAGCAGCAGAATATGATAATCAGTGGCCACCACCGACTTGGGTAGAGTTGGACTAGCAGATTCCGCTTCTGATAGTTTTGGATACGAAACAGGTTTCAAATTAGATAAAAAGTCATCTTCTCCATTTGAAGGGCACAGTGTCTGATTAACAAAAAAATTGTCTAAGCATCACACGATACATATATAAATAAATATATACTACATTTAAAATATATGATTGGTATAATTTATATATAGTTAATTACAGCATTGTAGACCATGGCTCCAGTATCTGTGAGGTAAGAAATTGTAGTTGGAAAGCCAATTCCAACTAAATAGTGAACATGTAGGCGAGATACAGCATGGTCAGAGTACACTTTAATCCCCGTTGGAGAAGGTGGGCCAAACTCTTTGTAGTATTCCTCACTAATTTGACTTATGTATGAGGTAAATATACCACTAAACCAAGGACGTTCTTCTTTATATGAGATGCTACCCTTAAACTGATATAATCGTTTGGAAGTGGCAACCAGGATGAATATCGTCGTAGATTTTGGCTGGAAGAAGTAGCAGCAACCGGAAATCACAGCAGGATTTCCCTTCCCAATGTCATATACCTGATGAATTTTATAAGTATATTATTTTTACTTACTTTTTATATCCATATAAGCTTGGTACACTTATTAGTTACTATTAAGTACTATAGCGCTGATTATATGTAGCTTACCAGTTTCGTACTCTTGACATCGCTATTGACCACTTCTGCTTCAAAGAGCAACCCTTTTGAAGTCCCCAACAGGAATGGAGTAGAACTTGCAGGAGTAAAAGTATCAACATCTTGATTCCACGCAACTGATGTAACGATGTGTGTTTTTAATCCTGCAATTTCTTTTGGTTTATCAAACTTTGCTCCCAAATACATGACCTCAGCCGGGTTAACACTATCTTTTGGGCTGAAAGTGAGAATTAAATGTTGACCAGAAGGATCTAAAAACATATTGGACAATTTTGCATCCACATTGTGTTGTTTAAGGTCCATCTCTGTTCAAAATAGAAAAGTCACATTAGACACAAGTCAGTAATTCAACAAATGGTCTCTACAAGTTATATTTATTTCCACACCGATCGGAACATCCGGGTTCTTGAGGTCAATCTTTATTAGGATTCTATTTTGCATTGCGATCACCACCTTGTTGTTACTAGCACAAAGATGTGTGATTGGGGACGACGGAGTAAAATTGACTTTGTTTTTGCTGAAAATTGGTTGCTCCTTTGTCGGAAATGTTCCTCCCTTTGAATGAGCCATAGTTGTCCTTTTTCTCCTCAATCTGAAATCGTGGCAGCAGAGAGACTTTGATTAGTTCTATTAAATTAAAGGTTACACATCTCATGTTTTTGTCAATGATACATGATACATTACACATCTCAAGTGCGATTCGCACTTACTTTAATAAATATTAATTTAAAAAATTTACAAACCTCGAGTTCTCAACTCTAGTGACTTGAAGCTCAGATCCCACTTTCTTACGGTAAGGTTATCAATCACAGCTGTTCTTATCGTCTAGTTTAAGATTAATGTATATATGTAATGTAGGAATCTTGACGTAAAAGAGATTTGTGGATGGGAAATTGGGAAGGAGTATTATTTGTGTTGATTAATTCGAGCATCGCGCCACTTTCTTTCACCAAGTCTACTTCTGACTTCGTTCCAGTGAGTGTGGAAAGAAAATTTGCAGTGATTTTGCAGATTGCACCAATTTCTTGCCTCGACGCCAGAAATTAAAAATCCTGCAATTTCAGTACCGAAACCTACCCCTCCCCACCTCTCTCCGCCGTTAACCCCCTCGTCTTCGCCTCCCTTCATCATTCATCGCCCGATCCTGCTGCTACAGTCCTAGATTAGAAGAATGGTCCCAAACTTCCCATCATCACATTATTCTTATTAGTAACATCAAGAACGATAAGACTGATTATTAAGAAGGTAAGAAAATTATAAGTCACCATTTGTAATTTTATGCACTACACGCGATGCTAAAAAATTTGTGTTATGGACTTACAGATTTCTGCATATTTTACACATAAGTACTACTGCTTTATAGATAAAGTATAAGGTCAACCATCGAACAAACTAGCAAGAGTATTTACTATTTACAACAAGGCTGCAAAGTATACAAGTGAATTATTATAACTATTCAATTTGAGAAAAATAACGTGTGACACTGACGTGTAAAAACCTGTGAAAGCACTTTTGTAAGGACGTGTAGTGAAGCAAAGAAGATCATGTATCTATCCAGTAAACCAAATCGTCTAACCACAACGGCCAAGACAAGTAAAAAAAATTGTAAAAACATGTTGCTGTTTGACTATTTATAAACTGTCCAATTTTGTTTTTCGCAGGGCTTCATTCCCACAAGCTGGATAATATTGAACCAAGAAAACGTTCTCCTGATGGGAATTCCCAAGGGCCTCCATCGTAATTACATATTTTACGCATTTTACATTAGTTTATTAGAATAAACTTTAATTCTTCATATTTGAAACCCATAGACCGTCGGAAGTAATTGTATTTAATAATACAAATCACACTGCAAGTGGAGGACGAAATAACCAACCTGTGAGAAATGCACCTGAAGTACCACAAGTCGAAGAGATTTACCGATATTTTCGTGAATGTAAGTTAACTTGACAATTACCTGTATGTAGCCATAAGCATATTTATCACACACAGCTATAGTTTTCACATACCTAATAGTATATAAAGTATTTGGGGTTAACCTCTAGTAGTTAGTTTTCCATTACTTTGCATGTACATAAGTTATACACACTATTAAAACACTAATTTTTTTCAGCTTGGGATAGACGCATGCACGAAGTTAATACACAAAAGTTGACTTTGTTGAAAGTCTAGGTAAGTACCTTCAATCTGAATCTAAATATTTGGAGTACCATTATTATATTTCATACAAATGCGCAGATGTCACAGAAGAAGAGGCTGGTGTCACCAATTTTCACCACTGTGTCATAGTTTGTAATAAAACCCTTGAATGTCATTGACAGTTGAATAGAATTGAAATTAAAATGGTAAACATTAGATTTTGTATGATGAATTGGATTGGAAAAGACACTGAAATAAAGAATACGAAGTTTAGTCTTCACAATCATTTTATTCAACGCCCAACATGTTTATTAAAATGTGGATCAACGTTTAATTACTCCATCCTTTTTTTTGTTGATGACTTGAGAATAAGATGTTCACTAGCTTCCCATAATTTTTCTGCCATTTCTCCTGTAATTTGCGATTTTGTATTCCAGTCGGCACAGTTTTTGTATAGATTTCCAGTGCAATCTTCAGTCTTTTTTGACAATGCACAATGGAGTATAGTTTGCACCCCCTAGTTAAGATCAATTTAGTCAAATTAGTATTCTTGAACTGTAGAAACACTGCTTCATTAGTCATTGAATTTCATTTGCCTGGCCAGGACTTCGCATAAATAAAAATGCTGCAGGCACGATTAGAAAGTAATTCCACCAACGAAGTTGCATGTATCGCGCAAGATCCGTTTTGACCCATCCGGGACAAAGGGCATAAACATTCACCCCACTTCCGACAAGCCTTTCCGAAAGCTCTTTTGCAAACACGATGTTCGCGAGTTTGGAGTTGCCATATGCATGTATTTTGCTTTTATCGGGATCTTCCTTTTCCAGCAACAAGTCGTCGAAATTAATCCTTCCTTTCTCTGATAGCGTGGACGCGACAACAACAATCCTGCCAAATGCATATAATTTTATGAAAATTTCAAAATTATTCCGGATAGAGTGAGGAGTGAAAGGTCAATTAGGTCAATATGTGGCATGCATTTCAATAATGTGTGAACCTGCTAGGTGATCCCCGTTTCACCGTTTCAAGAAGCAAATTAGTTAACAGAAAGTGACCCAAGTGATTTACTCCAAAATTAAATTCAAAGCCATCCTTTGTTTTCATGCGTCGTTTCAGAGGACAATACACACCGGCATTGTTTATCAGTATGTTAATATGATCAAACTTTTTCTGAAATTCTTCAGAAAAATTGCGAATGGAGTCCAAAGAGCTGAGGTCCAAATACATAAAAGTTATATTTGCACTTGGAATTTTTGTTTGAATTTCTTGAATAACTTGAAGGCTTAATTTTGCGTCTCGAGATGCCTACATGCATGGATTGTAATTAAACTATATTTCTATTCAAAATCTCAAATAAAATGAAATACGGATATTACGATAATCACAACTGCTCCTCGCTTCGCCATTTCCGTTGCACATTCTTTTCCAAGACCACTATTGCCTCCAGTAATGAGAACAACTTTGCCATGCACATCAATCTCATCTGTGACATCGTGAACTCCGAATGATTTTTCCAAGCGTTTTCGATACCAGATGGCAAGTACCACCAGTCCAACCCCTACGGTGCCCACAGTCTCGATCCACATCTAGAACTTAAAAGGTTTTCAAATATTATTATGCCGATTTAGACAACACAATTATTAACTAAGTAAAAAATAATATATGTAAATGTGCTTGATTTGTATAATTAAGTAACACAAATGTGATGAATCTGTCTGGTTCGAACTTCGAACTGTCGAAAAAAGTCAAATAAAAAAAAACTCCTATGAGAATTTACTGGAATTAACTTTGAGCTGACTTTTGTTCAATCCAAAATATTTGCGGACATAACAAGCTTGAATTAAACCAGAAAGCAATTTATAGCAATTGAAAAACCAATAACTTGGTACAAGAATTGCATTGCATATTTGCATAGCTAGAGTTTTGTGAATTTTATGCACTGATTTTAGTTATTGGTGCAACCGTTGTAACTATTTTTTATTTACTGGGACTTACAACGATTAGACTTTTGCAAATATGCACTTTTGGCAGGTACCAAATAAATAAATAAATGAACGGCTTGTACTGCTAGAATAATTTGAAGTTATTATTTATTTCATTCCAACTAATTTTGCGCTTGCAGTCCAAAGTTCAGATGCAGCTTTATCCGTTAATTCAATTCTTGTGCTTGGGTCCCAAAACTTGCAATTATAGTACATTTGTCCGGTTTGGTGGGCAACATTTTTGCTCAAAGCACAATATAGCACTGTAGCAGCCCCCTACAAATTAATCCATAAGTATAAATCATTACCGTTTTAGCAAATGCTTTTGTTTTGCTAACCTCTGTAGGAGATCTCAATAGGTACCAAAACAATGGACGAAACAAGTGTAGGATGAATGGGACATTCAAGTTTTTTCCTATGTTTGTAAAGACCATTCCTGGACAAAGGGAATATGAATGGACGCCTGTTCCGGTCAGTCGTTTGCCTAATTCTTTGTTGAACAAAGCGTTTCCCAACTTAGAATTAGAATACAAGCCACTGACCATGAAATGATCTTTAGGAGCCGTTTTTTCAGACATGAGATCGTTTATGTTGACCGCGCCCCAAGAATGAGCCATGGAACTCAGAGTTACCACTCTATAGGAACAAAAAAACACTACGATAAGAGGAGGCGGAGAAAATAATGGTCACTTTTCAATGCATGAATAATTAAAACCTGCTCGGAGCAGCGTTCTTTAGGGGGTCTAACAATAAATTTGTTAGTAAAAAGTGGCCCAAATGATTTACTCCAAAATGCATCTCGAATCCATCCTTGGTTTTTAACCGCTTATCTGGAGAGATCATCAAGCCTGCATTGTTAACTAAGATGTCCAGTTTTTCGTATTTATTCTTGAATTCCCTTGCAAACTTTCTCACAGATTCGAGTGACGCCAAGTCGAGCTCCATTACAATCTAAAGTACAGCAATATTATATAATGATAGGGAAATTTAGTGATACACAAATATACAAATGTCAGATAAAATGTACCAACTGCCCCCGTGATGTCCTGTTCCTAATGTGTGTCACCGTGGCCTTAGCTTTAGTTATATCTCTGCAGGCCAAAATGACATTGGCGTCACGGTCAGCCATCTCCATTACGACTGCTTGGCCGATTCCGCTCGTGGCTCCAGTAATAATAACATTTTTACCTTTTGCATTGATCTCATTATGCCTGTCGATCGTTCCCCTCCATTTGGTCAACAGAACACGGATTAACTTCAAAAGACCAAAAACCGATACTCCATACCAAATCCAACGATACATATTTTCAAAACTTAAATGCAACCACTAGTATTTGAAATAGGTATGTGCTAACACTACGACTTGACTGCAGAATGGACTTTAGTACTACCTTTACTCACAATATTATGATATTAAATGTAAATGCAATACAGAACATTTGACATTTGGGTCTGAATTGCACAATTATCTGGCATCAAGCAGATAAGATTACGTGTGTACTTTCAATGAGGTTCACATATTGCTTAGAATTAGTTGGACACAGGATTAAATAAGTGCATTTAATGTTTAATTGCATTCCGTGATTGATGGATCTTATTGCTGCAACAAGTTTTTACCTACATGTACATGTTTTCTACCTGAACCTGATGCATCAACATGCACTATAAAACAAGTTCAAGGATACTGCGTATGCATTTAATAAAACAAAAATGCGCACTAGAAAAGAGATTATTTTTAAGCATAAAACAAATTTATTGGTACAACTCTAAAAAATATCAGTACATACAAATGCACGCTGTTAAGTGGTATAAGTTTCATCTCAATCAAATGTATGTCCAACAAATCTTTCACTGTCAGTCCATAACTTCTGAGCATCCTCTTTTGAGTAATTGTAAGTGGATACATTTGAAATCAAATAGTCATCTGGAAAAGAACGATCTCCTGGACACCAAGGCTTACAATGCCTGTACAAAATGCAATTAGCATCCAGCATATCATTGGAAAGACAGCAAAGTAGTGGAGTTTGAGCACCCTGTTTTTTAAATCAAAATAAATGGGTCATCTTGGTTAATTTATTGATTCCGTATAAATGATAGTATAGGAGATGTGTATGAATACCTGAGCAGGTGTTTTAAATAGAAAGTCGACAAATGGTCGAACAAAATCTGCAAACCATGGGAGATCCAAGTTCCGTGAAATTTTAGTTTTCACTACTCCTGGACAACAAGCTAGTGCCTTCACATTCGAACACCCTGAACTTGCAAGTCGCCGTCTCAATTCTTGAACAAAGAGTATATTTGCCAACTTTGACTGTTTATATAATACGTTCCCAGCCATTGAAAAATCAGTAATCTTTGTTTTTTCATAATTCAAGTCTTCAAAGTTAATAGATCCTCGGTGATTGAGCGAAGTTATCACAATTATCCTACACAAACATACAATTTCATGCAGTCATTTTAAGCAGTTTACATCGGTAAACTTTATGTGGACTTAAATATACACATATTCGCACCTGCTCTCCGTTTTCTTTAGCAGTGGCATTAACAAGTTTGTTAAAAGAAAATGTCCCAAATGATTGACAGCGAAATGAATTTCGAAGCCTTCAACCGATTTCATTCTTTTATTCACAGGCATAAGAACACCTGCATTGTTAACTAAAATGTCTAAGCGTTCAAAACGGATTTTCATGGCGTCGCAAAATTGGGTAACAGACTCCAGCGATGAAAGTTCCAATTTCATAGGTACCTAGACATTCATATGTACATTGGTCATGCTAAACCGTAAGCAAGATATGGACGGTCAATGGCCGTCGTCAGTCATTCGTTCATTTCATATGTTCTTACCAAATCTCCAAGAAACGTACGATGTCGAAGTCGAATTATAGCTTTCTTTGCAGCCTTCAATGTCCTGCCAGTCACAACCACCGTCGCCCCCCTGAATAAATTCGGAATTAAACAAATACTTATCATTTCAGTATTCAAATCTGTGAGCTATGATGATAATTCGTTCTGTTAGACAAACCTGTTTGCTAACCCGATAACTGTTTCTGAGCCTATTCCAGACCCAGCTCCAGTGACTACAGCGATTCTTCCCCTCATGTCGACATCGTCGTTCACTTTCGCCACTCCCCAATGCTCCCGCAATGCTGCCCGAATTATTCGGATAACAAGAGCCCAAACCACACAAGGGACAACACTAAACCAAAGAAGCGTCCCCCACTCCATCACTCTTAATATGTCGCGTCAAATTATTGGTTCACCGGATCTTCTGTCGTATCTCTCAAACCCTGGAATTAATTTTTCAGGGTTGAATTCAGTTGGTATTATCATACAACTTGAGTATGATGAGGCTTAAAAAGTTCAAAATTTGACAAAATTGTGAATCACACTTGTTTTGGAGTTATGCAAATATGACATTCTCGATGAAACCGAAGTCAACTTAATTGCAATGGTTGATAAATGATATACGTATTTACAATGTACATAGTATGCTACTTAAAGTCCATATTATTCAATCATTGCCATTATACGAGTCATTGCTCGTTGTTTTATTTACCTTAAAAAACAAAATTGTGTTTCTTTACCTTTTGAAATCGGCCTTTGACGGATGACGGACGAAATATTGAATTTGAAACTGCACTGGAAACTTTAATCTGGTTATTCTTTCGAAATTTGTAGTTCACGATTTTCAGCTCCAATCCGCTATTAAATTAGTCAATAATTAGAACATTCAGGAACCTGGATTTGGATTTATGCACGATAAAAATAAAAACATTTTGCGCTTTGTGATGAAATCAGAAGCCGCATCCTATTGTGAATTGTAGGCCGGGCAAAAATCAATCACAAATCAGCTGATGTCATTCTTACAATCCACTACACGCACTGGACTAATTAATTGCAGTTTGACGAGGTTATCTTACACCCGAGTGTTGTACTTCCTAGAGATTACCCATGGTTCGTCATATTGCGAGTAGCAGATTGTCAATCAAAATAAGCATACATACATGACAGAACAACACATTTCGGTATTCCTGTGGGTCTGCTCCTGGAAAGGTGTTAATTGTTAACAAGAAATTCACAAGGTATATTAATTGCGACTTATTTCTTACTCATGTTATCACATTATTAACCTTGTTAATTGTTTTGTACGTCCAGGGCTCCTGCTGAAGCAAAAAATGACGATAGAATCATCTTTATTGGGATATCATTATTAATTAATACTCTTTTGATATATGATATACGGTATATGTGCATATGTATGGTGCTTGGGCAATATTCGAGTTCATGAATCATGATTGTGATCAATTCTAGTACCCCTCCTATGTAAGTTGATTGTTATCATTTTTTTCGGCTATCAACAAATTGATTGATGAGGTGTAATATTTACAAAATTAAATTTTTCAGCTTCCTTCTGTAAACAACCGTACAAAAAGGGAAACATGAATTCCTTCCGATTATTACTAAGTCCTTTGGCAAGCCATGCTCGACTATGTCGTCGTTTTTCTCAAACTCAAATGACTGACATTCTTCCGAAAGAAGCACGAGTTGTAATATGTGGATCAGGGATTGTTGGAAATTCTGTTGCTTATCATTTAGTCCAAAAAGGATGGACTGATGTTGTAGTCATAGATCAGGAAGATGGAATAGGGAAGGGAACATCGATATATGGTTCTGGAGTTCTAGCTCTGCTTAAACCGGTTGAAGAACAACAAATTATTAATAAGAGTATCGCACTGTACAAAAAATTGCAAGCAGATGGTCACGAAATAGGTCTGCAAGAATGCGGGAGTATGTACCTGGCGCAAAACAGGGAAAGAATGGTACTGTTTCGGAGACGAGCTGCTTTAAATCAACCTCAGGGGATAGATTGCAAAGTTAGTTTCCTTCCACAATTCCTCATGACGGCAAACGATAATGACTATAATATGAATAAAGTGGTTGCTTTTGTTTCAATTTAGATAATCGGGCCAAGAGAAATTGCAGATATTCATCCGCTGGTATTTTCCTCTAAATTTTTATTGATATAGCGAACATCGTTGGTTTATTGGCATTTCATCATGCTTCTCCTTAGGTAAATACATCCGATCTTCAGGGCGGAATTTATGTTGCGGCTGATGTCGTAGCACACCCAGTTTTACTATGTCATGTCCTAGCTGAATTAGCCCATAGTGGTGGTGTTAGATTCGTCGGGAACTGTCAGTTTCTTAACTTATCCACACGCCAAGGTCGTGTGTCTGCGGTTGAGACATCTTTAGGAACTATTAAGTGCGAGTATTTTGTTAACTGTGCAGGAATGGTAAGTAAATTGTAATATTATTTATTTTTTTAAATAACATTTTACCAAGCGTATGAATTCTTTCTGCTTAGTGGTCTTGGGAGTTAGGACAAAAATGTAATCCCAAAGTTAGGATTCCAGTCCACCCAGCCGAACACTATTATTTACTGACAGAATCTCTTAACAAACCATTACCCGGAGTACTTCCAACAATCCGTGACTACGACTCTGGAATTTATATTAGAAAATTGGAGAATAATTCCTTTCTGATGGGTGGATTTGAGAAGGTAGCTAAACCGGTGTTCACTAAGGGTATTCCAAAAAACTGGAAAGATTGTCTTTCAAGGTGAGTTATGCGACACAAACAATTGTAATTTCTAACATTATAGTTAATTCAATGATTTTTAGATAGCAATTTTATTTATTTGAACAAAATTAAAATTTTAAGTAAGGAAAACTAAACAGATTAATGACCTCTATTTTCTTTTCCAGTGATTGGGATCATTTCGCACCCTTGTAAGTTGTACAGAAGCCATACCATAAAGTGCTATTGTATAAATGAATTTGATGTGATGTTTGTTTGTTGCACTAATTCAGGTTAGACCGTTGCCTTCATAGAGCTCCTGTTTTAAGAGAATGTGAACTCAAGTTTCTTCGAAATGCGCCTGATAATTTTACTCCAGACGGAAAGTGGATTTTAGGGGAAGCGCCCGAAATTGACAACTACTTCGTTGCAGCAGGTTAGCAGGAATTTGACTGGTTGCATCATAAAAACATTAATAAATCAATTAAAATCAATTGCAGGAATGAATGGAAATAGTCTGCAAGGTGCTGGTGGAATCGGACATTCATTGGCTCATGTTAGTGCGATTTACATATAAAATAAATATATACCTGCGTATATATAAAATGGAAAATTTATAATGGTATAAATCTACTTCTATTAATTTGGTCAAATTACAGTGGATAACAGAAGGCGCTGCAGATATCTGTTTATTAGATTTTGATGTCCGGAGATTTATTGATGTTCATAATAATAGGTAAATTTAAATTATTACTAAATTAGTTTTATCGCAAAATTTCGTAAATATTGTTAATAATGTTTCAGGCGATTTTTATATGAAAGAGTAAAAGAAGTTGTAGGGAGACAATATGCTATTTTGTTCCCATTTCAAACCGATTACAAAAGTGCAAGAAAAATTAGATGTTCTCCTCTATACTCAACTTTAAGAAATAAAGGAGCAGTGTTTGGCAACATTATGAGCTTTGAAAGGTCGCTGTACTTTGATCTAGAACACGAAGGCATGGAGTTCTTATAAATTCGTAATTTGAAGTTTGAAAATTAGTAAACTAACTTAAATTATTTCGAAATATGTTGGCATACATTTAGTTGGGAAAGATTCCGAAATGCCTCCAGGCACCTACTGGAAACCTCACTTTTTCGAAAACCTGAAGGAGGAATATAAAAATTGCAGAGAAGGAGTTGGTGTGATTGATATGTCTTCGTTCAGCAAATTCCAGATAACGGTACATTACATTACCAATTAATAAATTATTTTAGATTTAATCCTCACAAACGAACTAACCATTTCAATCCAATTTAGTCTCCAAAAGAAGAAGTGGTGGCTTTTCTTCAAAAGTTATGTGCTAATGACATCGACATTCCGGTTGGACATGTGAGTCCATCAGGAATGCATAATGAACAAGGAGGTTATGAAAATGACTGTATGCTTATTAGAGAACAACCTAATTGGTATAATAATTACAATTTTACTGTAAATGTCGTATTAACTTTTTCTATCTGTTGATGCTAAGCACTCTTTATTTTTGCACTGAAAATACAGCTATTTCATGGTTGCGCCTACAAAACAGCAAACGAGAATTGCAGAATGGATGGACAGACATTTGCCTCAAAATGGATATGTTCAAATTAATGATGTAACTTCAATGTACACGGTTTTGCTTATCATAGGGCCTAAATCTCGAGAAGTGCTTTCGCAGCTAGTTGACGATGATGTCGATTTGAAAATGCTGCCTTTCACTTATCAGGTACTTTGGTTTTTGACGTATTTTTTATAAAACTTGTATTATGTAGCCTAAATCAATCTATCAATCTGTTTTAGATGGTCAGTCTTGGACACTCACCTAAAACAATAAAGGTATTTGACTACTTTCCCTATCGAAACTGTTGGATATTATTGAGGTGACAGCCCCAAGGTGCACCTAAGCCGGCCCTAAGCACACGCCAATACTTGATCAACAATATTGCTATCACTTCTCATTATATTTGCTCTTGTTTTTTATCCTAAGCTGGTATCGGTTACCAATTCTGGAGAGCCTGGGTACTCACTGTATATCCCTTCGGAATATGCAGTTCATGTCTATGATCAACTGATGAAGGTCGGAAAAGATTATGGGATTAAAAATGCGGGTTATCTTACACTTCGTTTCTTAAGATTAGAAAGGTTTGTACACTGCGACTCATAAAACAAGGACACCTATCATTTTCCCCAATTTATCAAAGGGGCTTCAAAATATTTGTATGTTTCTTTCACCATTAAGTACTACGGGGCGTAGTAGTCTTGTCACAAATTTTCGTTGAAATTCGTGCAGGGACAGAGAAGTTATCTAATAATATGTCAAAATCAGGTGGCTCGTAAAACAAGGACAGGTTTGGAATTATTTTCTTTTGAACCTGTTATCTTGTACTCTATCAATTCTTTTTCACGTCAATACTTAGTATAACTACCCGTTTTATTGATAACAGAAGAAAATCGACTTTTCATTTGTTCCATGTGCTTATTGGCAACAATGATTGACATTGAATCTCATGCATCAATTATTCCTTGTTTTTGTTCGGAAACTGCTGAATACGGTCGCCTATTGGCATAAACTAGACTCGACAAATACCCTCAAATAGTTCCAATCGGATTTACCTCAATGGTCAAGGCAGCATCACGATATTGTTGGCTTGGAACCGCTTCGACGATCACCGGAGGGTGTAGTATGGGATATTAACTTGTTGAGACACCTATTTTTTTGGTTCGAATTATTGATTCAGAGGAAGTAAATGTTTAACTGAATTCCTTTTGATAGCCCTGTGAGTTCAAAGTAGCCGGAATAATACGATTTCGGAACTCATTCCATGACCAAAGAACGTCCAGATCATTATACCACCTCCCTCATCCTATATGCGGTAAAAGTGAAGTTTTCTTGCCTGTGGTCATGAAAATTGTGCTTCCTCCTATCAGGACCATCCAGTGTAAATCGTTTTCGTCGCTAAGTACGGTCTTGCTCGACTTAGAGGTTCACGGCATTCCATCTTTTGCCTACTCCAGTTGGGCATGTTTCTGCTTCAGGGGAAGTACATGCTTAATCTTTATTTTCCGCCCGCTGAGGGTGTAGGAAGCACATCCGACTATATTTATCGTTGGTCATGAAAAAATAAGCTTGTTAACCGCTTTAATTTGCTCTCCCGTCACGAAGGAGCGACCTGAGCGACTTGGAATGATGAATTTTTCGCCTTACATCATTTGAGGTTTGCTTTCTTTCATCTTTGTTCCATCGGAAGTGGTTCCTTTGGCTTGGATGTTGCTACAGAATGACCCCCGACAATTTGATGCTGAAAAATTCTTGAAATACTCCACCGATCTGAAAGTACAGTTTCTACCCTACCCCTCTGCCAGATGGCCAGGAATTAATCCCTCACCATGGCATATGGGCCGAAGAAAAAAATCAACTTACATCGACTATTTACCAAAATATCATAAATTTGCTGATGATGTAATTTCTTACCCAGATTCAAGTTATTCTGGCCCAGTTTAATAAAAAACAATCGATTTTTTGAAACCTGTCCTTGTTTTATGAGCCACCTGAATTTTATGTTTTTGTGGATTCCCAAGCTGTCTGATAATGAAGAGAGGCGAAAATGTGCGACAAGACTACTAGGCCCCGTAGTACTTAATGACGAAAGAAACATACAAATATTTTGAAGGCCCTTTGAGAAATTGGGGAAAATGATAGGTGTCCTTGTTTTATGAGTCGGAGTGTACTTATGTACTCGCTTATACATAATCTGTACTATCAAAGATAAATAAGTATGGAAGAAAATGTTTGATAGGTTTGTACCGTTTTGGGGAGAGGAATTGGACAGCAGGACGACACCAATAGAGATAGGTACATATATCATGTCAAAGTGTAGAATTCGGCAAATTCCTCCTTATTAATAATTATTATGTTACTATTTCTCCATAGGTCGATCAAACCGAATAAAATTCGACAAAGGAGACTTTATTGGAAAAGCTGCTCTCCATAAACAAAACGAGCAAGGCCACTTTCGTCGCTTGGTTAGTTCGAAAGATCTCTCCCAGCCTGACGCGAGCCGAAGGAGATCTTTATTTTATAGTCTTCATTGTTAACAAATTACTCGAAGGGTTAAATAATTGTACAACATATATTGCATATTTCATAGGTACATTTTACAATGGATGATGATCATGATGTCGAAAACGATGTTTGGATGTGGGGTGTGTGGACATATATGATGATTTTGCCTTTTTGGTCGCTCCTAGTGGCTGATTTTAATATTACAATTATTATGTATTGCAGGTGGAGAGCCCATATTTCGGAACGGAGTTTACGTTGGAGCCACCACTTCAGGGGGATACGGTTTTACATTGGAACGAATGATAGCGCTAGGTTTTATTGTGAATAAAGATTATAAAACTGGGGAGCTCTTACCAGTGACAAACGAATATGTGATGTCCAAGGTAAGGAAATAAATTAAAAATTGATAAATATGTTGACGTTCGTTTAGTTGAGAAAGATTCCGAAATGCCTCCACATACTGGAAACCTCATAACTTAGATTATCAATGAATATCGTTTTATGATTCTAAAATTTCTCTCAATTTGTTCAAGGATGCATTGTATCAAATTGATATTGCTGGACGTCGATTCACCGTTAGACAAAGCCTCCATCCACCAAGGCTCCCAGGAACGCAAGTAGTCCAATCCAAAGACTATTCACCGACTTTAAGAGACAAATCGATTCTCCAGGCAAAACAGCAATAATTAATATTTTAAATGTGGTTCATACTCATCCATTGTGCTGTGCTTTAGTAAAACGTAGTCCGTTCATAATCATCATAACCACCCCATAATCCTGTTTTGCTTATAACTAAAGTTGAGCAGGATATGTACTGTGCGGATGGAGCCTAATGGTGAAAAACCGTAGGCCTCAGGACAAGAGAGTTGGTTGGAGAGAGGAGAAATGAATGGTTTTTCACTATTAGGCTCCACCCGCACAGGACATATTCTGCTCAACTTTAGTATAATACTTAACCTTACATAATATTTCTTAAATTTTTTGATGGTATCTAAAACACTATATTAGAGTATGTCCCTGTAGAAATTAACCCAAATTAACCCATAATGCTTCTTTTTGCAGCCCCATTCGCCAGAAACTGACTGAGAAAAAATGTGATTCACCACGATGCAATAATACACCTTTCCCAACCGACTGACCTCTCACTTCTACCTACTGCTAACAAGGATTTACATTAGTCATTACTAATAAAATGATCGCAACAGACAGACTCTGTAGCCAGTAACCATACTTATCGATAGATTAACAATTCAAATTATCACGAGATTATTTTGCAAATTATCATGTAAAAATTTCTACATAGAATAGACATCTAGTCCGTCGAAAATAGTGCTCAATAAAATATATAAACAAAATTCTCTTTGTACAATGTTCATTTTAATGCATATAATTACTAAGTTGGAACATGTTTAGTTAACCACCATAGATGTAAATTTCACATCCCCTATTTATTATAACCTGACAATGTACAAACTTTGTGAATGAATATGAAATACGAAAAGTTCATAGTTGAGTAGGAAAGTTTTTTTAGCGTTATGAATGGCATAAAATGAATAGTCGCAAGGAATGACATTAACCCGTCTTGTTGGAGTTATTACACATTCTACATTTTCAATCCCAAGACCATTTGCAAAAATTGTTCGTAATGAATCTGAATTACTCCATCTTGATCTGTGTCGATTTGACGGAAGGAGGAAGTCAGCGTATGAAGAACAACACAACACTGAATAAAGTCATCAAATGCAATAGTTCCTCTCCCAATCCGATCGAATTTTTTTAGCATGATGTCGACGGTGGGGGGTTGAAGGCGGTACCCAAAGGTTGTCAGTGCGTTTTGTAGCTCCCCACGATCAATTGTACCAGAATTATCTCGATCAAAGGACCTGAAGCACCATTAATTGAAAATCTTGTTAAAATACTGCTCCATGTAATTGAGAAAAATGAACGAGTTACAAATAATATTTTCATTTTAAAAATCCTATTATCCTATTTTTTGTAACTCTTCATTTTTCGAAAGTTTTTTTTTGTATAATGGTGTACCTGAAGCACTGTTGCCAGTCTGTTACGTACCTACAAATTACATTTCAATGTGAAATCGAATCATCACGCAAGAATATGTATAAATCAACAAACTTACTTCCACAGGGCACCGAATTCATCGAAATTTATAGTTCCTGAGTTATCACGATCGAACATTCCGATCATGAGTCTGACCGTTTCTTCAATAAAAACAAAATTCGGAATTACTAGTTAGTTAGATGCAATTCATCATACTTGCAATCAGGGTTCAAGATTTTTTATTGCATACCAGGATTGAACGGGGTCCACGTTCCATTCGACAATGCTGCTTGCAATTCGACTGAATTTATGGCACCACTTTGATCTCTATCCACCCTACAAAACACATCATTACAACTTATCAGAACTGCAATTACTGTAACACATATATAGCAAATATGTTTGTCATCAGATTTCTAAAGTCGAACTTGGACCAACAGATCAGTTTGGCGTTGAATGTTGAATCACCAAACCAACCCCCAAACTTGTCTTACACCGGATTGCACATTTCTTAATATTTTGTTTTTGTATGTAAATAAACAATCGAAAATAAAAGAATTAATAGGATTACCTTTGAAATACAGAGTACAAAAAGTTTCGATCTGGGACTGGAGGAGGGGCTCCTTGGTTGTAGTACGCCATCTTGACCTTTATTGGCAATCGGCAACTTCTTTAAATTACTTAATTAAGATTAATTTTGGCCAACCAAAGAATGAAGAACTGCGAAGAACTGCGATGGACTAGGAGTTTCTGCTGTACAGCAGATCAGACCAAATCTGTGCAACTGTGAGTGAACGTAATGCAACTATGCAACGTGTTGAATGAATGACTAAATCTCACATCATGCAAAACCTGTAGACATATTACATTTCAGCATCATGATGATAATATTCTGGGCAAGTGAATTTTACCATGATTTTACCATACAAATGGTTAAAAAATAACCATAAATCAGTAGTATTATATGACATTTGTTGTTCTTCTTTGTCATAGGGTCGATGATGCATTGAACAGTTAGTACGTCATTTAGGTGCTATTTTTGGTTGACTATGAGATTTACCAACGATCAGATCGCTCATTTCGTAATATTGCATATGTATATAGTTTATTCCTTTATTCACACTAATATTAGCAAAAAAGACCGTTCATGACTCATGAGTTTAAGATTTTGAGGTTTTAACTTAAGTGTTAAATGTAGATAAGCAAACATTTCATTTGCATGCAAATTAGAAATCGTCGTAAGAAGCTGAAATTCGGCAGGGTGATAGTTAATGGGTTCTCATGAAATAATATGAAGTCAAATATGAACAAAAAGTAACCCGAGGTATTAAGGGGTGACCAACACCGATTTCTAAAAGTTTATACATTCAGCTCAAAAGTATGGAGTCGAAAAATAACGTACGATTAGAATTTAGAGGGTTGAATTTCGAAATTTTGAAATAGAAAATTCTGAGAAACATGAGTTTACTAATAAATCCTGGTTCGAGCTAAGCAAAGCTGTACTGATAGGTTTATCGGTTTTGATGTTTATAAGTTTTGGTCGGGAAATCAGTCAAACGTTATCAATAACAATTTATCTGTTTCAAATCGGTCTTTCTTTCACGATCATTGTGCTTATTTCTTTTTATTTAATTTATTTAAATATAGATATAGACTAGAAGCTCGTCGAAATTATCCCTTTTAGTCTTTTAAGGGACGAGAAATGTGGGGTGTTAAAATTGGGTAATTTAAAGGGTATACCCTTTATAAAGCATAATTTACATGACGGATCGGAATTCTAAGAAGACAAATTTATTCGTCTTACTCGAACGTATCACAGATTACAGTACCGCTTCGTTAATACATACATATAAAACAAAAGTTATAAAATTGCAAATCGTACTATTTTTTTAAAATTATTGTAGCTATCCAAATAAAAATATTTTCACACATCTTGAACAAATTTTTTGTAAGACTGTCGATGTATGAATTTTAATTTTGCTTCGTCGAGCCATTTTGTAATTGAAAAATCTGGATGACTCTTAGAATACAAATTAAGATAAATACCTCCTACTACTATCGCTCCAGAGTATACGTACTGGAAACTAAAGGGTTTTTGGAAAACTAAAAACGAAATTATTATAGTAACTGCTTTTCTACAGGTTGTAACTGTTACGGCGGCAAACGCACCACCTGAAATGTTTAATATATTACGTAATATCACAGAATTTGTAAAAAGTCAGATAGCATAAAATATTGTAATTTAGTCACAGCGACGATAATACGAATATTGTCAAGCACGCCTAACCTGTTCTGACCAATTGTAGTACGATTTGAATCCCAATATATCCCGTGAGTGAAAAAATAAAGCCATACCCATAGGTTTCCAATTTGTGCTACAATATAGATACATGATTAGTTGCTAATTTGGCATTTTACTTTCTGGTCGATGTATATTTACTGTATATACCTCAAGGCACACATTGAAAGCCGGCAGGAAATCTCCTGAACCAAGCAGATAGAGAAGAATGTAAAACACTCCAATGAAATACGAATATAAGACAATTTCTGCATTAGATGCATGGTGAGCTTTCATTGCTTTCTCTTGAACGTTTCCTATCGCTGCATCACAAAATAAGGCACTGCTTATTTGAAACAAACCTAAAAAAAATATTGTATTGTAAAATATTAGACCTATAATAGTAAAAATACTTTTAACATTTTGAATTGCAAATTAAAGTGATTGTAAATAAACCTATCATGTCGAATATTGGCGAAAGCTTAGAGTCTGCCAATATAAACCATATTAGGCCAACACACATCATCATCGCAGCAAAGTAATCTAGTGGTGCATATTTCTTTCCTTGAATTAGCACGGATCCTACTAGAACAGGAATAAGTTTGCAACATTTAAAGATGACTTGGGTAGGATAGTTTAAATGTCCAAGGGACGCGTTGCTGAAGCCCATTGTTCCAACTGTCAGAAGGGCAAGTAGTGCATACGTCTTCAACGGTATTCTAAATAATTGTATAGACAATCCTTAAAATGGGCCAACAATTGGCAGTTGAATCAATCACTAAAAAATAAAAGCTTAAAATATTTGTACTTTCTATGACGGTCATTTCGAATCTGCGTCTCAATCAGTCCAAAAATTGAGTAAAAGATGAACTGTACAAAGGTGAGATACCTGGAAGTCATACAAAATGGAAAACATGATTTTGTGATGTATTCTTAAAGAGTCTTGGAATGCAAATTAATAAGGTAACGTACCATCCATAAGGTTTGAAGTCTTGCAGGGTGAAAATAAGTTCCTATAATTGCGATGAAAAAAAAAATGTAATGTTTTACTTGTACCCAACTCCAAAGATTAGATTTGATCATCTTTATTACCTGAAAGTAGCCATATAAAATGAAGAATATGAAGACACCGATTGAGCAAATAATGAATTGTGTCGTCGTATTGAAGTAGCCAATTTCGAAACATAGTAATTTTACGTCGCCATTGCTGGACTTCGATCCAGAAGAAGACCCCATTTCATGAATGCTGTCGACAACAAATAAAATTTAGACTTGTTTTTAACTCTTACCGAACCTTATGTTAGCTTTGCCTTACTCAGTTTCTCTCTGTCACTAATCCCAAGTGTATATGTGCAGTTGTCACTCGTCAGATTGACGAAATTAAAATTTTTAAGAGAATAACCCTTAAATAATTATAGGGGAGATTTTACTACCCAATGCCCAGCATGTTGGTTAATTATTTATTAAATCTGAATGATGTGGAGATAATAATTATTAGTGGAGAGGAATTATTGAATGTGTCAAAAAGACAGAGCTGCCCCGGATGAGAGTTTATGTACATGCCGGGTGCTTCTTCTGCCGTTCCCAATTTCATAATCGCAAATCACAACACCGCACATTACATGCAAAGAAATATAATACAAAATATTTTATCGTCAGCAATGCTAATTCATTTCAATCAATCCAATAAAATTCCAACATTTACAACGCTTAAAAAATATAACAGCGCAAAATTACTTTAAATTAAGCAACATACGACTTTGTCTATCATTCTTCGCTGTTCAACATTGAACATTTAAAAGTGCACAGTAAAATAATGTTGAATTATTTTTGACATTACAATAATATGCAATACTATATGGTTAGAAACATACAATACAATTTTAACTGATTTTCTGACTGATTGAGTGCACTTTGGTTGGAGAAAAGTCGGAAATATGAATATAGCCAGAAAGTATGCCTCCGCTTTCTCCCACCTCTTATCAACCCAGGCCGCCTTAAAACAACTCCTCCCTTCTGGCGCCACTAGTCATCAGTTTGTCAGACAAGCCTCCAAGTTCAGAGCAGCCTTGCTTAAAGAATTTGGGAAACCGTTGGTTATTGAAGAGCAGAAACGTCCAAAGCTAAAAAAGGACCAAGTCCGTCTCAGAGTTTATTGCTGTGGAATAAATTCGGTAGATTTTCACAATGCGGCCGGAAGCATCGAACCTAAACCAGAGTTACCGTTTGTCCCGGGTTTTGAGGTATATTTCGGACAATGTCCTTTATTGCATGAAAATAGAATTATTGGGAGTTGTATTTACGTATTTCATTGCATTGTGTTTATTACAACTTGAATTGCAAGGTATGCGGCGAAATTTTAGAAGTTGCACCGGACGAGAAAAATAAACTTTTGCGACCTGGGGAGAGGGCCATAGCACTACACAGTCAATTTAAAGGGGGATTTGCAGAGGAGATGATTGTCTCTAATAAAGTATGTCGTTTGTGGCGTAATAATATTACTACATGACAAAATCCAATATCTATGTGTTTTTGTGTGAGCAGGACGTTTGGATAGTGGACAACTTCATGAGCTTTGAAACTGGTAATTTAAATTCAGATTTCTGAAAATATATTCATATTGATTTAAAATTAATTTTACAGTTGTAAATGGTTCAAAATAAACTTAACTCTAGGCGCTTCGCTAACTAACTCATACGCAACAGCATTACTAGCGCTGACCAGGAGAGCAGAAGTTAAGGACGGGGACACCGTTTTGATTAACGGAGCAGCAGGTCGTGTTGGTTTGGCAGCGGTCGATTTGGCTGCGAATGTTTATGTAAGTTCGCGTGGATTTGTATGAAAGTTCGTAAATGTTTTAATCATATAAATACATTTTAGATAAATTTGCAGTTAGCCTGACGTTAATTGTAAAATACTTGTTTGCAGCGCTGTAAAGTCATTGCTGTGTGTGCCAATGATGAGCGGGCTTCCATTGTTCGAGATCGTGGAGCTTTCGCAACAGTTGTAATGTCGCAACAAGATCTCATCACGGAAGTTAACAAGATCACTGATGGGAAGGGTGTCAAAATTATTATTGACACGATTGGAGGAGAGAGTTTTAAAAAAGTTGTAAAGTGGTTTGTAGCAAACGATCTTTATATTACTCTTAAAATAACACAATATTTGTATATATGAAGGCTCAATTATTATGTTATTTTGTGTTGTAGTGCCGCAGATGAAGCGAAGATCGTTGTAGCAGGATTTGCATCAAAGAAAATTCCACAAATCACTGGGGATGAATTGATGGAAAATTCATTTAGCATTATTGGAGTGTCTTTAGATCAATATAGGAAGAAGCAGTATGATGTATATAAACAGTGTGTGACTGATGTTATCGAAATGTCAAAAGAAAATTTGATCAAACCACTTAAAGCTAAACATTTTCCATTAGAGGATGTTAATGAAGCCCTCAAAACGTTAAAAGACAAAAATTCTATTGGCAAGTTCGTACTGGACATCCCTTAATTATAGAATTGATTTGGTGTAATGTACACCCTGACTTGAGCCTTGAACATTTTATTGAACTTTATTATACGCAATTGTAAAACTATTTAATCAGAGAGAGGAATATTGTTGTGTCCTATTGATCCCTTTGTTTTGGGATTTAGTCATGTGTCGATTTATAAATATTTGATTATTATAGAGTACACGTTACGTATCATTATGTGTTGTATAACTGCATTTTGAATGCAATCTCAATGACTTAATAAACGACGATTTTTAAATTCCGAAAAAAAGACTAGATTTATATTGTCAGAGTAACTATTTAAATACAGACTCAAAATTGAGAGTCCCGATTTGAAATTTTCTTTCATTACAAAAACAGTAGATAAGTTTTATTCACATTGAATGACCAAGTCCGTTTTCAGGGTCAGTTTTCGACTCGATATTTTCTTACATTTACGAGTGTAAAACATTTTTATATGGAAATGGCAAACATTGATGAGAATGATGTCTTGGATGCAGAGGCTCTGAACGACTTGTACCATTGGATTGACGCAGTTCCATTGTCTCGACCAAAAAAGAACATTGCTCGAGACTTTTCTGACGGAGGTATGACTGAAAAGCATGGTCGTTGTTGTTGGCCAGATCAGACAAACTAATATTCAATTTTCTATTTCAGTTTCTGTTGCTGAAATAATTCACCACTACCTACCTCGTTCCGTTGATTTGCATAACTATGTGGTTGTCAGCTCCACAGGACAAAAGAGAATCAATTGGAACACTCTCAATCGTAAAGTTTTCACAAAAATGGGTATAAAGTTAAGTGATTTAACCCTAACTCAACTTGTTGAAGCCAAGCCTGGAGCGATTGAACAGGTTAATTTATAATATTGGTTCATTTGACGGAATTCAGTACGCACTATTTTATAAGTTTGTTTCAAACATGTATTTAAAAGGTTTTGTGGGACCTTCGTCGCAAAATTCGAGAAAATTCTACCGCAAGCAAAACTACGATCGATACTAAACATGAATTACCTAACACAAAAAGTACTACGGGGGGACATGCAAAAATGACAAGTGCCCCATCATCGCACATGGTGAAGACCATTGTTGCCCCAAAGGGATCGTCTTTAACTATGCGGAGCTCCCATGTTCAGATAACGAGTCGGAAGTCTGCCCTGTGCACCAATTCTTTGTCTAGTTCGACTCCGCAACCACGACCTGCTGCTAACATGAACATGGGCAAGGCCTGTGGTCACACCAACAACAACAAGGCAGCCAAATCACCTTCAAGTACCAAACCTTTGCCAGCCTCTACTGAAAGGGAGACGGCCCTTGAAAAACCAACAACAGCGGAAGACAATGTATTGTCGTCTACAGTTTCACAAAAAATGAGTTTCGGTGATTTGGGCGAGGTTCCATCCCAAATTGTGTTCAGAGGTCACAAAATGGTCGCTGTTGAAATGTTGGAGAACAAAGACAAAGAGATCAAAGATTTGGAAAATTCTAAAAAACAATTGAGCATCAAGGTATAATCAGTTAGTTATTTTTATTAACTGGATAAGATAATAATATTGTATGTGAACTACATCAAAGATTGACCGGCTCCAGAAATTGGTCCACATCAAGGACACTCGAATTGAAGACCTGAGCCATCAGCTTTCGAATTTGAGGACCATGTATGAAAGTGTCACAGGCAACGCTACCTCATCGTCTGTGGAACGAGAAAAAACTGAGGACGTCAACAACAATGAAGCTTAAACTAAACTAAAATTACTTTCTCTTCTCCAAATGTAAAGACTACTGTAGTACAGTAACTGTACTAACCCCATCCAAATGACCATAGTAAGGTTTTGTTCGTAATTAGTCAAATTGTGGTCAAAACGCTGAATGATTTTTGTATCAATAAATATATGTATAATAAGCATCTCAAATCGATAATGCCTGTCTTTAGTCTAATTTTAGCAGTTATTAATTTATTGGGTTTATTACTCTAAATACATTAGTTTTCATGTTGCCCCTTTTATTTGATTCTCTGTCTGATCCTGTGGATTTAGTACATGTACAAGTACCTTGATTCACTTTTGCAGAATGTGAACAATTTTCATATTTGACTTTCAAATAATCTTTTGGCTTAATAAATTATATTATAGTGCATCAAATAACAGAGATTCTAAAGTTTAGAGTATTAATGCATACGATGTACATAGTAGCACATCAAGCAAAAAGGTTGCTCATTTCCTGCAATGTGCGAATCTCACCCAGATTCTGCACGAGTTTGCAATTTTGTGCCTCTCTCGTCTCGAGTCATATTTTTACCACCTCAAGTAATAAGAGTTTTGTGACGTTCAACATTATATATCCTTTTGGCTCCTTCTCTACCTTCTTTATTAATGCATATATAAATATAATGGGTGATATGTGTTCATCCAATAACTGGTTAACCACGATGAACCGCAGGATTGATGTTCTTTTTGGTTCTACATATATTCATATCTGCAGTAGGAAAAAATGATTAAAGTGTTATAAGAAATCAGCGGAAAATATTTCTATATTAAGTGGACAAATCCTAGTATTACTTCAAAATGGGGATGGACCGCATTTTGAAGGGGATCATGCAGTATCGGCAAACTGTTCGGTCAAATTTAGTCCAAGAATTTCAACGCGTGCGAGATCACCCTGAGGTAAAAATTTAATTTAATTTATGTTCATATATAATTAATACTTTAAAATTAAATAAAATTCATAACTTATGTGTATTACAGCCAAAGGCCGTCTTTTTCACATGTATGAAACGGGATTAATTATTTATTTTGTCAATTTTTAATTACAACTTATAATTTTATTTTAATTCTGAATTGGTCAAGTCTGATATTAACGAATCTTACAGGTATGGATTCCAGAATGCTACCTACACGATTTACGCAAGTAAAAAAGCTTATTGCAAACTATTTATGCTGATATGGTCTTCTTGTAACCTTAATTTTATTTTAAACCAACCAGACCCATGTTGGGGATATGTTCATTGTTCGAAACGCTGGTAATCTTATTCCTCATTCAAAGTTCTTTGCAACTGAGAATACCTCTACCGAACCTGCAGCCCTGGAACTAGGTTGTATTATAAATGAAATTAAGCATGTCATCGTCTGTGGACGTAAGAAATACCATAAGATTACCGTTATTGTATTTTTTCTGATTTTTGCGGTTCGCTGATTCATTTGAGTGCAATTAGATTCAGACTGCAAAGTGGGTAAAAAAACCTTAGTACTTTAGAGTGTTTTTTAAAAGAGCCGACAAAGATGCATTTTAACTATTCCATAATTCGTTAGGCAATGAACCTCTTGTACGACCTGGGAACGGATAAGGAAATGTCCACGATAGAGAATCAAGTCAAGTCACCCTTGCGAGGATGGCTATGTAATCAACAAATTTTATTCAGATTGCTAATTACAACTAGGCAAAAAATTGGACATTGAGGTTCTAATTTTAACTTTTAATTTTAAAGGTAATCATGGGTCAGATTCCTACGACAAATTCAAGCAATTAGAGACTAGAGGATTTAAAATGCCATTGCTATTCACTGCTGAAACCCCCATGAAGCAATTTGTCGCCTATATCGATCCTAAAAATAAATTCAGTGTTCAAGATAAACTTAGTCAGGTTGGTGCACTAGACTAGAGTAATAATGGTCCACTTTAATCATGCGATGCTATAATGCATTTCTGTAATTAATTTGCAGGTAAATTGCCTTCAACAACTCCAAAACATTGCCAGTTATGGATTTCTAAGGTTCGTCAATTATTTTCAGCTCACTCATTAAGATATTGAATCTATTTGACCGGTGAACATGTAATTATTAAAATTATATTTATATAGAGAAGGGCTCGCATCTGGAAAGATTTTTATTCACGCCCTGTGGTTCGACATTTACACGGGAGACATTTATTATTTTAGTAGACAAAAGAAAGAATTCGTCGATATTAATGAAACAACTTTTCCAAAATTGCTGGAAGAGGTGTCTGAATTTTATTATCACTAGTTAGCGAACGCCATAGATAAAAGTATTATTGTGTATATATGTAATTTAAACAAAATCTTAGCATTCCTATATATTTTGTCTATTATGCATATGCAAGGAAGGGTCTTCCAGTACTTAACATTGTATGTGTGCTTTCGAAAAAGATGATAACGTAGATTTTAACAAAAATGCCCATGACCTAGATAAATTCTATATAGGCCATTCGTCAAAGTATTTTGTGATAATAAGAAGAGAAGAACTATGTAGCATGCAATGAATTTATACACGTAATAAAAATCGGACATTTAACAAATTATTTATGAGTGCATGAGGAATAATTTTATTGGTATCCATAAAATTTTCACCAACATGTGAAACCACCATCGATAATCATGTCCAACCCAGTGGTATAGCTTGACACTGGAAGTAGTTAAGGGTGAGTAGAGTATAGTACAACGAATTTAATTAACTGATTTTAACAACTGTTTAAATGAATACCTGGTGAGGCCAGGTACACACATGCTCCAGTAAGGTCTTCCACATCGGCGAGCCCTAAAAATATTAGCAATATCGACAAATTAATTTAAAAGAGGTAGGTGAAACATGAAAAGTAAGTAAATATGGTTTACGCTGCATAGGAGTATCCCTTATCCACAAGGCTCGAACAGCCAGCAAACTCTCGGATCTATTTAGCTCAGTATCAACGTATCCTCTGTGTGCAGAAAAATACAAAATGTAACGATTTATTGCAACTAATTACGATTACATAATGTTTATGTCGTTGTACGGTGAAATGCAGTTTACGGTGACACCACGCTCTGCCCATTCGGCCCCCAAAGTTTTGGTCATATGAACAACGGCTGCTTTCGAGGTGTTGTATGCGACCTGTTTCTGAGGGTGGTTAACGATAGTCCCTAAATAATAATTTTTTGTTTGTAAAATTAAAGATGAAGAGCACAAACAGGCATGAAAAAATATTCTTCTAAGAAAATAAATTCTTCCACTCATTAGTTGTACCAATTTCTGACCTGTTAAAGTTAAAACAAAAAACATACCTGACATTGATGCAGTGTTAATTATTCTTCCATACCCTAGAGAAAATAAGTAGAATCGTCAGTATATAAAATTAGTATCATTATGCATTTTACATTAAAATAACGACTCTTACGTCATTTACATATGTACCTTTCTTTAGCATGTGCTGTGCTTCGGCCTGACAGCAAAAAAATACTCCATTAAGATTAACGCCAAGTGTTTTATTCCATTCGGTTTCACTTGTTTCTTCGGAGTTGGAATGGCTGAAAGAAAAGCAATATTCATTCAAGCATATATATTCATGGACATGAGATTTTGATAACGTGAATAAAGTTCGTTCGTTCGGGTGTGTCAACTTCTATCGCTCTTGTAAATTGCCATTTTCGACTTTACTTACAACACAATTCCAGCATTGTTGACTCCAATGTGCAGATCTCCAAACTTATCCAACACCTTTTTAACCATCTCCTCCACATCTTTCTTGTTTGAGACGTCCACTTTCAATGCTAGACTTGGGATACCTTTGGCTTCCAATTCAGATGCTACTTTTTCTGCACGAGACAATTCCAAGTCGGCGATAGCAACTTTGCATCCGCTTTCTCCGAGAGCATGAGCAAAAGCGCGACCAATTCCTTGGCCTCCGCCCGTAACTATAAATCATTTTAACAATAAATGTAACAGCACTTGACGGGTAAATTTACACCATGACCTTGGGTAATTCAAGTGGAATATACCTAGTGCCACTTGACCATCCAACCCAAATCTTTTCAAAATGCCACTTGAACAAACTTTCACATTCTTGACGAGTTCTTGAGCCTTGGTAAGCTTTTCAGTGACCTTGCTGTCCTTCGAAACACTTAGGGTTTCGCGTAATAAGGCTTCCAATGCCTCAATTGTAGGATCTACATATTCAGAAAGACAGCTAGTAATAGTGTAGTAATAACTTTACCAAATTTTGCATTGGCAATGTCTCACCGGTAGTACCAACGTTTGCCATCTTGGAGAAATATTGGGATTCGGAGGCAACTTGAGACGATTAACCTGATTTGTAGCAAGGACGAATAAAGTGTGACACTAATCGAATTGATCCAATCCAATAAATACTCTATGTAATTTTCAATTCATACTTGAAGATTATGGAAAGATAAGCAATTCATTAATCATTGAACTTGAAATTTTACATGATGTGTACTTTAGACAGGATCATGAATTGGTCAAATGAGCAGTAACACAGAATCAATTATAAATCGGAAAATGAAGAGGATTCTCAGATCTGCCCAATAACTGCTTATTAAATATCAACTCTGGTGTAGATCCTGATGGATAGTTAGTCAGTAATGGTAGATAAATATGTTGATAGACACGATATTTATTATTTTGGACATTTTTTTAGTAGAAGGCAATCAATCAATTCAAATTGGTGACAAGTGTTCATGTTACACAAAGAATGGAGCAGATATGGATTGATGATATCACGCCTGAAAGGTCTGGATAATATCATTAATGTGCTTGAAGCATGAGATTAAACTTTATGCTTTAAACCAGATTTTCTTAGCTTATCTTAAATAGAAAAATTTAGAGTAAATACATTCATGGACAATGTCAAAATAAGTAAGTAACACATTCAAATGTTGGTTTGGTTCCAAATAATAAATTATTAATAATAACACGACACAGCTTAAGTTATTCACACTTATGTTATTTTTAATAAATGTATATTTTTCGACTATATGGTTGAAGACCTCTTTATTTGGTAATCTTTATCTGACAGCTTGTCTGTTGCGAGTACGTCAATAGTTTGATTATAACTGAAGGGGACTTCTTCATTTCGTCCTTCTTCTTGTATAACTGAGTCTGCCATGGTCTCGGAAAGAAGTATTTCAATCGTTTGTTTCTTAAGATATCTGTCAGATTCAAATTAAACAAATTAGATAAAAAGCTGTTGAAATCGATGACAAATCTAGTTCGTATACGCATAAGCATGTACATATGTATGTATATGGAGTATGTTTACACATACTGAAATAATGATGGTACATGATTATGATTATGAAATAATTATGTGTGTACCTTAGACGGCTGTATACTTTAACCAGTGTCATCATTGTAAATGCCTATAAACATTCATTCATCACAAACATCCTTCGTAAATCAGATTAGCATATATGAAAATTACTACCCACAATGAAAAGAAACTGAAATGTGGAAATGAAGAGCGTGCCATAAGCAATTGTCATCACTGAAAATGTTTCCGACTCCAAGCAACCCCCAGACCACACTTCTTGGCGTCCGCATGGCGTCGTTTTGCTGGAATGTACACAGCAACTCGATGGGTATAAGACTTCGACCTGTCTTTGACCATGTTCTAGCCTCCAGTTTTTAAAGGAGCTGATACCACAGCACTTGAACTAAATCATTCATTAGGGCAAACAATAAGTTGTGGTTTATTCCTCTTTTATACGATATTTGTGGAAATAATTGTTGTAATAGTATATTTACGTACGTACGAATTTCTGAGAAGTCTTCCAAATTGTTGATATATTGCGGAAACTGGATTTTTGCATTTCTACAATCATAATATCTTCTAATTTGTCTTCATAGATAATATTGGATCCAAAATTGTAAACAAGTGTAAAGAACGCCCAAACTGCACACGCAATGCACGTTGTCATTACCTGCATAGAAATATAGGAAAACCAGAGAGACTGATGTAAAAATGTTTGAATATGTAAAATCAGCTAAACCTGTAATAATAATTTGTGCCACATAATTAATTTAATTGGTGAAAACATACCAACCCGAATGAATGGTGAAGAAGACGCACCACTACAATTATGCATGCAAGAGAACAGCCAAGACCAACGATTCCATTGACAATAACTGCATAATGCATGGGAAATGATTCATATGTCCCAATCCTTAACAAATACCCACTGAAACTCATCTCCTTAAGAAATTCAATCCATAAACCGTCAAAAAGTGCTGTTAACGATGATATCTACCAAATGATGCGTTTGAAAATAAAATTATTGCATTTATCCACGTTCATTGCCACAACTTACCGTGAGCACAAAAGTGAGGATAGATAATACTTTCTGATGTTCTTGAATAACTGCATCGCTTAAGACCTACATACATATAATTTTCATTAAACTTTTACTTATAGGAAGTTGAAATATTTGTTTTTCTTTTACCATGTATTTTAGCAGAGGCAGTGCGTTTTCCTCCGTGAGATAGGTTTCGGGAGGATTCGCAGAATGCATATCTTGGTAATTATTGGATAATGGTTGTGTACACATTTTATTTAGTTCTATTTATTGATAACACAGTAGAAGTTAAATTTTAAGATTAGTCTGAAAAGTGATGAGACACTAATCATGAGAGCAATAAGGAAATTAAGAGTTAAGGGAAGCGACAGCGCTATGACTACAATTGTCTTATCCTAACATAAGATAAGACACCGCCGGTATGAGATGTCATGTCTTGTCAGATATTTTTTGCGACGCAAATACTTTGATAGACCAACTCTTCTCATGAGCAATAAGTATTTGGTTCGGCACGCGTAAAATTCAGCGTATATATTTGTGTCGCATGTTAGCGAAAACGCTCGGCAAAATAAGCACGCATGTATTTTGCACATTTTTCCAAATTCTCGAATTCTCGAACTTTCATTTTATGGCGGATTTATTTATTAGCAAAAATATGTCAAAACCTTATAGCCTTATTTTTGGCAACTTTTCGAATTTTAGCGTATAGTTGAAAATTTTTATAAAAACTGGTTTTACAACGACGTCGGTAAAAGTTTGTTGAAAAATAGTTGACCAGTGTGGATCATCCTGTGGGGTCACACTGAAAAGCAAATTCCTTAATTTTTACTGTTCACTCTTTAATCGATTCTATTATATCATAAGACTTGCAAGTATTTTAACGTAAATTAAAGTGGACTCAAGTGCTAATTACAGCTCACTACTAAATTGGTGTACTAAGTTGACAGAATAAAAATTGTTTTCATTCAAAGGACGCTATAGACAGACGTCAAGCTTATTAGTGCATACAAATGGCATAAAGAGACAAGGAGCGGGTTGCAGCAAAGATGAGACTTCACATCCCGGCACACAACAAGCTTTGTCGTCTTCATTTTTACAAAAAAATATCAAAATTACTTCAAATTAAAATACACAATAGGAAATTATTTGAAAGTGCGTATAAAAATACTTATGAACGACAAAGTTTGGTAGGAAACTAATTGTAATTGCACAAGGAACTATCGGTCCCACCCAACAAAACAAGATGCCCAAACGTGGTTCATCTCTGTCTGAAGAATCGCCACGAAAGGTGACGAGGAGAACTTCGAAATCTCCGGCCAAGAGCGATCCGCCGCAACTCTCATCCACCGACGACGCCGACCTGATGAACATTAGCGACGAGGAAGATGTCGAAGTTCCTTGTCAAGAGGTCCAACCGGAGAAAAAGCCTCCACTTGCTCCTCGATTAATATCATTGGACGAATTAAGATCATTGAGGGAACGGTTCTTCGTAAGTTATTTCAAAAAATTAATCTGACAAAGAGCTATATAATGGATAAACATGTTATCTGTGATGCAGGAAAAATTTATGCAAGATGTCATCAACATTAGTGATGATTCTGAAAGTATTGATCCTGAAATGTATCGTTCTCTTGTGAGTGAAATTGTGGAAGAGTAAGTTGAAATTCAAGATTACAATTGACAGGCCTCATGAATGAAAATCCATGTGGTGGATCTAATTATCCTTTTTATAAAATAATATTTCAAACAGGGATCCTGCAGAACAACGATACTTGGTTGATCAGCATATGAGAGATTTCGTTGTAGAAAAAATGGCGACAAGACTAGAAAAGTGGGACAGATTTCTGGAGCTTAGTATTCAACTAGCCAGGAATCAAATATGTTCCGGGTCACAACCCATAGCTTTGATTTCCGATTTTATGGAGCTCAGCAATTTGAAACAATGTGAAGAAATATTTGAGTTTGTCGAGCAGAGATTGAGCGTATGGAAGGATCCATTTTTTCTCAACTCTGGAAAAAATGCTGTCTTGCGAATGTGCAACGGTATATTTTAATGCATATTTAGAATTTAAGATTTTTTTTACATATGTATGTTCTATCCAGTATGGTCATACCATACATGTTCTTTTACATATGGTTTGTTCAACGTCCAATATATTTTTGTTTGCAGATCTTTTACGAAGATTATCCAGAGCTCAAAATACCATTTTTTGCGGTCGTATTCTGCTGTTTCTGGCGAACTATTTTCCCTTTTCAGATAGATCTGGGCTAAATATAGTGTCGGAATTTAATTCTGACAATATCACATCATATAAAAGTGGAGACGGATCGGATGACCCTGAAGACAAAATGGAAATGGTAGAAGACCATGATGATAAATTGTTTGAAGGAATAGAAATTGTGATTCCAGGCTTAGACAAAATTGTGTCCATTACACAAGAAGAAAAGAAGAAAAAGGTCAAGGTTGATTACAATCTGTATGTCAAATTTTGGTCGTTACAAGACTTTTTTAGAAATCCTACCCAATGCTACAACAAGGTTTCGTGGAAGTCATTTATGCTGGTATGATTACACACAGAATAGATTACTTTACCTTTACTTTGGAAATATTACTATCAATGTTACTAATTCGTTGATTGCAGTACATACAGGATGTCTTGGCTGCATTTACATCCTTCAAAATAGATGGGAGTCAGACACAGCAATATCACAAGTTTAAGACACCAAATCCACACCCAAATGCAAATAAGGATAATAATGCAGCATCTCAACACCGAAGCCGTTCATCCATCAACGTAGTTCCTAAAGTAGGCGATGATGATTTGTACTTTCCAAAATATTTGACCAACCGAAGGTTATTAGAACTACAAATGGGGGATCCAAACTTTAGACGATACTTCATGGTCCAGCTTCTTATAATTTTGCAATATTTGACAACCCCAGTTAAATTTAAAAGGTAATTGTTTGTAATAGAAAATAGAAACTATACTTTTCTATTATTTGATAGTAACAAGTTTGAATTTAACTCGCCTTTACAGTGAGAATCAGACGCTTAGTGAAGATCAGTTGGATTTCGTCAAAAAAACGACTGCAAGAATATTTACTTTATTGAGAGATGTGAGGCCATGTGGCAAAGAATTTGTGACAGCTGTTCAGCATATATTGAAGGTAATTTTATGGTATTTTCTAAAAGTGCATTTTTGTGGGATTAATTTTTATTGACCTTAAATTTGCATTTACTTGTCCAGCGAGAAGACTTGTGGAGCAAGTGGAAAAACGATGGTTGTCAGTCTTTTAAAAAACCAATTACAAGTATCCCGATGGAATCAGATTCAATTAAAGGAGACGACAATTCGCTATCAGATCTTGGAGAGAAATCAGAAGAAACCTTGATAACATCCTCTCCCCCTAAAAAACGGCAATTGGGGGATATTTTGGAAGAAGCAGAGAAAAATAATCGATTTCTCCTTGGAAAGTATGTGTTTCTTTTAATATTTTCAATATAAATTGCAGGTATTTATATTCATGACTTTAAATTTCTTCATTTTCAAATTTTTCAGCCCCGAATTAACCAGATTATGGAATATATGTGGGGATAATTTGGAAGCATGTCGTTTAGAATCTCGTGATTTCTTGCCTACAATTGATACTTTCTTTGTGGAAGCATTTAAAGAGCTCGACCCTGAACCTCCATCCAACGTCGTGGCAGATCCTTCAAAGAGAGAAGTCAAAACTAAAACGTTCGTTTTCATATCTATGTTTAACCTTTATTTATGTCACGTTGTGAACTATCAATTGATTATACACGAATCTGATAATTTGCAAATTTCAGAATTCTTGGAAATCCTAACTTTGGTTGGCGAGCTCTTCGACTTTTGGCAAGGAATAGTCCATATTTCTTTCAGCTAGCACCATCACCTCCAATCCAACCTCTTCAAAATTACTTGGAATTCATCTTAAAAAAGATCGCAGCAGAAATGGAACTTCCCAGAGAAGAATTCGTAAGGGCAAAAATATTAGACTTGATTATTAGCAAACGCTTACATTAAGTACTACCGTTTAAATTAACAGGAGGACAATAAACTTGAAGATGGGTCAAAAGTGGGAACAGTTTCTGCAGATAATGCAAACGATGGTCCAGATGTAGACCAGGTTGTGGAAGGTGACGCTGATGACAATGACGAGCTCTTAAAATCAGACACAAATCCGGAGCGTATTGAAGAGGAAGAAGAAGGGGAGGTTGATGAGAAAGTTCGTAATTTGACCGAACACGAACAGACATTTGTTGGCAGACTGATCGGAGACGCATGGAAAAAATTGGCATTGAAATTTCAGTTTACAAATGACGAGGTGACGTACAAACAGAATGAAATCTATCGAAATCAAACGTAATATAATTTGAATATTTTGTTTTCAGATCGAGTTTTTCGAATCTGAAAAGGGGAAGGATGCTGGTTCATGGATGCTAAAAATGTGGACTGAGCAAGAAAAAGAAGACGCAACTGCGGCGGATCTTTTATATCAATTAGAGGGACTTAAACTTCGGGAATTAGTAAGGGAAGTCTTTCCCTGAGTAGAATTAGTTTATTTGACCTTGACTTAACCTAATTATTTTTGTTATTTTTTAAACAAACAAGAAAAAATTTGCCGTAGGTTTGATAAAAGATATACATATGCATACACATTAAATGTAACACGGACATTTGTATTTTAGTTTCATTTAGTTAATTTCATAACTTATATATTAACAACATGATATAATATAATAGAATTAAAAACAATATTGAATTAAAAATAAATTAAAAATAGACAACTTAAAATAATGCGACTTTGCAATTTCAACTTCACCCAATAACCTGCGCGGTAATCAGCTAAGACTAGGACTGGATACTTAATTTAATGTTAGACTGATTTTCCTCATTGGTTTCACAATGATAAATAAAGAAATGGAAGAAAGTAAGAAAAGTGACAACATTCTTGGCGATAATGTTGATAATCCTGTGCCGGAGGTTGAAGAAAGTGCAGAATTTCTCCTTTTGCGACCTCTGTGCGCGGCCATCGTGGGAGATCCGACCTTGTCAAATCTTGCCAGATTTCAAGAGGCCTTCGTCCTCGTTGACGCTCCTTCGCCTCATCTCGCCCAATTCGTCCTCCTCCCTTTCGCCATCCACTTCAAACGACTTCACACATTCAAGTAAGACTTTATTGTTCACTACACTTCCTTGCCATGTGCCATGTCACATGTTGAAAATGCTGGAAATAAACAAATGTTATATTTTCTCCAGAGACAAGACAAAAACTCAATTCATGTCGACGGCGGCCGTGGTGTTCCAAAAGTTTGAGGTTTCACTGTGGGAAATGTTCGTAGAAATTTTCCAAAGACTACATGTTGTCATATGCTTAAATGAAGATCCAACCAAAGGTAGACAAAGCTTAAATTACTTCTTGCGTGAAATAGGAATAGGACCATAATTGATGATTTATAATTTATTTTCTAGTAAATTTTGAAAGTCCTGAAGACCAAATGGAGGCCGCTGTTGCGTGTATAAATGGCTTGTGCCAAAAAAGCCTTACTTGTCACTTTAAAACTCTGTTTGACGATAGCAAAATGCAAATTGTAGCACATTCGCTAGTTGTATTGCTTCAAATTTGTTCTTGTGATGTGAAAAAAAGTATCAGGTAAGTATTAACCAAAGAGAAAAGCATACATTAATATGATTTTGGACGCATGAATTGCTGATCATAAACCATTATAATTCAGACTTGGAGCGTTGGACACAGTTCATATCTACGTTGAAAAATGCAGTAAAAGTGAAGCCGAGTCCCGAAGACTATTTCGATTCTTGCCAGGAATTATTTCAACAGGTGTCATTTATTCAACATAAAACTATTAAATCTAAAAACAAGTTACATTAATAAATTAAGACCATAACAATCTACTTATAAATGTCCTAGATAAACCTCAACCCAGTAATATTTTTTCATAATTAAGAATATTTTTTTTATTTCAGTTAGGAAAATTGTTGATGTTCGAGTTGTGAGAACGCAGCAGGATATTTTCGTGGTACTTATTTAAAACGTTATTGATGCGTACTATCTATTAAGTCGGAACTTATTAACTATGATATTTTACTTTCAATAGAAAGGGATGGAACTACTTCAAGATGTGATACTTGCAACGACTGCTTACGAAGATCAAACCGCATTAGCTGAGCCTGATAAACATTTATCCGTTGTGTTATCGCAAATTAGTACCAGCATATTACAGAATGAAATACACGACTCTCAACACTGTCTCTTGGGAGTAACGGATAAACTACTTGCGGGGATTGGGTAAATTATACTATACGCTTTCTGATTTAACTTTCCTTGAAGTACCAAAGCTTTTAATATCCATCCATTTTTTCACTAAAACATAGACAAAAAATGCCAAGTTGTCGGAAAGTCCTGCTGAATAATGTCATGGTTCTGAAAACCGTCATAAACACAAAGGAGGAGACCGTCAAGATATCTACGATGCTAAAAGAAAACATTAACTCCACTGACATTGGATTTGATGAATTGCTAGAAATGATGAAATCAGCATTGATGGACCAGCAGGCTAACAACAATACTGATTGCTTAATTTCGTTGGCAAAAATATCGTCTTATTTAACGTTGGTTCCGTTGAATTATTTGGAACTCGAGGAATTTTTAGAGTTATTATTTTCAGTGATGTGTGACGTTATTGTGACACAACGTCGTGCAGTTCAAGAGTGTTCTGTTGTTGATAACTCTGTGTTAAATATGTGTTACAAGATATGTGAAAGCTTATTCGCGTCTTCCAAGAACGTGCAAGACATTCTCGAATTATGCGAGTGCAGGTTTACAAATTTTGATGGAAATTTACAAAGTAACTTTTTAGGGTGTGTAAGGTTCACGAACGATGTTTTTAAATTACAACTCAATAATTTACAGTCATCGTCACCATTAACCAAATTACAAGTGCTGCAGTTTTCGGACCATTATATTTCAATTTTAGACGTTCAGTCAACAGAAGTTGTTTTAAATATTTTGGAAACAGAAGCCCCGAGAACTCAGTCATTGTTGGACGTGCAGAAAGCTATGCTTCTTGAAGGATTAGGACTGATGGGGAAAGTGTACCCCGAAGAACTCATTCCAGTCATTCTGTATCACATTGTTGAATGTGCTGGATTAAATTATCCCTCAATGATCAGTGAATCTGCTCAAAAAACTTTAATTTCCTTATCCGACCCTAAATCTGTTGAAACATTCCTCTCAAAACATTTGACGAGTGTAATGAGTGACTTAAATGTACGAATTCTTAATTTAGCCTTGCATCCAAATTGTCCAAATGCTTTGATATTTCTTGCACGATATTTTGACTTTTCTCAATCTGTTATGGTCAACTTGGTAGAATTGGTCTTATCTCGGTCGTGTGATCCGTTTAGCGGAGGTCATCTACAGTACTTGTACTCTAAGGTTTTTTATGCATTCGTCGTTTCTTTATGGACACACAATGGGCAACAAAATCAACAGTTCTCACCAGCTTCTGAAAATAAACCCAGTTCATTTTTGTCCCATAGAATAAAGGAGCAAAAATCTTTGTTTGAATTTATAAATGATTATCAATGTTCCCTTGGACTAAGCGTTGCAACTGAGGAAGCAATTGGTCAGAAGGCAGATCTAGATGACCCCATTGACGAAACTGCTGGCCACGATGGAAGTGAGGAAGAGATTACAGAAACTCCTCTGAAGCCACCAAGTCCTGAAGTAAACTTGGTCATAAAAATTTGCCATCGCGTACTTAACTTTTTACCCAACTCTGAGAGAAGCGTAAGATTACTGGCAATGGATTGTCTCATTAAAGGAATTCTGGTCTTGAGAAACGAAGAAGATGCATTACTCCCATTAGCACATATTATATGGCAAAATCTAGTTCCAAGGTATTCACATAAAAGTAAAACAAATCCATTCTTCTGAGTGATTGACATTTTTAAAGCTAATACGAGTATTACTTGACAATTCTTTATTTTTTAAGGATGGCGGAAAAAGACTTTGTTGTGGTTCGGAAATCCTTTGAATTACTCGTATGCCTTTGCTCATCCTGTGGGACCTTTTTAAAGAAGAGAACAATGGATGACATATTTCCCAAATTGTCCTCACTGTTAACCAACTTGGCAATGGAAAGTGAGCAGGTGGCAATGAAAAATCGTAAGGTCTACATTTACAGTCAATCGTACAAATTACAGCTCAGCGTTTTGCAGGTATGCATTACACGTTATATCTATTACATCACAATAGTTAGCGGTAATTAGCAACATTAATACGAACTGCACGTGTTTGGCTTCCAAATTTGCAGGGTTTAGCAGAAATCTGTCAGTCTATTGATATCCAAGAAGAAGAATTGCATCAAGTAGTTGAAGGATGCATTCTCTATCTCGAACCGCATCAGCATAAAAATTTACAGGTATTGGATTACCCATACATACGTATTTACAGTAACTGTAAATGTGTCAGCTCTGAATCAGCATTTTCTCTGGTCTAACTACTTGTTTGTAATATTTATCATAGGCTGAAGCTCGTAAAGTAATAGATTATCTTGGATCTGAGAATTCTACGACAAAGTATCGAAGCATTTGGATGACACTAATAGCTCTTGGACTCCGTCACCCTCCAAATTCCACACCACCATCTTCATTATTTGCCCCAATCCCTAATTCCTTATCGGAGTTTTCAGCTCAAACCAATACGTTAATACATAATTAGTTAGTAGTCAGTAGTATTTATGAATTTCTGTGCTGTGATAAGTCTGACATGACTCAATGATGAGTAAAGCAAAATATTTATTCCAACCGATTTTAAAGTCAATACTTGGCCATTTATTACTGATATACATGTATCAATCACATGATAATGTCATAAAAATTGTCGGATAATCTTATTGTCGTCAAGAGTCAAGACTAAATAATGTTAAATTAAATTAATGAATAGTTCTGGTAATGAAGTTCCTATTGAGCTTTGCTCTTAGATTTGCTGGAGGCTGCTTTTCTCAGGTACGCTTTATAGAAGAATCGAGCAAATAGGACAAAGTACGAAGAGTACATTATTAAACTCAATTGAATGTTCTGGTCGCTAACATCACACGTCTCGCCCCTCGCCTTGGCGAAATATGCGTGAACATTGACGATCACACCCACAATCATCTGAACCAGTTGTAGGCTGGTGATGGCAACAGCTATGGGTTTGGGTATGTAGACTCGAAGGGCACGCAAGAAGTAGTACGAGTACATGAACGCTGAAATTATACAAGTTTCATCTTACACATTTATCTACAGTAACATAATTTACTAAAAAAAGTGACAAAGTGAGGCATGGCGTCAGTACTTACAATGAATCACAAAGTTAGTTGTGACATACCACCTAGCTGGAGCTAAAAAAATTATGTAATACACAACAATGTAAAATTTGTTTACTGTTGACTATTCCAATTAGCAAATCATTATCTAGGAAGTTAGCAAATGATATGACATACCTATAAATTCGCTGTACGAGTACCAACTGTAGAGTAAGACTGTGACATGGTGATACCAGTGAAGGAATATTAGAGGTTGTTTTCTCAATACGATGAAAACTGTGTCACCCAATTCTAACGCTTTGCTGGTGACGAAGAGGAATGTCCACAACTGCCACGCTTGGTTCTGTCCCCAACTAAAAATTATGAGCACAATCAATTAATTAGCACTAACTTGTGCGTCAAACAGAATTAAAAATAATTATGCATATCATATTCTTGGTAACTTTCTCACTATTCTCACCTTGGATAGCACACAGTGTGGTGAAAGCCATTGGGTCTATTGAAAATGAAGAGTAATTCGGGGACGCTTCTGTGAAGAATAAATACGAACACTTCTGAAATGTGAATATTTTTTAGGTACTCATGATCTGGTCGGTTAAAGCAGCGGAGCTAATAATACGTGCAAACACGTTTCTTGTATGACGACTTAAAATTTCAAAACCATACCTGAAGGCTCCAAAAATTGAAAACGCAGCCAACGCTAGGTTCCACACGATTAGAGGTTTTTTGAGCTCAAATCTAGGTCTGTTCTGCATGTACTGCTGGCCTAGGAAGATGAAGAGGAGGTAGGCGCCCACGTAGTAGAAACTGATGGTCCAGTTTTCCTCCATCCATACTTTCGACTCGAATTTGTTGAAATCTCGCTCAAACTTGAGCATATTGGTATAATTTGGCATTGCAATCATTTCTTTGTGTTCGAGTTGAAATGGTGGGACCCTTTCACCCCCAAGACTCTGATGAGCGGTTGCAGCGTCCATTCTTGGTGAGCAGTTGTTGAACAAATGTGGCGAGCGGTGAGCAATAACTGATTGATATATATTCCAGTATTATGCAATTATTTTCAACTCAATGCCAAAGTTGAGAGTGTTCTCGATTTGTTGTGAAGAAAGGGGAATCTCAATTGAATGGAAATTCCCTAGTCGAAAATTGTGTGTATTTAACTCCGAGCGAATTCAATCACGGACCTGGACAAGTGAAAAAACCCTAATAAAATCATCATTGAACAAGTGTGTGTCATTCAATTTTAGTCATTCCGAATGTTAATAATATTATAGCACACGCCTACATACATACCAAGACCACGGTACACTCATAAGAATTATCTGTGAATGTAGAGAGTGTGATAAACTAAATATGTATGAAGCAGATTATGAAGTACTCCAGTCTCAAGTGCACCAATTTGCTACAATGTCACCCAATTTAACATGCATTATATACTACAGTGAATTCCAAAACTTCACTTTATCATTATCCATTCCATGCACAAATCTAGCATCAAAAAAACGGCTCAGCGAACTTCCAGGAGGCAACTTGAGACCCTGTTCTCACCCTCGCTCGCAGAGCTGTAAATACTCGTGTGCAATAATTGCATAGCTTGACCTTGATACATGCATGGTGCTAAATTTTCAGTCAAAGGAAGCTGACTGCATAGACTAAAGTGGATCATTCATTTGAATTTGTATTGGATGTTCTTTTAACGGAAAAAATATGAAGCAAGCATCGAAAGATGAAATTATATAAATATTGCAAACGCGGTCGAATGATTAATTAAGTTTAAGTATGAGATCATCTTTTTGAGTCAGGTCAGGGTTATGTAATCTATTTCGCTACTAATTATGAGCACAAGTAAGGAAAATTTGAACCAATCTGCACGTGGTGCATAACAATAAAAAATGAAATCCTATAAAAATAAATTATCTTCTTTTGTTTCACCAGACCGTGTCGTGCATGTCATTCTGCCAAATACACCCAGACAGATAAATGATTCAAATAAGTAATAAGACTTACCTTGGTATTTTCCTGCACGAGTCAGTCCAGCGATTACTCCGATGGGAAACTACCGTTTGCCTTCACAATCAATAACTAACTGAACTGACTGCTTAATAGTAATGCGAGTATTCTACATGCAACTACACCATGCTCGTGAAAGTAGTTGACTCGGATTTAACCATACCACAACTTACTATCAGTTAATAAATACTTAATGGTGGTGCAGTCAGATGAGGTGATGATAAGTTTGGCATTAGTCGCCAAATTGTGCTCTGGTATGGTACATTTGATAAATACAAGTCGAGTAGCCGGCCATAGACCACTTCTGTCTGCTCCTTATTACTTAAGATGTGCGGAATGAAACTTTGTTATAAAGAACCAGTGAGAAATGAAATACTGAACTTTGGAGCTGGACCGAACGACCGACCAACCAAACTAGACCTCCTCTCTGACAATGAAAGTGAGGAGATGTTTGTGTAAACTGCCAAGTAACACGACATTCATATTGTAGAAATATGCCATCCATTAATATCGTGTAGTGGTATGAGAGGGGTTGCTTGTAGTTCATGTGAAATTGCAAAGAAAATCTCTAGAACCGGTCATACAATTGATTGTTCGTTTAAAGAATCTGCACCACAATAAATGCTTAACTCAGCAGCAAGAGGTATCCTCTAAATGACAGCTTTTTTTAATGCTCAATGTGTACTCTGCCCTCTCCCTCTCTCTCCTTTTCGTGGATGATAATGAAGTTGATGATCATTGCATCCGATCCATTGTGTTTGCATATAAAGGAGAGTTGTAGTTGCAGGATCGAAAGCTTTCAATGTTAAAACATTCAGCGCAGTAGTAAGACAGCTTTCGGTGCTACTAGAATATTGTTAGAGGGTGCATGAGATGACCACGTTTCTACTATTCGATTCGTCTTTTTTATATAAGCGCCCAATGCATTTTGTATGACTTCATTGTATACATATGTGGTCATTGAAGTGGGTTAGGCATAAAATAGTCTGGTTAGTTATTACTATCAATTTCTCCTATTTACTGTGGTGTTAAATGGCTTTTCCAGGCAACTTACACTATTTTTTGCTGAATGTCCAAAGGTCAAATCCAAAATGTGCAACAACCTCATGAGACGCCATTTACAGATAGTTCTGCATTGTTGATCATACACATTTAGGGAATGAGGACTCTGATGTAAATATTCAGATAACTTTAAGCATAGGGCTTGATTACAATTGAAAGAAAGTTAGACTCGTAATGTTTGCATCAAGATTGTACAAACTTGAGTCAACTTAATGTTATCAGTTAACCTAGTAGTTCTTCATGCATCCATAATAAATGAAAAGGTTTACTATGCAGCTCTTAAATGTACAGTCCTTAGCAAAATCAGTACTTAATTCTTACGAAGTGAGATAATATATCAATTAATTATATAAGGTCATAATTGAAACCTCATTTAACCCATATTATATACTCATCAATGTATGTAGGACTTAAGTAAATTACTTGACTAATGCTTAAAAAATGGTCCATTGATTTTTTAGTATATTGTGCACATATGTATGTAGGTATGCATCTGTATATGTACATAAACAATGCAGATATATAGGTTCGTATCATTTTAATTCCGTACTACGTATTTCTTTAGTTGTGGTTTTGAATGTTTGTATTTGTGTGTCGTGTCATGCATACAATACACATACCAATTGGTTGATTTATTCGAATTGTAGGTCCTTTTAATTTAAACAGACCCTCTAATTGTTGGTTATTCATAAAAATTGCGAAATTCACTTCCATATTTCTTATTTCTCAAAGAACCTCAACTGTTGTTGTGCTATCCTTCACGTATATGAATTTACTTAGGATTAGTTAAGAGTGAACATAAGTCTACGAACATCAGTACATGCATAACATGAAATTTTGAGCTCTTCAATCCACTGGTCAAAGTATCCATGAGATGAATGAAGTAACGAACTTTGTACTCGAGTGGGTTCAGAATTCGATCAAGTAAATAAATTTGATCCTTGTCCCTCCCTACTACTTATCTAATTACTCAACCAATGTCAAGCGTGGGTTGTGGATTACATACACTTCTTTATATCCGATTACATTATATGAAATCAGAATCAAAGAAATGAAAATTCTTACACAGACAACCATTCACGACTTGAGAAAGTCAGCTCATGAGTTACCGAGTCGTCTGCTGCCCTTCCTCCAATTAACTACTTCACTTTGAGTCGTAATCAGTCCACTTTATTCAGTGACCAGTACTCTTGGAATTCAGACTCAACAAATTGCATCGGATGTTGGATTGGCGAGAGTATGGCACGCATAATCAATATTCCACACAAATAAGTAAGATTAACTGCCAAACTGTTCAGAGACTCAATATGCCATGGACTTTGGTTCACTGCTCTATTACCTTCTTGGATTAGTTATTGTTGTAGTTTTACAATGCTCGAAGGTTTTAAAAATCTAATAACAATAACGATAAAATAAAAAGCGCATGTTTTTGTGATGAGCTGTTCTATGCACTCTACAAATCCAGAAATACATATATATTCAAGGTTGGGTCGAACGAGTACCAAGTAATAAGTATTAGAATGGATATATTTTTATTACAACACATAAAAATTCCAATTTAGCATCTGGGAATCATATTCTCAAATTGTAATGCTTACATTATATAACGTCGTTAAAATCGGCTAAAAATTTTGCTTTATATCGTGGAGGATGTTGATTTAAATTATTTTTTACAAAAAAAACAAGCAATTACATTTCGCTAATTGATCGGAAAACTATAGATTTATAGCTTAGCTAGATTTTTTAACAGTGTTTCTTTAGCCAGAATGGAGCTGGTAGAGAGTACTCTGGAGGAAAATTTTCACTTGGTGGAAAAGTAAGCTCGGAAACATTTAGCTTAGCTCTTTTTGGAGGAACCCAAGATAGTGGCTCTGTACGAAGACAAGGAAAATCAACGAATCGATTTTTTAGAGGGTTGTGGATATAGGCTTTTTTATGACAACGCTTCTCAGTTGTTGGAATCATGTTCTCTTTTTCACAAGTTTTTTTCGGCTTTAACCATTTTGAGAGGTTTTCCTCATTTTGCCAACAAACAATAGTCGGCGTATCGAGTTCTTGCTGGTTATTATCTCCCTTCCCCGGCAATGGTGTGGCTGGGTCCTTCAATGATATCCAGAAATTACTTCACTGTTATCAATTTATCACTTTAAAGCTTATGTACTTACATTCCGCTTAGTTGAGTTTGAATCTTCAATTGATACAATTTCAAAATCATCAGTTTCAGAGGTTTGCAGCTTCACTCCAGACAACCACTCTTCGATGTCACGCATTTCAAATCCGCAGCCTGCGGGCACTGGGACCGTCTGTAACATTTTATAATGTGTCGAATGAGTTTCAGTTGCACATATGTACTTAATTGCATATTTACATATAGATCAACTCACCTCCGTAGTGTTCTTGGGAGTGCAGGGCAATTTGGGTTGTCTTGCAACGGTAATGACCGAATTGGACCCGGATGTTACAGGTTTGTGGCTCATAAACTCTTGGCCGCTCTTACTATCCTGGTATTCGACAAATCTATGAAACAAGAAATTATTCGCCACGTAATTAATCATGAAGATACCTCCAAAGGATAATATATTATACCTTGGGGGCAGAGAAACGGATGTTCCTACGTCAAACAATCCCTTCAGTCCCTTGGAGGATACGCTCCCCCAATCTCGAATGTTTTCATCCAACACGGCATTGTTCACCTTCAGTTCCACTGGGGACGGTTCTGACCACGTTTTACATTCTCTGAGTTACAAATTTAACCAGTCTTATTAACATTACGATTACGACAACATATTAGAACTACATGTCACTGCATTCCTCATTTAGGCGAATACTTAAATAATATTAATTATTACTACTTACGGCGTCAGATTTGGGATGTGTAGACTTCTCAGTTGGGTATGGTCAAAAGAATCCAAATTCGAAAGTGTGCTTTGAAGGCTTCCCAATGCCAAATACGTTGATTGAATCTCATCCTATAGAACAAACAGTAGTTATTACAGGAAAATCAATTCCTCATTCATTCATTATTATTATGCCCCATTTTAAATAAGTTATTATTATCCAATTACGTATGTAGTTAGTATTTTATCATCACTTACATGCAAACTACTAATCTGCTTATGACAAATAATGTCAATTTGCCTGGTTAACTCACGCTTTCGATTACTAATGAGTTGTTGGATAGATTGGACAGCTTGGTTTACTTCACCTTTGGCCTATTAGATAATCAATAACTATTATTAATTATGCTACTCACAATAAACTATATTGTACTTGCCAGCATATTTCCAATCAAATAAATACTTTTTTTGTCAGCAACATACCTTTGTCGAATTTTCTTCAACTAAAAGGACTGCACCTCGAAGGTCGCCTAGAACTTTTTGAGCATTCTGAATTTTCTTTCGAATATCAGCCTCAACATTATTCTTCAGGACTTGACGATTATCCACCATTGTGATCTGACAGAGTGTCCAATTGTCACTGAAAAAATATTTGGGCAGAAATATGTCACATCAAAAATGGCACAAATGACACTGAGGAAAAGGTGTATGTGGAACTATGTAATAAAGAAATTGGAAAGTTTATGGGACGTTTGCATTGTGTTGCTTTCAGGTATCTTGGCACACAACCTATTCTATCCGTAGTCCATAAATACCCAGACAGCGCTACATAATGAAGGGACGCCGTAACGGTCAATTGATAATACTTATACATAGATATGTACCTGCTTACATTTAGAAATAGCAGCATAAGAATGGTCAGCAATATACCTATTCATATATTTATATGTACAAATAATAACATGCACCTTATTTTGCCTGACAGACCTTTGTTTGAGCTAATGAGTTGTGTGTGTGAATATCTATTGGATACAAGTTCAGTGTAAAACTGAATATTTTAAATAATACAGAGTATGTATGTACATCCATTTCTTTTATTTGGTCATTTATCAAATAGGTATAAGGGAAAAATAAAACTTGTAGTCGTGTTTCTATTTTCGTCAACATTTTAGTGAACCTCAAATGAACTTTAACGAATACACATTAAATCTTAAGAAGGTAGACTATGTACATTGCACACACTGAATACCCAGTCCAGTCTTCTCATCTCACACCTTTCAAAGTAATTGTCAAGCAAAAGAACTTTTTGGTACCTTTTTCGATTTATTTATATCTCTGGTTAAGAGCTACTAATAATTCGAAGACTCCTTTCCTTGTTCCACCACCAAAGTGTATGACCTTTATTCGCTCTGGATGACACACTACTACTAAATACGAGATATGTCGACCATAAAGGTCTTTGGTCTTGTGTCCCCGTGTGACTCCCTCACAAACAACACGCCAGCACAGCAAATTATGTTATAACTGTATCAGATAAGGCCAGAATGTTTTGATAAGCATAACATTTAAAAAATACAATTGCTGTTGCTGTGGTCTTGAATGGGGTGAGGGCTGACTGGCTGCTTATATTGGGTTGGGCGAATGTATGTTAGTAAAAAGAATGGGATCATAATATGAGATGGGCACCCGTCGAGTATATATTGCAGAGAATCTCACCTCTCAAAGGCTGTACAAATTTACGTGATATGCATATGCACTTTTAAAAGCGTGACGCCTACTCGTGGTAAATGCTTATTCGAGGAAATGCCAAACAAAAGAGCTGTCTAACATGTTTTACCATTGGAAATTTTCACATAATACGCATTCTTCGAATTGGACGAACTTTCAATATATGGAAAGATATACATTTGTTGACACGAGGCTGGTGACGCAATGTTCGAATATCTCTTTGTTGTCGAAAGTGCAGCCGAGCACATGGATGGACGATTGAGATTTCTGTGTCTTTTAAAGTCCTAAAACCCTTCCGACCCATGCAGAATGTGTGTACGTGACTGAAAGAGTGACGCTTATGGCGATTTGTTTTCCTTTTTATTGCCAGCATGCATATACAATATACAAATCCATGTGTAATACCAATTACGAGTGGAAATTAGTGTGGTCGCTACGCTGAACTTAAACGCAATCCATGAATCCAGTAAAGTACAGATCGAGACGACCAGCACCATGGGGAGTTTATGTTCGAGATACGTGCATTTACTCGTCTCTGAGGATGAGTCGCCTCAGCACTTGACACTTGGTGGCATTATTAGCCCTTGTAATAAAGTGATGAGATAATATTATTTCTGCACAATGGTATGTGTTTGTGTAATATAGAATATGCATGCATTTGTATATATGTATGGGATGCATTTCCATGTAATGCTGTACATAGTTGAAAGTTTTTAAGCATTTTTAAGCATCCAAATTTCAATTTTTTTATAGATATTTGTGTGATTTTCTGGCCAGCCAAAGTTAATTTGTAAGTCGCATATTCACTTTTCATGATTTTAAACAGAGTGAAATTAACAGCACATAGTTTGAGACTGAAATAGATTAATTTGTAGATTAATTATTAATCGGGTTTCAAACACTTGCATTTTATGTACATGCTGCACATATACAGATAAGTAAGATATGTATCGATGGGCCAGGAAATGGTGTAAATGTAAATTGATAGTCAGTTGACTAGATGTAACCCCTGTACGCGTCGTTGCATCCTTGAGAGAAATGAGAAAGAAGTACATACATAGAGAGCCCATGGGAAATAGTGGGGATGGGGGCATCTTGGCCTACAATTGGTCAAAAATGGTTCTAGAAGTTTGAAGTTTTGGTGAAATATGCTAAATATATCTAACGTCGAACCCTGAAAATTTCATGGTTCTTCAACGGAAGATAAATTTCCTACGCAAATTCAAAGAGGGGAAAGCGGGAAATGAGTTTTTCGGAAGTACCAAAATTTGTTCGACAAAGACTCGAAGAAGGTTTAACTAAATTACAACGGAGAAGTGTCTGGCAGCGCAAAAATTAAGACTTACATAAAAAAGTGTGGAGAATCAGAAAATGTTAACCTTAAATGCGCACTACAAGAAAAAACCATCATACTGACCCCTCGAAAATAAAAAACGATTAAATTTATTTTTGTAAAGTAGCGCGCCACGTTCGTGCTTCATGCGGCCATGAAGTCGAAGATTAATCCTAACTATGCGCATCATTTTAAAGCCCGTAAGTTGTGGATCAAAGTGTATTCAAAGAAATCTGCAGCAACACATACGAAAGGTCAAGAAAAAATGATGAACGCAAGCCCTCCCAAGCTTCGCAACAAAATTACACCAAAACAGTTGGTTAGTGGCGATGAACCTTACGCCGTTCAAAACGTGCCAGAAACTCTGGGAAAGAAATTTTTTCATGGGAAATATATCTCTCAACTGAAACTCGAATAGAAACTAAAATGTTGTTAAAAATTTCTGACAAAAGTCCTGTTTTGGCCGGCGCTGGGTCAATTTGGGCATGTTTCGGACCCTTAAGTTCTAGAAGGCTGCATGGGCAAACAAGTTTATTTTCGGAAATGTGTGATAGACCGTCGGATTCAGTTCATCAAGAAGTATCAAAAAATATAGACTGTATTTTTTTGGCCCGACCTTGCGACCATCCACCATGCAATAACGGTCAATGAAAAAATTGACAAAAATGACAGTTTGGAGGTGAAAGATGAAAGTCACCCAAACATACCTCATCTTCACCCATAAAAATGATTTTGGGCTTTGTGTAAGAAGTAATACTCGTAGCTTTCTTAAACAGTCGATACTTTAAGAAAATTTCTGTTCCGGGCGGAAAAAATTATCAATGAAGTTGCAAAGTCTTCCGAAAAAGCATTAACGGCGGACGCGAAGAAAAAGGTTAAATACGGGATGGACAATGGATTTGAGTCTCTTTTGTTTGTGGATATCTGTGGTCAGATATATTTAGCATATTTGACGAAAATTTGAGGTTTCTAGAACCATATTTTGACCATAAGTAGGCCAAAATGTCCCATCCCCACTATTTCCCATGGGCTCTCTACTATGTGAAGATATATCTTCATGAGTGAAAACATGACCGTTTTTAACAAGGCCACATAGTGGTACACAACAAGTTCAGTTATGTTGTTCAGCCGTTCAGGCAATATTTGTGCCGGAGTATGTAAATCATGTCAAATCAAAAGTGCTTAAACTCCTTATCCCTTGTGACGTATGTAGATGGCTGTGAAATATGTCATGTTCAAATCTCAATTCATTTAATTAAGATCCCAAAAGTTTGGAGCGACGGAATATCCTTCACCCGATAAATGGGTCCGCTAAATTAATTGAGATTAAAAATTCTGCTGCTCTCTTCACTGCTTTCAAAGAATAGAATTTTTTCAAAATTATATGAACTGAATATTGGTCGCTGATTTGTCAAGTCTCGCTCATCCTTGTGGTTAAGGCAAAATTTTCTGTGTGGGACGACGAATTGAAAAGTGAAATAATTGATATGTTCCAACATAGGACAGTCTGATTGAAGTTTGCATCAGTGCAATTTAGAACTCTGAAAGTCTGTCACCACTTATGCGGTTTAATAATGGAATTCATGGAATGTAATCCAACAGAAGTGAAACAAATCATGATTAGTTTTTCTGTAGCAATGCACATTTGAAGTTTTAATGTATATTTAGCAAAGAAAATCAGCCATGTCAGATTTCTAATTAGTACTTGTTCCAAACCTGTGAATCTACAATTTCAGACCTAAATTTAGAAAACTTTTCTAAATGTGCTGCTTCTGATAAGACTGAAAATGGGATATATGTAATCAAGATTATTCAACAATTTTTTAAATAGACTAACAGCTTTATTTCTCATGGATATAATTTACAATTCACAATAATATCTTTTGACATTTAACACGACTTAATTAAAAATACTTGAGAATTTAGGATAAATAATACACGAGATACACCATTAGGTGAAAAAGTGGTGTTGCGGCTATTTACTTGTGTATGCAATTTATGCCCAGTAGAAGACAAATCTTTGATTTTTTTTCATTTAAAACCTGATCTTGCCACGGACACAGCACGTATATAAATTAGGGAAATTTTTAAATATCATGGTTTATATTTAACAACGTAAGACCAGTTCAGCAGGTGATACTACATAATATATAATCTTTTGAGATTTAAAGGTTTTGCATTTTAAGGAACAGCTACATATACATATTGTATGTTAGATAATTCACTAGTTTGTATAATAATTTATCCTAACACATTATAAAACGTACATTAAGACGTGGCGTATACAGTGTCAGTATACTCACGATGTTGCTCAGACGTTAACTAATAATTAAGAAATCCATGTTGCAGTTAGGTACATTTATCAGGTCGTTCATATAATTTCGTAGCCTCAATCGTAGTCTCAACGCGTACAATCTCCAGCACTATGGGCCAAAGTTAGTCTTTCAAACAGGTACATACATGCTTCAATTATCTGAGTTACAACCACATTCCTCTAACAAACCGCATACAATTTTTTAAATTACAAAGCTGTCCGCACAAAAACTAATAATATGTGTGCAAATTACCTTTAGACAATATTCAAATAGAATATATAACATTGTAAATAAACTATAACTGACTACTGGAGGAGCTAATAATCTCATTTATTTTAGCTACAATCTTTAATAAATCAATGACGAGTAGAGATATTTTATATATTTTATGCGACACTTTTAGTAACATTTGTTTTCTTTAAGCATATGCACATATGCATATATTCGTAAGTACATAACCACAATATTGTACATCAATAGCGGTCTAATCCATATTTATGTATATTTCGGGCTGTTTTGAATGACTAGATATTTTTGGTCTGGACATGACAAGTTACATGCATAGTTATATTTAGACTGAAAACTCGAATATATAAGATATTTCGAACCACATCCATCAATTAACTAACTAATTAGGATCTCACGTTATGCAAAACATGCGATTTACACAAAATTTTTCTGCTCTTGATTATGATCCTTCCGCCCACTCTGCTTAAATCTAATTAATGAGGTTCTCCAAAAATCAAATGAACGTGAAACTAACTTCATCACTGATGTAGTGCACATGTAAGCATTCTATAAATAAGACGTTCAAACTAAGTACGTTTTCCAAATGCACCCACGGAATTCTGGAAAAGTTCATATTTGCACAGTACATCTAGCACTAAGATTTGGCAAAATTAATATCCTTTAAACTTCGCTTGACGTCAACAAACCACTGAATCCAAGAAAGGGTTTGTTCTTCAAGTGAATATTAATAGCAACATATTTTATCTTAAATACATTCCATACACACATTCATATCTAAATATACACAATAAAGTGATATCAAATAAGATTCCTAAATTTCTTCGTAAGTGAGATTCAATAATTCTGTTTACTAATTGTATATGTTAGGTATTCTTAGTCATATAGTGCCATTAACCTATAATTATCATACAGGTGCATGCATAAATATCTCAACACACGTTCGAGCTAGTTTTTTTAGTTGCGCAGAAGTATGTAATCAACGAAAAAAACTGACAACAAATTGTTGTGGTTTTGGCAAAATAATAGTGAACTTCCAACAATGCAGGGGCATTGTCATTGTGCAATAACTTTGGCATTTAATGTCGGTCCATAATATAATTTCAGCGATATGGATTAACTATTCATTGATGGGATGCCAATACTGGATTTGTTCTTTCTGCTTGGACAAAACTTCGGTCCAATGATCCAAACCTCGCCCTCTTGCAAACATGAATGATCCAAGGACAATGCGCCCAGCGGATTGATCTGAAAATTAAATTGATTTTTTCCTCAATCCAATGTTTCGTAATTTAGAAATGAGAATAAGAAAGGAGTTTTGTTTGTTTAACCACTTCAACCCTAGGAGACGAGTTTTTTCATACCTTTCACCCCTAGTAACCGCGAATTTTTACCTCCCTTGAGCCCGAAATTTTTATCTACTGCATGACGTTAATTCCTGGGCCATGAATTAAAAAATGGTGTTCCCACCGGAATTATTCTGGACACTTTTTTATGAAAATTGATGTGAATAACCTTTCAAGAAGGGATTTTGAGTTATAATTTGCATTTTTGAGTTGTGGCGAACCACCAATGTTTATAGCCGAAAATAGCCGAATTTTAAAAATGATTGTAATTGCATGAAAAGTTAGACAAGCATGGAGTAATACTTGCATAATAGTACGTAAACTCGCAAATATTGATTATAGCGCCTAAAGCGCCTTAGGAGCCGATTTTGGGCGGGAAAACCAAAATCCTTACAATGACTTTAAATAGACAGCAATGGCAATGAATAATTATCCCGTGAGAGGAAATTGCTCGAAAATAGACTATGGCGCATCTGGTGAATAGAAATCAATTTAAAGCGGGAAAATTAAATTCTACTAATTCCTGCAATCTCTTAATTTTTAATTTTCCCGCCCAAAAGATATTTCAGCGGCACCCGATACGTAATCATTAATTTTGACGTAGTTTACCCTACTGGCAAGATTATTTGTGGCCTATAATTAAATCCATGCAATGATGGAATTCAACCAACTTTTAGTTTTCTCGCCCAAAACGCCCGTTTGTGCTACATGCGAGCAAAACAATTTCTCTAATCTTATCGTAAAGCGTTGTTGAAATAAATCGGTGTCGAAATTTCCGTGCAAAAAACAGTTTTCAACTCGGCGTGTTGGCTAGATATAGCCACTTGGCTATTAATTTATTTTGCATCCCTTTCTAATGTTATTTCCTAACAGAAAATTTATCTTCCCGCCTAAAGGGCGGGTTGTTGACTCATAACTCTTGCTTTGCTTTGCTTGGAGAGGCAATGACCTAATTTTTTCCGGATACGACACATAGTCGTAGACCGGTGTGAACGGAAAATACGCCACATAGTCGTATCCGTTGTCAAGGGTCAATACGACACATCGTCGTATTCCGGTGCCAAGGGAACTTACGCCACATGGTCGTACTCGGCGTAAAGGTTAAATACGCCACATAGTCGTTATAGGGGCGAAGTGGTTAAAGATCTAAGGGCAAAGCAAATAAATGAAAGTAAATATGTGCACATACTCCTGCTCTCCCCAAAACGACAAATAATCTGGGCTGAAATTGCATTTTGACATACATAAAATATAAATACAACAAGGTTTCTTTGAAACTGGTAAATTGCTGCATCAATCGTACATAGTACTTAATATCTTTACAAGTATTTAGATGGGGTTAAGACAGATTTTAATATGTGTGCGTCATAGCTGTGTATCTACTTTTCGATGTTATTCGACTAGCTGAAATGTACATATGAGAAGAGGGGAAGGAATCACATTTTTGCGAGAAGCACTCACTTGCTATTATTGGAAAGTTGTGTCTATTGTTATCGAAAAGGACAACAACGAAAAGATTTATTGTTACAAAAAAAAGAAAGGGGAAAAATTAGGAGAAAACTCGGGAAAAATTATGTTTTGATGCTAGATTTATTATTGTTAAAAGTTGTGGTTGAATTAGCTTTATTTGAAGAATAAAAGAGGGGAAAAGCATTGTGTCGTGTAGGACAGAGATTAGAGTAACGATGTAAAAAACAGAAAAGTGAGCATACCCTGACCAATTATACCTTTGTTATAACCGGGTTGAGAGTACATGAACTGTATCGTGACACTCGTCGTGTCTAGCATTTCTGGTCCCAATTTGAAATTGAAGCTCTCGTTAAAACTTGCACGACATCCCAACAACTGAAATTAATAAGATATCTCACATGTTGAACAACATGAAACAACAGGGAAAGCTCGTCCCAAGGTCGCAGATTTGGTTGAAGACACGTGGAGAAAGCACGAGACCAATTTTTTTGTTTCACTAACGACCCAACCAACTAGCCGAATATCATTATCTTCGCTACACTACATAGGCTTGGGCCATTCGTTATTTGTATAGCAATATTTCTTACACACCATCACAGTATCCGTCTTCTTGGTTTTCAGGACCTTTGTATTCTGGGATAGGCTAATCTTTGCGTACAACCCGGATGCAGATTCCTTCGACTGGAATGGAAAAGGAAACATTCACTTTATTTAATGTACATACATCCATCTACAAAACAACGAAAATGATTGAAACGAGTAAAACATTTTGATTTTGCCTTAGGGATAATGTGAAGTAGAGCATACATGTGTGCATACATATAGGTACATACACACTCGAGTTTTGAATCATCTGTGTTCCAAAATATTTTTATTCTCTATTACATGGAAACCTATCATTTTTGCTTTTAGAGATGTATGTTGTATTACCAAAGTTGAATACACCCTGAATATGTTAACTGTTCGTTAAGGCCATCAGAAGAAGCTGCCAACAACGTCTCATCCAAACAACACGGGTCAAACTTCATCTCGAAAGTTGTAATGTAATAAATGTTAATATCCCACAAAATTTCTGGTATTTCATCAAGGGTTTCCAGTATACTTGTGCAATGTTACGTTTAGTGTGTTCACCCGGAGTATATGACAACTCTAAATAGGCACATGAACTAATTTGATTAAAACTAACTAAACTTACTTTGATCCCTTTGGCTTCGAATACAATGACTGTAAGCCTGGATATGTTCCCGTTGTAGCAGAGAGACACCGAAACTTCACTGCTCGGTGAAAGTTCTCCAATCTCTCGCACCAGATCTTCTTTGAATACCTGTGAAACGGTGCAGAAATGAAATAAACCACAACATTTACAAGAACGCATATGTACAAGGCTCAATTTTCCAGCACAATTTTGTGAACTTCCTTCCAGGTAGTTTATTCTACGGGATTTGGCTGACGGATAGGAAATCATTTCACAACACACAGCAAAACTGACAAGGAAATTTCTTGCGTGAGCAACCATGCAAATCTGCAAACTGAATTCTGTCCTTCATTATTAATTATTTAGTAAGCCAAGCTCAACTCGTGCCATTGGTCCAAAAATAATGATGAACCTGAATGGATACGATACAAATGGTGCATGGCTGCGTAACGTCTCGATTTCAGGTTTACTCGGAAATATCTATTTTACTTTGAGAATGAGGGAAATGATTAAATGAGAGAAAGTTGCGACATGTCGAAGGTAGCAATAAATAATACTTCCAAAAGAAATCGTGTAATAGCTCATCTCTCAAATTATGAGATTATGAGAGCTTTTCTACTATTGCGTTCTATATTTTTGAAAAATTGTTTTGCACAGTGATTGGAAATCCCAGCTGGAATTAAATTACATCAGGTACCTGCTTGCCAAATGACCAATCTATATCCTTCAAAGGTTGAGTTATATATCCAATCATGGGATGCCGTTTGCTCCCATCGTCCGAGTCGTAGAAACATAGCTTGAGAGATCGTTCCTTCAGCGATGACAGGGATACCTGCAAAAAAGTGCGAAGAGAAATTTGAGATACATATAGGTCATTCTTTTTTAGTAAAATTTTATTATCGTTTTGTGATAATAAGAGTGATGTCCTTCGTTCAGTTTCTTTAGTTTTAGCCTATACGAAGTAAATTGAATTTCTCCTATTGGGCTATATTGAGCTTATTAAACATAAATGTTAAACACGTACGTATGTACAAGTATAAATGTCCGTATTATAATTTATAATTAATTAATGACATTCAAACGAGAAGACTCATCTAAAACTTGTGATGGCTTACACTTCCGGAAGATGACAAGTTTGATAACCTTTCACTGCTCCACGAGGAGTCATATCGATCTTTGAAACGCTATCACCACCCAAAACACAAGCAATTGAGATTCCGAAATTGTTTTGTTCGTCAGCACAATATTGTAATGTGACAGGTTTATGATGTTCAGAAAGCTCTCCCCTATCTCCAAACTTTCATCAACTTCCTGAACCGAAAACAGTGGCATGGCCATTCAGTTTCAAAGGGACTTCATCCTACGCAGTTGAAGAAACACATTCATAACGATTTCAAATCTCAATGTAGATCAATTTTCATTGTAGACATTCCTCCTCATTCACATTCTCCCTTTGACAGCCTCGTGGTGTTGTTGAACGAACTGGACTCGTGCAAAGTCCAGGCAAAGAATAAGACCTGCATATCTGCCAAGGTCTGCACAACGAATGAGAAAAACAAGGCGAAACTACCTGCTGACTTTCACTTCTATGTTTGCAAGTGAAAACAAAGACTCGACGTACCCCGTAAACCTGATCCTTTGAGGTCTTTGATATATTTGTTGGGAAAGGAAATGGGAAATTTACTTTGAGATTAGCTCTTAACTTCATCAGAGGAACGAATGCACACAAATTGTGTGAAACAACAAAAGCACAATATCTGATGTCATGTCACCAACAAGGTGACACGTGCTACGTTGAGACTTTTTTTTACCACGTTTCACGTGCCTGAATTCTTTCCTATAAAATCCTGTCAGGAGATTTGAGGTACAGTATCATTTGTATTTTTTGGCAATTTAATGAAGCAACGATTCCTGGCCTCCAAATTATTTGTAATGCTTTCACCTCATTAGATTGAATTCATTTTTTTTGCAATTCGGAGCTCTTTCAATCAATATAATCGAGTAAAACTTTAACCTTTCATCTTAAACGAGTTAAAATGCATTCATATTTAGTACCTCATTACAAAAGTATTACAATTTATCGGGGAAAATGAACCGATATTTACAAGTTCAGAAACTAGATTTGCATAATATATGTGCATAGACCTACATGTACATGTTCAACTATGTACATACGAATATCTTCCGCCTGCAAGTCAGGAGGGAAACAAACATTGCTATGCAAGTAACAGGCGAGACAGCGAGGAATAAATTGGCCTTACCTGGAAACCAAACGTTTCATTGAACTGGGGATTTCTTGTCGCCTTTTTCGGTTTCGTCTGCAGCGTTCGTCGTTCGTCTGGGAAGAGGGTGATGCGCACGAAGGGGCTGAGGGACGAGGAAGCAGCGCTGCTCCCCCCGTGACTCCGAGCCTCCGACAAATTTCTCGCCTTGATCAGCGTGACCAGCAACCTCTCGGACATCATCTCGTACTCCAGAGCATACCACACACGCCCAAAATGGTTCGCTGGGTAGTCAACCTCATCGTCCTCCGTCTCGGGCGTCGACTTGTACAGCTCTGGGTTGAGTCCGCCCAAACAACCCGCTCCTGAAATGCATCCAGATACATGGATAATTAGTTCATTTCTAAAACAGTCGACCATGTGAAGGACGAGGTCATATATCGTGCTTATGTTGCGCATGTTAATAGGGAGAGGTCTGAATGTCACTACTTTTCATTACATATTTTACGGATGTTCCATTATAAAAATTCCATGGCCATGGTTAATATGAAAAGACACGTGAAGCATCAACTGTCAGATTACGTTCATAATGGATATTAAAAGTGGATGAATAATTTTTAGTCATTTCTGAGCATATCTATGCATATTCTCATTTTCCTTTTGTATGAGGCACGTAAAATAGTAAAATCGAGAGTGGCAAACTATTTAATTAACTTTCCAATAGTACAGCATCTCATGTCATTCATATTCTCATTTTTTAAGCATATTTACTCATTCAGCTATGTATTCACAACATAGTATACATAGGCAATGACGAGGCTAAAGTCAAAAGGGAGCAGTCGTAATGAAAAATGGCATAAAGCAAAAAGGCTTCAAACACTTTCCAGCAAAGTGTTTTTTTACAACTGATGGTCAAGTCAAAAGATCACTTAATTGGAAGTTGATCTTGATCAGGCCAATATTTTGTTTATCTGAGGCAAACACGTGCCGATTGTAGTTAGTTTCAAGATTTTGTTTGATGTAGTAAATAATTAGCCTTGACCGTGACTGCTACAATCACGTAAGTTCTGAGTGATCAATATTTCATCTGCACTATGTGTGTGCTCGTAAGTGCTCACAGACAATGGCTAGATAACTGGAATAAGCTAAGCTCCGTATTTTTAACATTGGGGAATCACAACAATAAAATGCCCAGCCATGTCGAACGGTAAGTGAAGCATCAAGGTTTTATATCATTTGGCATTTTATATTAACTTCCTGGATGTGTATCTACTATACTCAATCGTTGTGTGTTCTGTAAAGGTATTGTGTCGAGGTTGTTATAACCATGTGCAAAAGTAAAGGAGGTAATATGCCAGTTATTCGCAAACTGGGCTGATTCACATTTCCGCAGTAGATTTGCTGAAACGTCCATCTGTGTCAAAGGCAATGTAACTCAATTTCTCAAAATGTTATTAAAAGTTGTTGAAGGGTGAAAAAATTACAGGAGTGGCAGCATTCAGTTATTTTTTTCCCAAACTGTCATAACCCCATTTTACGTCTTTCAAGACATAAGGGAATTCAATCAGTGAAAGTAGGAGTGAAAGTATGAGCAAATTCCATTAATACCGAGTCTAAATGCGCCTGGCTCAATTGGAACACGTGTCAAGGTTAAAAATTAATTTCAAGATTAGTTCAGTTTCTTAGGTTTGACTCTAATGATTTTTAGACTAATGAAATCCTGCATAAGAAGAAGAACTACATATGCAGTGAGTTAAAGATAATTTCAACTATGTATTTAGTTTGGTCGTACTTTGCCTCACCCAAACTTGAAGGTGAGACAACATACAGGTTTATATGCATATGCTTGTGTACTTGTTGTAAATATATGTGGATGTAATTCACAGAATTTATAAACATTCAGCCATCTGCAGCTAGATATGTATGTCAACACTTCAACATCACAATTTCCTTCGTTACTTTCAATCAACAAAATGGAACTTTCACCAAAGCGTCATTTTAAATTACACCGATTTGCACTATGCTGACGAAGGTGCTTTCCTGCTGTAAAAGTGGATGTGAGTTCTTTCAATTACTTGACACACACATACATCCATTAACGGCTTTTCCGCATCTGTCCATAATTAAATTACGGGTGAGGGAAATATAACCAAAAATTTGCATTAAAATGCCTTGCTGTGACAGATGACAAGTGCATGCGGAGTGGTTGGATTACGACGAATGTTGGCGGATGAACAAAGGACATCCTTCTCCCTTTTGTATGCAGTGTCATGTACGTAAAACCTTTCCTCGAGTTCTGCCCACATATTTCTGTCTAAATTAGGATTCATTTCTTCAAAATTCTCGCCCACGGTATTGGTCAACGATATTAGAGTTACCTATTTTTCCGCATAGAACTTCCAGAAATAGAACTTCCAGCTAGCAACAGTTCAATCCCAATGTGTGGGTGGAATATACATGTTTACAAATATATCACATAAATATCGACTAGGTGCTTATTGATGGCATTGATCAACTGCCAGACTCATCTTTATTCATAGGTGATCATCACTAACAAACAACCTCCCACGATAAATGTGAAAGCGCAATATATTTCAAACTAGCAACATTAATGTGCACACCTCATAATAAATGATGCGACTAATAAAAAAAGGAAAAGTTGCAGTAATTATGCGCATATGACGAGTTGGACATAACTCCGTTAAACCAACCTATTTAATTGTGGCATGAATAGTGTGCGAATGTTGAATCTAATAATTCTAAGTGAGCGAACTCACTACATTTGCCATACGTAAACTGTCGTTCTGGTTGAGAGAGTTTGAAAGAGGTTGGTGTAAGCTCGAGAATAATGGGCCACGTATATTTTCAAAGGGTTGCATGGCCAAGTTTGCGACGAGATTCTTTTGTGTCACTTTTGGAAGAGATCCACGCCTTGCTTACACAACCCAAAAGAACCAGCACCAGAGAGTCGCAGTCTCTGGACACACAAAACTGACACACTTATTCTTCATCCTCGTGCATTTTGCTCGCTTTCACTCTGCCATTCCAGGCAGGCAAGTCGGGAGATGAACGATTTTCTCGCCGTCATCATCCCTCTCTCTCATTCGGCCCATGCAGCAGTTTACCTTTGATTTGGTTGGGCGACCGTGGGTGCACTAACCGTGAAAACCGTGAAAAGTATGAGCACGGTGGATGTAGCAGTTCAATTCAGGCCTTGAATAAAAAACGAGTAATGGCTATAACACGTTGTGAAACGTAATGTCGATTATGATTGAACAGCAATTTGCACTCTTTGAGTTAGTGCTGATCATAAATAAAAGATATAAAAGTCTCCTGCCTGACACTTTGGGGGGCATGATTGAAAAAAGCACAAGTCTACATTTATTGACAGGAACATGAATGATGCATTATAGTGAAAATCAAATTTATCACTGTAATATATTTGCGATCAACTTTACGAGTTGAACCTTTAAAGTATTGCACAATTTTTTTAACAAAAAAGTTGCAGGAATATGAATTCATTTTAGTGCGCACGTGAAAAGCCTCATCTCATGATATCCTAGGTGCATGTGTGCGTAAGTGTATTCATTAAAATGCAAATTGATCTTGACTCAATTCATAAAGTAAAAGTATACTATTTATCCATATGTATAGGCAATGTGCTCGCTAATGATGCAAGGAGGACCCAAGAATTATAAGTTTGGTTACATAACGACATAAAAGGGCATTAATTTGTTTTACTCGCAAAGGAAGCATACACTTTGAAAGCATGCTCTTTGGTAACATAATATTAGGATATTTCTTGAATGTTAACGAGCACCTGTATTATTGACAACTTGCATGGATTATGCACCACCAATCAATACATACTTCGTTCCTTTCACAAACCATAAGAATTTTCATGCTCCTATACAGGTGGCTAAAATCATGTATGTCACATGATGTACTGAAAGCGTAATGAAATCAAAATTATCAAGGAGAAAGTAATATTTCTTACGCAGCAAAATTCACTTCAAATGAATCAGCATAAATGTGAGATTAACAGTAATAATTTGAACAATGGCTGAAATTTGCAATGACATCCTGCGTGGTTTAGTGTCAAGTTAATTAAGGCGTGGAGTTCATAGAGATGAAAGGAACATCAATTAATCACGAGGCGTTGTTCTCCATTCTTGTTCACTATGTGAAACACTAATGCCTGGCTTTGCTCAATTTTCCCGATGGCAAACGTACAACGTGTACGTAATACAGATAATGCATCGTAGTTTTTTTTTGCATCAGGAGCGAGTTCACCAACCTAACCGCATACTGATTGAAACTGTAATTTTCTTCAGGTGAAAGCGAGCTGGCTCTTGGAATGGGAATTTGGAAGAGTATTTACTTAATGATCATTCCTTATGCTCCACTTTTACTCTTTTTAAAGAGGTTTTATTTTACATGTTCGACATTTGCATTATACCGTATTCCTAATTATATGGAGGTATATATGCATATATTTATATATGTAAGTTGAGAAATTAGTGCTTGAGAGTAGGAGAATTATATGCCCTCTCTGGTTTTGCGTAACTCCAAGTAATTCAATAGAATTGTTGCGAAAATACACATCTTGTATATTCAATTTCTTCATCCTTCTTCTTCAGTTTTGTGTGTAAAAATATGTAGGCATGAGTCATTAGTGAAATAAAAATAAGCTACCAAGATATCTAAGTAAACTAACGATAAGTAATGATGACGAACAAGAAATGAATAAATAAATGAATATATTGTACGTTTAAGGAAACTAGAATCCAATTGGGTGAGCTATTACGCATTAGTATTTATCTGGATTACTGTAGGAATTGGCGTAAAATTTTTGAGGAAGTAGAAATTTGGAGGTTGAAAGCTCTAGACGGACGGAAGGTCGTTTGTGGGGGATATTAGTGAAAAAGTTGACTGTTACCCGAGCTGTCGGCGGCGGAGCTCCTGCTGAAGAAAATGGGGGATGGCGTGTTTGTTCTGGAGTTTGATGGTTCCGTCTCGGACCTTGAGCCGGAGAGGCTCCCAGGACTGGATTCTCCCGAGTTAATCCCCTTTCTGCCAAACGTTGGTGTGAGAGGGCTTAACGTTTGAGGCACATGGAACTCTATCTCCTTCGTTCTGTTCAAACAAACCAAGAGCACTTTAAATCATCTCCATCTTCAAGTACACCTCATCACAATTATCTTTGCTTCTATATGTACTTAGCAATTTGATGGCAGAGTTTACAGCACGTGACGAACTGGTAAAACTCAAAACTCGTTCATATGCATCTTTTATCTGCTATTTATAGTTCTTTCATTATCATTTTATTAGCGTAGGCCGTATTTTTTTATGGTGAAAGTCATGTTATTCTTGGTTATTTACCAACCGCACAGGCTTCAGCTAATGTATTATGATACAAAATATTTAATGACTGCATGCATATGTATTCGTGCTTGTGGTGGGTGAAGATACGAAACAAAGTAAGTCTGTTGATAAAGTTAGACTGCTAGGTAACGTTGCCGTCAGTCATATGCCATTAATTCTTGAGAGGTGTGTGCTTAGTAGAGATAAGCCCACCACTCATCGTCATTACATGATCCCGTTATTTCTAACGACCAAATATCAAATATTATTTGACTTTAGTGCCGTTCTTCTTATGGGAATAAGAAACTTGCAATTCGGAGAAGTTAATACATGGTTTTGCAATCCATTTATAATTAACTTTCTCCCAGAGACGTCATATTTTTGCTTTCAGATTGCAATTTCAATGCACTAAGACTTAATTATTTTTGAGGTTTTAGTATAATCCTTTGCATGAGATTGATTACAGTCTTGAGGTTGGCGAGTCAGCTCAGGTATCAGTCGCAATGAGCAACGCTTCTTTTACGAGCTGAGATAAAAATCGATAAAACCTGGGGAGATTGCAAAATATCAAAGCATCCACGTGGAGTAAAAACTGTTTGAATTTAATGTTTCGATTCGTATTATGTTCATAGATTCATCTTCTTGCTGTCAGCGGCAATTTGGCTGAACACTCAGCCACTTTGGCCACTTTTTTGTATATTTATAATGTACTTCAAGGGTAGCTATAGGGCTCAACAAGCACTTGTTTCAACTCTTTATCAACGTCCTCGTACCCCATTCAAAATCCTCTCAAATTGTCCGTCTTTTCAATATCTACGTACGTATGTAAGTACTTTCTGGATGCTCGGAAAAAGCTCGCATTATGTTTGCAGAGATTACGTATACAAACTTACCTTTGATCATGGTTTACATTCATGGGGCAAAAATCACGATTCTTTTGTTGATTTAAGCTACAGCCAATATCAATAGCCGTTTTTCTATGAAGTTTATATACAGGTTGAGATTCATCGTCGCTTTCTACTTAACAGTATAGTACGGATGAATAATATTATTTTATAGGATTGGAATCGACAAATTTGATACGATACATGTGTACACAACGTTTCGCCTTGAACTAAGAAATCGCAATTCAAGGTCTGCATTTGGAGAGTAGTAATAATGTAAAGAAATCATTTAGTATTTTCCATAGATGGGACTTATTAGTACCGATCCTCATTAGTTCTTCTTAACAAAGTGGCTGAATTCATAGAATTTCTTATGAACTCAAATGATTTCAGTCAAATAACGTCATCATCAGCAAAAACTTATTTGCTCAGAATAAAAGGCCCTTGCAACTGAAAATTGAAAGTCTGAACTTTGAAATTGTACGGGCATGGGGTTAAAATACATATGTACGTACATAAGTATGAATACATGTGTAATTAGTGTAATCCTGTTTGTAAACTCTACTAGAACAACAACTTTGAGTCTTGTTTGACTCATGTGTACACGTGCAGATTGATTCTGATTTGGATAGGAATTATTATGTTTATGTAAACTTTGCAATTATGGCCAACGGGAATTGAATCCACTTTATTCGCAATCCTTTATGCACTACGTACGCACAAGTCCAACTCATTCGCTAAAAGTTTAAAGTTTGCTTAATTCTACTTCATAATATCAATTTAGTAAAAAAACAATTCCGTCATGGAGGGAGTTACAGTCGCTTGTGGTGAGTATTCACTCTGGACTTTCACTCACAATATTATCTCATGATTTTTGTGGAAATTGAATAGAGAGGAGTGGATGTTACAGCGCTTGAGAATCAATATATGACTCCCTTCCCAGAAAAAAAATGAAGACGACATACAGAGGAAGTCTGTATGGATCAAAATCTCGTATGCGGAAAACAAGAAGATTGTTTTCTACATCATTTCCTACTTTTCATTTTCACATTGGAAAAATAAAGTAAATTGACCGTGACAATAACAGGTCTCAAATAAGGCCGTTCACTCGCCTTGTTTACGTTACTTACTTATGTATGACTTGTGTGGGTCCTCTGTGACGGCAACATGGAGATTGTACATGCTTCGTTACGGTGGGAGAGCATACATTAGTTCGTGTGTCAGGCTACTTAAGTAAGTGGCACTATAACGAGAGAACCAATGGGGGACTAACCTTGGTGAAAGCAGAGACGACAACAAGGACTCCCGAAGACGGTTCTGAGAGCTTTGTCGTTTTAACATAAACGAGTCGTGACTATTTGAGTGGAAGGATGATGAGACAAATTTCCTATCCCGAGGACTGTTTTCTTGGCTGCTACTGCTCTGCGAAATGGAGGTGGACGAAGCTGAAGCCGTTTCTTCAATGCTGATACTTTGACTTCCATAAAGCGTGATTTTTCGCAAGTCCAAGGGTCGGAAATTGCTTTGAAATTTTCGAACAAAGTTTGGTGTTGTTGGTAAAGAGGACGGCGCATTGTTGGTGGGAGGGACAGATGTCTGTCGAACAGCTCCTGAGTGATGATTGTTTTCATACATCATCATCATGAGTAGTATGTCGTAGATAGTTCCTTTTAAAAAATTTGTCAGAGTGGATAGTGGAGTTGCTCTTCTGAATATTAAAGGAATCCAATAAATAGGAATCCAATAAATTGCACTTTCGCTAACTTAATTGTTTTTTGTTGCAAGTAGTCTGGTGGTCGGAGTTTTATGTATGGATGAGTCGTTTACAACCTAGCATTGGATCTATATTGATCGATAAATTGTGCTATCTCGATAAATCATGTAAATGTTCTAGTGCTCGTTTATAGATATATATAGCTAATTAGTTGAAGGTCCAATTATACGCAAACGGAAGTTGTTCCTGAGTTCAATGGGTTTGTCGATTCGTCACGTTCCAAGTTGTCGGTCCAATTTCAAGCCACTCAATCTTCAAACGCCAACTTGGATTGATTCGTAATGCACTGACATGGGTAATTGGTTGACGGCATGGATGAACGTATATGTATGTGCGAAGCAGCGTGTTTATCGTACACATGTATGTACGAGTTGAGATACACGCCGAACTGGAAGAAATTTCAAGTCTTTGAGAAATGGATCAGGTAACACGATAAGGTAAAAGATTGCGTCTCTCAGTCAGAGGTGATGGTGATTGGCTTCATGTCTAGTTCAGCTTTCATAACAAGCTGTTGCTCCCACCATAAAGTTTGCTTAGTTGGTGACGTTGTTGGATATTGGGTGTCCTCGGCGACGACACACACAATGTTATCCTGACCATAAACCTTCGCTTAACCCAACCCGACGTGGCGAGACTTTCTCTCCTGATCCTTGTGATTTACGATTGACCAAGGAGGTCAGCTATGTACATTCCTTGGATTAATTAAGCCACGAATCCCTTAGTTATCAAAGTTGGTTTGACCCTCGCTGAATCCAAGTCTCAAGGTGGTGCAATCAATGCTATATGTACGTGGATAATATAGTTATATAATATGTTTCCTATTCCCCGACAAGTTTCTTGAAGCTGCCAAGAACAGTTTAAGGAGACGGTTGTCTTGATTTAATCCACACATATTTCTCCAACCAAGCACAAAAACCCTCAAAATTAAATTTGAACGTATTCAGAAATGCGATAGAGAGAGAGAGAGAGCACGTCACTTTTTATGAAGAAGTTCGTTGGTCTACCTCAAAGGAACCACAGACTGATAGTTGATCGGAGGTTGGTGGCAGACAGCATTGAGATCAGAGTGGTAGAAAGGCTTCGAGTAAAATGCGAATGTGGAGAAAGTTTGGATTGCAGGTGGATTATATACTCCTCGATTGCCCAGGACGAGAGTCGCACGGGGCAACTCGAGCCCTCGCAACTTTCTCCACTTACAACTTTCTCAACATTCTACGGATTGCTCACACACTTACGCCGCCGTCGTTTCGTACACAAGTTGAATAATTTTGCGAGCATAAACTATGTATATGCACGTCTTTGTCGGTTAACATGCAGCCTTCTTATCCAACCTCATGTTATACAAACTCTCAATAAATCTACAAAATTTGCTATATTCTTGTGGAAGATTCGAAATGCACACACGTGTGATAGTGATGGATGAGTTTCAGGTACTCAAAACTAATAAAAAGTTCAAAGACTTGTAGCAAATCCTTACAATGGAATATCAAACGAAAGAAGGCTGAGGAAAATAGTCATGCACAAGTTATGTGTACAAACGAGGTTGTAATTTTTGCTCCAGTGCGCACAGGAAAATCCACAACACAAATTCTGGTCTCAAAGAGGCTCTTGATTTTATTTGTTGAAAAAAATGAACTTCATAGTCAATTAAGTTGGAAATTTATGAGACAACATTTGTTTGCCCATGGCAAATTGGTTTATTGCTTATTGTGTTAGAAAGTACTTAATTTTGAAACAGCGTCTTGTACGTAAAATAATAAAAATGTGCATATGAGTGTGTCCTTATTATAACCAAAACTTACGGGTAGGATTTGAAGTTTGATGCAAATCAGTATCAACACGAGGACACCGTACACAGGTTTTTTGTGAACTGTATTATTTAATTAGTGTTAATGTAAGTATTCTACTCTTCTAATTTGTTTGAGATTGTCGACCATCTCTATATATCGCTACAATATAGACCTGAAATCCAATGCCAGTGTAAATTTGATATTATATCGTACATATAGTTTAATAGGTATTTAGTTATGCCGTCATCGTTTGATTTTATTAGGAACACTGTAGAATTCCGAAACAGTTATGATGGGAAGGAGGGAAATCAAGAAGTTTCATCG